GTTTCTTTCATGGATTTCCCGAAAAAGCCAAAAAAAAACTCGAAAAAATTCAGTTTTTGGCCCATATCTCGGCAACCAGACCACTTAGCGACTTGAAACATGTACCAATCGATTCCTGCTATAATTAAGAACAATATTGCCGAAGAAAGTTTTCAAAAATATCCTTTCGTTCGGTCACAAAAAATTAATTAGGAATTTTTAAACTGAGCATCGTGTAGGCCTAGGATGATATTTTTAATTTAAACTGAGCATCGTATAGGTTTTTAGCGCAAAAAAATATCCTTTCGTTCGGTCACAAAAAATTAAAAATTGTTATGGATAACATAAGGAAATTGCGCTTAAATTGTCACTAGACTTTTTATTAACTTGTTTTTCTCTATGCAACAGCATGTGTTAGTTACTGTAGAGCAAGGGTCTCCAAACTACGGCCCGCGGGCCGGATCCGGCCCGCGAGCTCCTCTCACCCGGCCCGCGGCGATCTTTTTGTCCACGGAAAAAAACGTTTGTTGGTGATGGCTGAGGAACTTTGCCCAGAAAAATCAAAGACATGTTTGGAATTAACTGGCCCCCGAATTGAAATTTGATAGTTAATGCGGCCCTCGGACTGAAAAGTTTGGAGACCCCTGCTGTAGAGCAACAAGTGTTTCTTCCAGACGTTTTTCTCGGGGGGGGGGGGGGGGGGGGGGGGCACTTGAAATTTTCGGAGGGGCGGTAGACTTTCTTCGGGGGGGGGGGGGGGAGGGTGGCGGACACTGTTAAAAGTATATATTTTCTATATAAATTATATAAATTTCATTTCGTTCGAGTGGGAAGAAACTCTGGCAATAACAATAAACCACAATATCTTTACTAACGTTATTCGTTAACGACGTTTTTAAATGCTTGCAGTCTGTTAGTAAGTCCGCAGATGTCTTTTTGTTGATATTGGATATATCATACAGATAGCCTATAAGATATTAAAAATCCAAATTGGACGTTTTACAACATCGCGACATGCGATGGAGCGATTGCTGAATTAACATTAAAATCAGATAATCGTTTGAAATATTCGAGATTAAAAGATGTATATTAAATACAATAAATATCTCATTATATTAACAGAGGCGTAGCCAATGGGAAGGCGTATAGGGTGCCAGCCCCAGGCGTCGACCCAAATGGTGCGCCAAATGTGGTGGATAATAATATAGAAAGCTCATTACTGAATTATAATATGCAGTCGAAATGAAGAATGTTGACTGCTACTTAACATTACGGACTTATTTAATTGTTTTCTATATCAACTGTGTGGCACCAAAAGAAAAAGGCAAAGGCATTTTCACCAACTCGAATAACTATATATAGATCTAAGTAGAGGAGGGGAGGGGGGCAGTAGCGTACGCAGGGGGGAGCAGGGGGAGCGGCCGCTCCCCCTCTGGCCATTTTCAGCAAAGTGGCGCCTTTTTGTAAACTTTTTAAACTCAAAGTTTTAAACAATGATATTTGTTAAAAAATATTTTTGGTCGGCACATCTATGTAAATCACAAGATTTCTTTTCATGCAGCAATTAAGCATTATTGTACTAGTCTAGTAGTGCCTAGGTTTACAACACGTATTAATGTTTGCCATTCTAAAAATAACCATTACGATGCATTGCAATATTTAAAAAACCTCTACGGTAGTACCACTTGGCAAGAGGGGTGTTAAGTTTAAGTTTAAGGCAGCTGTATAATGTATTTGCTTACGAATAATTGAATTAGAAAATGTTATACATAAAACTTCACACATAATTACTTCATATATACAGTAGGAATCGTGTGATTAATTTAAAAAAAATTAAAATACAGAAACAAATACAACTGATGTGGCACCTCTATTTAATTTACTTATGAGCAAACTGCGTAGTGGTGGGGAAATTTTGACAAGGTCAACAACGATAGTGATTACGATTACAAATTATATGAAACAGTTACAACCCCCCTACCCCATGGACCCTTCTGTAAAAAAAAAATATTGTCATAATACCCCTGCTACTTATTTAAATCTATTTCTGTAATATATATTTGTGTAATATATATTTGTGTAATATATATGTATGTTTAGAACAGTCATCTAAAAACTGACGCTATGTTCACTCTGAGTTGGTTATCTTCCCCCCCCCCCCCCCAACACACCTCACCACCTGATCTGTTAAGTACATGTAGAGAACACGTAATGATGTACTAAACTACCATGCCGCCAGAAAATTAGCTTTTTAAACGTAAAACTCTGTGAATATTGTTTTTGCAGTTACCAGTAAAAAGGTGTGTGATCAATACAGTGATCTAACCCATACCTATCACTATGTTAAAAAAATGATCTTTAAAGAACACAAAGAATATATGCTCTGAACTTAAAGACAGATATTTAGTTAAATGTAGGTTGATATTTCGAATGTTTTTCTATTATATCGAAAAGCGTGGTTTTATACCAACTCTGATTTTTTTTATAAACTTTCATTATGCTTTAATACTTTAGCGTTTATGATGACGATATATTAAATTCTGATTATAGACAAAAACATTTTGTAAACACGAATAGTGTTAAGCAATTTCATTATATTCTAAAGTTATTATTTTTTTTGAAATTTATAATTAAATGTGTAGATTACAGATTTATATTAAGAGAGTGATTATTTCCCCTATTTCACTTGTCCTAAATAATTTCCCAGGAATTATTATGTAAGAAATCTTTTTACAAGAATTACAAAACAGATTGTGTTACGTTCATTGTTTTTGGTTGTAGTGTGTGTATAAATATATATATATTTTTTGTTTAGATTGATACAAATTTTGTTTTGTCGGCCCACATTGTGTGTTTTTTTCTTATTTCTTCAGAGTGCTTCATTCAATTTATTTTACATCATAGCGAAGTAATGACATACAGCTAGTAATTATATATATATATATATATATATATATATATATATATATATATATATATATATATATATATATATATATACACGTAAATAGAACGTGTTAAAAATTCGGCGCCTTTTTTTTTGCTCTTTTTGCTCCCCCTACAACGAAAACCTGGATACGCCTCTGGAGGGGGGGGGGGGCACATAATTGATAGTTGGTCTTGGCACCGAACTAGATAGCTACGCTTTTGAATATTACCCAGTCTATAGTGTAAATAATATAATCAAAGTTATTAATTATTAGGTACTTTTAAATGGTAATTACACATTTTTTGCGCCCCTCAATGGACAGCGCTGTAGACGACTGCCTCGTTCGCCTAATGGGTAGCGCCGGCCCTGAGAAAATAATTACACATTATTTATTGTCTTTTAAATATAAATTAATGTTTACAAAAAGAATAAAAATATTATATGAAAATGATATAGCCATTTGTAATTTATTTTACAACATATTTCTATTTCTCAGAGTAAATATATTATTATGTTGTGTGCTAAAAACTCAAACCAGCAAGCAAGTGTGTCAACTAGATCTAATTGGTAAATAAACCGATCGATGTATTTTGTTTTCAATGAAGTCATACACGCAGAATGACTGTGTGACAAGTAGCCGACTCCATTAATGAGTGTCCAATTTTGATGTTGTCCTAACCATTTAAACTGTTAAACCACGTTTGCGCTGCATGCTAAAATGACTGTAGAACATATAAACTAGATCCGTGTGCTCTACCCACATCTGTTTTCAATATTGATAATTAGAAAAGCAATATGTCTACCCAATTCTGTTCTATTGTTTTTAACTAGATTTACACTGTATCTACGCTTCCCCGAAGTCAGAGCACTTAGTCAGCATAATATTTTACCAGCAACTGTCTCCAGATGTTTGCTTCACTCCTGACAGCTCTTTCCTGCTCTTCAACAAATCGCTGATTTGCTTTTCAGCGCTGTCACGCCACACATCTCGAAAAATATACTTTTTTTTAGTGTCCGCCCCCCGGAAAATGTTGTCCGCCCCCCCCCCCCCCCCCCCCCCGAAAATATCAAATGCACCCTCCCGGAGAAAAAAGTCTGGAAGAAATACTGGATGTGGATGAATTTACTCTCATGCCCTTCATCTTAATACTATAGTGGCGTGATGTTCCAGGAACACTATCCGCTGCCACACAAAATCAGGACTGACCATGCCTGCAAACAACCATGTGCAGCGGGTGTAGCAATGGTCTCTTTAGATGAGGTGAGAAGCACAACTACTCTCTAGTGACTTTCACGATTCAACAAAGAAGTAACTGTTGTTTTTGTTATTGTAAACAATTCGTCCAGTTCCATCTTTAAATTCTCTACTAGGATGACATTGGCCATGAGATTGGGCGCCGGGAAGGGTCGCTACGCCTCTGGATGAATCAGAAATCGATTCCGAGGTAGGCCTACTTTTTTCTTCTAAAAATAAAGTAAAACAAAATATTGAGTCTCCATATACTCGATTTATTTACTTAAAAAGCTCAGAGGTCCCTAGACCTCGGGCCCATGGACTTTGTCCACCTAGGTTACATCATAATTTATATGTTTACGCCACTGGATATGGAGTTACGATTCCCTGAAAAAGCAGAGTGATAGCTTCATTTTGTCACATTTCGTGGAAAATTGTTTAACATTTTACACGTGGGCATTTTTGTTATGTTAACTTTTTGAAGTAAAGATTTTAAAAAATACCCATGCTCAGTTTTGTGCTCTCACTGGTTATGTCTCTCGCATTGAGCTTAAGAACACACCCCCCCCTCCCCCAGTTTAATATTCTTAATAAGCTAATTAGAGAGAATTGTGTTTGAAAGCACGAAAAAACAAACGAAGCCAATGTTTTACTCTTCACATTTTTTTTTGTAAAAAATTGTCCTAGTGTAGCAAGTGTTAAGAGAGTCTTAGCTAAAGCGAATTTAATGAATTTATAAATATTTTCTTTTCGTGATGAAATATCATTACAGTTTTCCAACAACCACAACTTTGACCAATTAGAATATTATACAGCCATGACGTCAGAAAAACCATCCAATCGCGTGCAAGTGACGACAAAAGAGGTAACAGGCCAGCTCTTAGTAGTTCATTGCGAGAAAGGACATGGTAAGGGAAAGACCGTAAGATATAGTGGGGTTTTAGTAGTACCAACTGACGGCATTTACCATCTGCCATGGCCGACACTGAAAATCAGTCTGAGGTTGAAAATAAGCCGGCACCTGAACAAAAATTAGAACAAAAGGAAAAGAAAATTATTGGTGAGTAAAATATTTAAAAAATAAACCGTTTTTCACGTTGCCGTTCGTAGCACAGCGGCACATTCGATAAAAAAAAAAGCTAGTTTAAGTCATATAAAAACTAGAATATAATTCGCCTGTTTAAAGAGTCAAATTAAATTATAGATATCTAGATCACTAGTCTAGATCTACTTGATTCTACTTTTAATCATTGATTTTTTAGCTGGCCATGTAACAGGGACAGTGAAATGGTTCAACGTGAAGAGTGGATACGGATTTATCAACCGGTAAGGCTGGGATTGGTAAATTGTTAAAGGGGTGGGGGGAGGGACACCATTGGCAGGAGAGCCGTGTTCGTTCATGCTCGTTGCCGGTGTGCGATTAGTCACGAGCCTCGCACATCTCTTTGTCTCGATTTCAGCTTAATTTGTTAGTAGATTCTATATCTTAACAAATTGCAGAAAATAGATTGTTATTCCTACTAGATCGAGAAATCTAGATCTATATCTAAAGCAGCTTATTAACAAACCACCAAATCTAGACTAGACCTAGATCTAGAAGACTCATAGAACTAGTCTAGAGTCTAGAGATCTCTTGAAAAAAGTCTATTGGCTTGGCTGGGCTGGTCACAAGAGATGTCTGGGTTTTTGTGTGTGTTGGAAATGGATTTGAAAATAAGAAATAAACTAGGAAATTCAGATTTGGTTAGATCTGATGTAAATCTGTTGCTTTTGGTAATCTCTGCTTACCATCCCTCATGAAACTTATAAATAAAAACATTGCATGCAGTACAAGTCTGTTCAAAATGTTGATCTAGAACTAGATTTACTTTTTATTTTATGTAGCCTAGATTATTGTTATTGTAAATATAGATCCATAGAGTCTAGTATGTTACTTTTTCTTGGTTTGCAAAAAATGTTGAGGATGATTATAGATACCGGTTTCCGATAATAGACTCTTCCATAAAATAGGTGTGTTGTATGGTAGGACCAGGGTTAGCATTGACATTAGCCAGCCATGTGTGTATTTAGTTAACTACCAGAACCATACACCCCTTTTTAAAGAAGATTCCATTATCGGATACCAGTATAAGCATTCTCCCAAGGCTTGAATTCTATCATTTGTTCTGTAAAAGCTTTGTTATAAATTAGCTATAGGCTTTTGTTTGGATATGAGGGTCTTTAAATTTAACCAAATTGTAGTTAATTTAAATTTTACAAGTACATTATGTAAACAGTCATCTGGGGACAAATTAAGGCTTTTAAAGTTAAACCTCATCCAAGGTTAAATCAAAAGAATCAGTAATACTGTTCAAAGTTACTTCAGTTTTTGACAGTTGCATTATCTTTAGCTACCCAACAGATATTACTGGTCAACTAAATTTATTGATAGGTACCCATCTTCTAACAGCTAACAACAAAAGGGTACTTATGTTTGCAGGACATACACTGTCAGTCATTTTTTTATTTGGATTATTGTACTAACAGAAATAAAAATAGTCTTTATTATATTATGCCTAAACAGTCTTTTCTAAAGGTTAACCTTTGTTTTAGTGATGACACAAAGGAAGACGTATTTGTGCACCAGACGGCCATTATAAAAAACAACCCAAGAAAATACCTTAGAAGTGTTGGAGATGGCGAAAAAGTAGAGTTTGATGTCGTTGAGGGAGAGAAGGTGAGGGGCAGTAATTTCTATTCCTAAGTATTGCATTTTAAAGTAATTTCTATTCCTAAGTATTGCATTTTAAAGTAATTTCTATTCCCAAGTATTGCATTTTAATTTAACATACTGTTAAAATGTCTTTTATCATTTAAAGGGAAATGAAGCGGCCAACGTGACTGGGCCTGACGGCTCTAATGTACAAGGCAGTAAATATGCAGCTGATCGTCGTAGATTTAGACGTGGAGGGTGGTTCCCACGCTATCGTGGAGGAGGGCGTGGTGGTAGACCAAGACAAGTAAGTCTAAAGTTTAAAAAAATATCTTATATCTTCTGTTCCCATAAACCCCTGTATGTTCGCATTTGATGTGTTAATAATTATTTTAGCAGAACTTTCAAGAAGAAGAATCAGGGTCTGTAGAATATCCTTCCCCACGTGGAAGAGGAAGAGGTCAGCCGTTTTATCAAAACAGACGATACTTTGGACCACCACGTCGTGGTGGTGGTACTAGTGCTAGTGGTGCTGGAAGGCAGCAGTTTCTAGAGGTAATTTTAAATATGTACTACAGATAGTCATACTTAATCTATAAGTGAATCAATTTTCAATTATGAATTAAAATGTACTATAATGCTCAATTTTGACTAGTAGCTTATTTTTCCAGCTATACCCCTTTTATTTTTGTTTATATTTTTAGTAACAACATTAGATTTTTCGTCACTTCTAATTTAAAATTTCATTTATCTAGGGCCAGGGCGAATATCAGCTTCAGCGTGATCAGGGCTATAGAGGCCGCAGACCATTTTACAGGAGATACTATGGGCCACCACCGAGGGGATACTATGATGGTGGTTACTATGGCTACCAAGGTGGTCCCCCTAGGGGAGGTCCACGCAGAAGAGGCCGAGGGCGTGGTGGCTTCCGCCGTGGCAAAGGAGTAAGTATATGAATTTCTTAATTTATAGTGGTAATTCAATAGTTTTGATAATGTGTATTACATATCTAACAACTAGGTCTTCTGCCTCTACTTATCCAATAAAGTCTATTCCTAATTGACTACTGAGACTACTACCACTGCAATAATTCAAGAACTAGGACTACTGCCGTTGTTAACTATCCTACACTAAATCTAGTACTACTCTTTTTGTATTTTTAATTTTTATAATCTCATTGGTGTCCTTGATATTTTTTCCATTTTCCTCCTTAAAATCTCAAATTTGTCTTTACTATTGTGCATTTAACTATTAACTTTCCACAATCTGTTCTCCTATATTAGCCTACATTAGCTTTTTCATAGTGATATTGCATTTTGATAATGCAATTTTGGATTGCAGTATTGATTTTAAATTGAATGAAAGCAGAAGCTTTAATAAATTGTTTTGATTATTAAAATTCAGTGGCTTGTTAGAGAATTCAACATGTTAATATATTCAAACTGTTTGCCCACACTTCATTTTTTTTAAAACTTAAAACATGGTAAATAATCTTTAAATTTACAAATCTATTAATGGATATAATAATGAAGTAATAAAATTTTGGCTTTTCAGTCTTGGTTTTTAGTGTACAGTTATTGAATATATTTTTACAAATGTAATACTCTTCCACATTTATATCCTTATGATCTGGTTTAATTAAGGAATAAAGTAATGCCTGTTTACTTAAAATGCTAAATATAGAGAATTCAAGGTCTAGTGTTTTTAGGAGGGTACAATTTTTATTTTTTAACATCCATATTTAACCATTGTAACTCAAAACATTCAGTTTAATAGACTTACTTCAAAAGCTTATAATAGTTAATAGCTTGTGAATTTACAATTACTGTATTAAAATCAGAATTACGTCACTAGAATTACTTTGATTTTTATTTCACTATATTATTCACATTATATAAATGTAGACAAGTTCAGAAACTGATGCATAGTATTATTACTAATTGTATTGCCTGTATTGGAAGAACAAAATTTAACTTAAAATAATTTCTAGCTTCAAATCTTCTTACCAGCGAGCCTTGTTTCCTAGATTCTGAGCAAATTGACTGTATAGTTCATCTAACATTACCAGATGACAGTAAATTAAGCTCTAGAATAATTGGACACATACCCCAGTCTAGTGCTAAATCATTACTGATAATAGGCACATTATTCTTAGGGTATCATAATCTGCATACTTTGTTATGGATTTAGTTAAAATATTTAAGAAGAAAACTACTCAGAACTGGTGTTGAAATATATATTTTTTACCTAATGATTTGTGGTTACAGCTAGCTTAGCTGTGAGCAAATGCCTTTTAATTTGTAAATGTTAAGAAACAACTTTACTTCTCAAAAGCTTTTTTTCTACTACATTGAGGTTTCTGTGAACTTAATTTTAAAGGAAATCTTGCCAACATATCTTTTGATTTTTGTTACACTATGCTGCTATTAGATTTTCTGTTTATCAGTGTGTACCTTTTTTCTTTAGCAGCGAAAAGACGACGACGACAGTCAGACTCCAAAGGCTGAAGTAAGCAACGACACCCTCAAGTCAGAACCTTCTTCTACCACCGTAGAAAGTAAAGAAGACTAACAGCAATGGAGGGAAACCAAACTAATTCGCCAAACAGAATGACCTTGATCTACTGTTTATTTGTGTGTCCATGTGTGTGCTGAGACAACCCAGTGACTCAATCGAAACAACCTAACAGTAACTTCAAACACCCCTATCTGTTGGTTATCATCTGGGAAACAGGGCTGGCTCTTGTGTTTAAAACTATCTTTACACCTAGCAACTCTTCGTCTTTACAAGTAACCAATGAAAACAACACCAATCACTAATGACAACAGAACACTTCTTATACAGTTTCAGAGAGCATACTATCAAAGCAGCTTTCTAATAGTTTTTTCCAAGTGTGACGCATGATGACTCATTTTTTAAAAATTACATAGACTACCACTCCTTAAAACGTAAAAGAATAAAAAAAAATAGCACATAGCTGAAGTTAAATTTACCTGACTGACTTTTGAAGACTTAGATAAAATGTTAAAAACTATGCAATTTCATGTTTTTTTATTTTAGTGACTTTTGTAATGTTAGGGTTAATTTATCAAGTTATCATGTTAAAAGGTAAAATTCAAGTTCTATTATGGCTGAGATGTGTCAAGTTTCTATTCACATGTTGATTTCTCACGGCCAAATGCATGTGCTTATTAAAAGTTTTTTGATAGGTCTATTGGTCTTTGTTTTCTATATGGATGTGTTTGATGTGCAGACTGGTTGCTTGAAGTCTAAGATGTCAACTTCTTGACAATTATTAAGTATGCACAAATTGGTCACTAAAAAATACTGGCAAAGTTAACGTGATAATCAAATGAACTGTTTTAGTTAAGTAAGCAGAAAAAAATTGATAGTGCTATAATAAAATGCCATGTTCTACTATAGTATATTATTAATAGTACTTAAAATTATCTTGAACAACAGTGTTGTTCTAATGACTACTTTATTAAAGTTTATTTATAGACAGGCGTTGAAAAAAGTACAACTTGCACTAAGGTCAACTATATGGGAAGGTTTTGAACTACAGTTCCTAAAATGTATTAAGCCTACTTGTGATTAGGATTAGCTGCTGATTAGTATTTGCAAGCTTCTAGTTAACTTGTTTCCTCCATGGATTAAAGCTGCTAAATTTCAACCACTTATAAAAAAATCGATTTGTTTGAAACTGGACAATGCCGTTTGACATCAAATTTTACTTAGTAAGAATTAAAGTTTACTATTGTATTAAAATAAAAATTTATAATGAATAACACGTATAAGCTTTATATAATGTTGCACTAAAAAATGAAAATACATGATTTCGTTAAATATTTAAATAACCAAAAAGAAAAGTGTTGGTCTATAAATTTTATGTATTTAATTTAAATATCTTTAAAATTTAAGAAGCGGCCCACGCCTTTCTTTTTAGTTATAATAGTTATATTAATAATAGTGAATTATTATATATTTAAAGCAAATAGTGTATTTTCTACTTTTTGGTGCATTATTAAAGGTTTGTTATTAACACGTTTTTTTTTAAAAAATCTAGATCTAATAGTTAATAGATTTCTTTTACATAATTAAAAAGGGAGATAATTACGGAAAGACTTTGAAATGTACTTTAATTATTATTTCCCTTATTGTTACACGAAATTTTGAGCTGTGACACCAAACGAGATCACGGAATTGAAGGCCTAATTAATGTTAATTATGAAAAGGTACAACTAGCACGACTGATTTGAATTAGCTAAAATATTGTTTAAAATCAGTCTTTCATTTATCAACTGTCCATATATGTAACTAGCAAAATTCACTTCTAATATCAAGAAAAATAGCAAGGTATTAATAATTGCTAGGAGGGGCAGGGCCGGCGCTACCTATAACGCGGCCGCCTAGGGTGCTATCCATATGGGGAGGCGCAAAAATGTGTAATCGCCATTAATAAAATACCTAATAATTGATAACTTTGCGATCTATTTCGTTGCCTGGGCGAACTATCAATTTAGCGCTCCTCTTCAAATTACGCCTAGAATTTAGAAATAGTTATTCGCGTTGGTGAAAATGCGCCTCCTCACCCCCCCCCCCCCCTCATTTGGACAGATCGGAGCACAATTGACGTCACTTTTGTCTTTTTATTTTGGTGTCCCACAAATTATGTAGAAAACAAATAAGTCCGTAATGCCAAGTAGCAGTCCACATTTTTTATTTCGACTGTATTTAATTCAGTAATGAGCTCTTTATATTGTTATCTACCACGTTTGACGCCCCCTTTGGGTCGGCGCATATGGCGACCGCTCCTCACGCCTTCTCCTAGCTAAGCCTCTGTTAATATAATAAGAATATTATTCTATATTTTATTAGAACAACATAATATTCTATTTGGCTTCCTTTATGATACGCCGAATATCAATGAAAAGACACCTGCGTGTTTCTACCAGACTTTTTTCTCCGGGGGGGGGGGGGGGGGGGCACTTGAAATTTTCGGGGGGGGGGGCGGGCGGATACTGTTAAAAGTAAAATTTTTTTATATAAATTATATAAATTTCATTTCGTTCGGAGAGGGGAGGGGCGGTAAAAAAAAATTTCGGGGGGGGGGGGGGGGGGGGGGGCTTTGCCCCCCCCCCCCCCCCCCCCCCCCGAAGAGATGCCTGCAAGAAACTCTGCCTGCGAGTAAACTTACTGGCTGCAAACATTTACAAACGTCGTTAATGCATAACGCTAATAAAGATATTGATACTGACGAGCTTTACAAACAATGAGTTTCAAGTTGTAGCTTCCTAAGCATATGTCACCATCAGATGTGCTTCTCTATATTGTACAACTAAAATTGGAAGATTATGTATCAAATGATTCCTTGAGTTTACTGATAACACTTTCAATGTCCGTGGCTAGTAAAGAGAGCTTCTTCCAGGCATCTCTTCGGGGGGGGGGGGGGGGGTGCAAAATCCGAAAGAAAAATAATAATTTTGCACCTTGATAGACTAGTGAAAAAACAAATCGACTGCGATACTAATTTTGTATTCAGTAACTGACACACACTATGCGCAGAGAATAAAAACTACGTAAGTTGTAATATGAAAAATAGGAAAACCTTTATACCACTACCATTACTTATTGCTCTTCTTTTAATAGTCAAAGGGGTGCCGATAAAGATAAATTAAATAATTTTGTACTAAGCTAATTAAAACGAAATTTCTTCTCGCATTATTAAAATGAAGCATCTTGGCGAATGATTAAGGTATAAAAAGGAATTAATTCAAAATTAATAATATAAATGTAAAAAAAAAAACCCACATAAGAATAAAACAAACACGGAAACCATTACACATATAAAATTCGTTTGATTCACATTTTTTTGACCGAATTGCTTGGTAAAACTACCTAGTTTTGCCTAGGGCGCTAAAAAACCTGGCGCCTGCATTGGCTAGGGGTCGAGTCGGTATTATAAGAGCTCAAGGTTGCTAAAGCTGTAAGTCCTGTGTTCCACCCCCCCCCCTCCCATCGGACAAATGAGGCTCGATAGCTGAGGGCATATCTTGGGGAGAAAATTCCAAAATAAAAGGAATGCAGCCCGGCAGTTACTTCTTGGTTGGACAAATCCAAAAAGAAAAGAAGACTGAAACAAGACGTTTAACAGATTGACACGTATAACCGTATTATACTTTCTTGTGTTGGAGGACATGGCATCCATTATAATAATGCCATAATAATAATGGCATACATTATAATAAAGAACGAAGAAGAAGAGAGTTTTTTTTAGAGTTGGCGGTAGAATAATCCAGAGGCGCCACACAAGTAAAGCAAATAGACAGCAACATATGGCCTAATATATGGTACAAAGTGGACCTGTGTTTACACAGCTTACACTATTTACACAGCTTACACTATTTACACCGCTTACAAAGCGTACACTATTGACACAGCTTACACTATTTACACAGCTTACACTATTTACACAGCTTACACAGCTTATACTATTTATACAGCTTACACTATTTACACAACTTACACAGCTTACACTATATACACAGCTTACACTATTTACACAGCTTACACTATTTACACAGCTTACACTATTTACATGGCTTACACTATTTACACAGCTTACACTATTTACACAGCTTACACTATTTACACCGCTTACAAAGCGTACACTATTTACACAGCTTACACTATTTACACCGCTTACACTATTTACACAGCTTACACTATTTACACCGCTTACACAGCTTATACTATTTACACAGCTTACACTGTTTACACAGCTTACGCTGAAACTTCTCAGCAACATTTTCTAGATGATACGAATTCCTGTACTACCTCAGTTCCACTTTCAACAACATCCGAGTAAATCACTGATAATTGTTCTAAATGTTTTAAACTTTCAACTAATGCAGGATGTTTTGGGCCTAAACAACAAAACTTGGAAAACCCAAGGCGACATTTAAACCGCCGCCGAACAACACGTTTTCTCGGCCGTCCGCGCCCAGGGAGAGACTTCCAAAATCTATAGCGATGACGGACACACTACCAGTAGCCTTATATATATATATACTAGCTGCATCCCGTGCTCCGCCACGGTAAATCTTTTTTAAATGTACCAACTTGGGAACAGAACAAAACTAAACACAACACAAACGAACGCAAAATAAAAAAAAAAAAAACACAAACGAAAAAACAAACACAACACTCATAACATAAACACAATTTTCCGAGCGCAGGCGGACGCGTCTGACACAGTGAATGACTAAAAAACAGAGGCGTAGCGACCATTTCCGGCGCCAGGGGACAAACTTTCGATTTGACCCCCCCCCTCAAACTCACCCCCTCCCCTCAAAATTTCAATTTCCACCCCACGCCCTTAAACTTTCGATTTGCACCCCCCTCAAACTTTCAATATATATATATATATATATATATATATATATATATATATATATATATATATATATATATATATATATATATATAATTATCTATATATATAATTCTCTTCTGGGAGACGCTAGAAAACAAGCTGTAAACGCGCTCCCTACCATCCCCACCCCTACATGGTCTTAGTGAGCTGTGGTTCACGCTGTTTACCTTCGTGGAGTCGGGTTTAGTGACGGCTATTAGGGGCAGATAATTTAGTTTGAAACGATTTTAAACGTTGGGGGGGGGGGGGGGGGGGTGAAGGAAGGGGGGCGGTTATGGTCATTAACGAGCTACTTATAGTGTTTTAAAGTTTAAAGAAATATTTTCAGTGTCAGCGTTTGTACTGTCGAATTCACAAATTATGAATTACTGAAAAGTAGAAAAAACAACAACTAAATAGCTGCGTATGTTATGCCGCGGGCAGTGTTTCTACCAGACTTTTTTCTCCGGGGGGGCACTTGAAATTTTCGGGGGGGGGGGGCGGTAAACTTTCTTCGGGGGGGGGGGGGCGGACACTGTTAAAAGTATATATTTTCTATATAAGTTATATTGGAGGCCCTATGCTCCATAAGGAGCAAAGAGGATTAAGTGAAGTGAAGTGATATAAGTTATATAAATTTCATTTCGTTCGGGGGGGGGGGGGGGGTGGGCGGTAAAAATTTTTCGGGGGGGGGGGGGGGGGGGGCTTCGCCCCCCTCGAAGAGATGCCTGGAAGAAACTCTGGCCGCGGGCCGGCTCGTATACTATATACACCCCCACCCCAGACGTGGATTGACTTGTCACTTATTACAATTCTCTAGAAAACCTTTTTCTTCTGGCAAATTTTGCAACGTTTAGTTGGTTTCACACCCCCTCCGCCCGGTGATAGCTTTAAACTGTGCACAGATAATACTAACGATGTTCATCTAAAGATCTAGTCGGTTATAGGTCATACCCTAATTTTTTTTTTTACTATGATTTAGAGAACAGATATAGATCTAGATCAGGGGTCTCCAAACTTTTCAGCCCGAGGGCCGCATTAACTATCAAACATTAGTTCGGGGGCCAGAGTTTCTTCCAGGCATCTCTTCGGGGTAGCTGAAATGCCTTTAGTTGGGTGTATAGAAACTATATTTCACTCTCTTATAGTTATGGGTTCAGAAAATGTCAATGACTAGTTATGTTTGCAGCAGAGGCCAATTGCTATACCCATTCTTGACCAGACATTTATGGACGTGGCTTGCCTACTTTCCAGGAAGTCACCTATTTCCTTTCTTAACTTAAATACTCTGCTCAGAAGTTTCTCACAACTTAGCCATCGTACTGCTGTGTAATATAGTAAATATTGCGATTCTGTGTTTGTATCTTTCAACATGTCGCTAAACTATCTAGGGTTAAGCCCATATGACCTTATTAAATTCACCATCTTCGTTAGAGTATTCAGTACACAGCTTAAGTCCATATATTTAGCACACAAAGCTTGCCGTTTTCACCAATGTCTGTAAAACGGCGGGCAATGGTATTGCAACCAAAGCTACATTTTCAAATTATTTTGAATTTTCTGGGCAAAGTTCCTCAGCCACCTCCAAGAAACATTTTTTCCCGTGGACAAAAAGATCTCCGCGGGCCGGATGAGAGGACCTCGCGGGCCGCATCCGGCCCGCGGGCCGTAGTTTGGAGACCCCTGATCTAGATCATCTACTTCCGCAACTGACTAGTTGGCACAGAAACAAGAACATTTAACTCTCGTCGCTTCCGCGAACAGGTGGCGTAGTTCGTCTCAAACGTGGGGCGCATGCGCATCCTTTTTCTCACCGGCACTAAATCCTCCTACACGTGAGTTACGAATTTCTCTTCATTTTACTGTTGACATTATTTTATTTCTATTAAAACAATTTTGAATATGTAAGTTAGTTTTGACAGCTCCTATTTCGGTTAATAATATATAGATATTGACATATCATTGTGTATTATCGAAGCCTGAAACATTTCATACGCAACTGTAAATCCACATATTGCTATTTATTGTGACACATCCAGACGCCATCTTGCGCGATGGTTTTTATTTTTTTGGTCCTTTCTTGGGTCTTTTAGTTGCACTGAGACCGAATATTATTATTATTATTAAAACGTACATATTTCAAACACATCATTGGACTATAGATCTATATCCAGTTATATTTCGAGAATTAGGAAATAGTCAGTTAAATCGCAGACTTTTGCCTCGAACTGTGGAGGGTCCCGGCTGGCGAGGCTGAATAATAAAATCAAAATCTTTAGGCCTAAACTAAAACTTTAAACATTCTGATCTCTAGAGATCTCTTTTAAAAATATCAATAGATCTAGAGTAAAGTGGCGTATGCGGACAGTTGCCTCTGTGCGGACACCTTGCTGTTTTTCGCTTAAACAATAATTGTATGAATGTTTTATACATTTATAGGAAACTAACGCAAACAACACAAAGCATGTCCATTTTTAAACACATCTGAGTCCATTTCTTCTATTTCACTCAATAGGGAGATTAATTGGAATTTTTCAAAGTTGTGATGTATGACGTTTTATGAAAGGGAACCTCACCCGGATGAAGAGCACTAGTCTCCGGATTAGAGGAATAAATCGAACCAATCATAGCTTAGTTAACTGGGTTAACTATAAATAGCTTATATATATATATAGAAAGCTATAAATATCATAGTTAAGGTTGTTTAAGCCATCTTAGAGGAAAAATTGGGGTGTCCGCATCTTTTTTGAGGGTTAACCTTTTGCGGACACTAATGAAAAATCAGAGTAGAATATATTTCTTACACTTTAAGTAAAAAGGAGCTTTGAACTAATCTTGATACTCCAGATTTATATTTAAATTTAAGTCTAAATCTAGATCTATAAGTTTTTAGTATATGTTTTTAGGTTTTAAAAATATTTTTGATCATCAAACGTGTCTATTTCAATCATTTAAATAGAAATAAAATGAACAAAATATGCCTTGTCCGCATAAGGAGCAAGTGTGCGCACAGAAAATAAAATGTAAAAAAAAAGTGCACTTACTGTCCGCACAGTCTCACCACTGAAAATGTTAATACATTCAATGCTATGCGTATGAATACAAAATGAATCAGACGTGATTAAACTAGAAAGAATGCGGAGTGAGACGGTACTTTCGGTTTGTTTCTATGTGAAGCGGTTACTGAATGGCGCTCAATGGAAATCGGCACTTCCGTTTTTTTTGCTACGTCTGTCCGCAGACGCCACTTTACTCTAGAGATAGATCTATAGGCCTAGATAGAATCTAGTTGTAGTTATTATGGGCATTTTTTATACAAGTGTCAATAATAGAATGTTCTAAAAGTGGGTGTTGGGTTACTGGTAATTAGTCTGGAATCTAAAGTTCCACGCGCGGTTAAAACCAGTGTGCGGCCATCGCCTGTTTATCGCTTCGTACAATATTTGTGTTGATGTTTTATACGAAACTACCGATATCTGCTGTAAACCTGTCCATTTATAAATATATCCAGGTCAAATTCTTTTGTTTTTCTCCTTCTGGAAGTCGAGTTATTAAATTTTAAAGTTTCGAGGTATGTCGTCGTAGGCGATTCTAGTTCCCCTTATGAATAACACTAGGTCCCTTATGAGAAAAATAAAACCAACCAATCAAAGCTTTTTATAACTAGGTTAACTATAAATAGCTTCTACAATATGTGCGGTACACTGTACATACGATAGATAAGGCTAATAAAGCAACCTGAGAGGTGAACAGGGGTGGCAGCTGCTTGGGTGTAGATTACCGTGGTTTCACATCGCTGCCTAACAAACGACTTGAGCTAGACAAGCCTAGTTCTAGATGCTCTATTTCAAGCTAAGCCTAGAAAATGTATAATTTCTATTTTTTTTTTCTGTTTTAAATTATTTTGATCATCTACTTCTTCTAAATCTAGTTTGTGTCTCTACATACAAGCATTTCTAAGCAAATGTTACGTTATGTCTTGTCAGTGGTTGTTACGTCCCTTTGTTATGATTATTATAGTTGCGTCCCTTGAGTCATCACTGGGTCAACTTCTAATGTGTCGTTAATTTAATTAACATGTTTTTTATTTGGTTTTGCAATCTATTAATTAATACTACAATCAACACGTTTAAAAGTGTAAAATATTTATTTTAGTTATTAAAATTGAATTAAAACGTATTAAAATACCATAGCTACGCTAGCCGGTTCAGGTGACAGCAGGAAAAAATAAACCGGGAGTGATCTCCCCTAAACTTTCTCGAATATTCTTATATAACTTGGAATATAGACATGATTTTTAATTACTTACACTTTTAAAAATAGAATAGAATCTCATAGAAAAAAGAATTGCGCACCCAGCGAACGCCAAAACAACATGTGCATAATAGTGTGCAATATTATTAGTACTTAATAAATTTACATGCGTTTTTTTTTTAGAAATCGGAAATAGCGTAAATTAGTACTTCCGGTCAATGGAAATTACTCAAAATTTGACAGAAGGTAGAGAATTAGATCTTTTACTTACATGTGAAATTTCATTTATCTATCTGAAATAGTACTCAAGTTATAGGCTTTTGAAACATTCAAAGTAGAAAAAGTACCACTTTGGGTTATCGGAAATCGGATCTACGATTTTGATAAATTACTTGTATATGAAATTTCATCAACCTAGCTGTAACGGTGCTCAAGTTATCGTGTTTACACACAGACACATACGGACAAGATTGCAAAATTATGTTTTTCTGTATCAGTGAGGTGTAAAACGTCAAGATTTGTATAAATCGCGATTTTTTTTTTTTGCACGATTACAAGACTTTCTCTATACTTCGTGTACTCGAGAAAGTAAAAAAGAGGGGGAAAAAATATCGCAAGTAGCGCGTCACTAAAACATGAATATCTCAAATTCTATGCGTAGGAATATAAAATGATTGAAACATATTAAGAGTAGAATGGCAGAGGAATAATTTAGTACTTTGGGTTTGTTTCTGTGTTAAACGGTTACAAAATAGCCCCCAATAAAAGTCGGGAGATCGCTATGTGTAATTGGCTGTGGAACTTCACTTTAGATCTAGTGAACTAATACACAGGGCCTGCTGATGCCAATGCCAACCCTATTCCCAACCCTAGCTAGTCTTACCATATGCCTATACTACACTTGGGGGAATTTTTATACCGATAATAGAATTTTCTTTAAAAAAGGGGTGTTAGGTTACTAGTAGTAAGTGGTAAAATTAGACGAGATAACAATACTATTAACAACCCAACACCCCCTTTTTTAAAGAAGATTCCATTATCGGACACCGGTATCTATAATAATCCAAGATATCTTTACTTAAGCCTAACACATCTTACACAGCATAAAAAACAAGGCAGATTCTAGCTGGAACTAACTATGCATGCTCAGTGGGGAAACTTGCCTCTCTTCATAGCAATGTTTTCAGTGTACTTGACTTAGTACTTAGTCCTCTTTGCTCCTTATGGAACATAGAGCCTCCACCATTTTGTCAGATCCCAGGCTGTTAATTTTGCAGCCTCCTAAGACATACCTGTTGGCTTTAACTCTTTGAGAAGACTCCGTCTCCAGATCTGTCTTGGACACCCCCTCTTCGACTTTCCCTGAGGTTCCGCTCAAGCACCTTTTTATGTGAGACTTTCAGTGTCACACCCAGCGTCATTTCCTCCTTATTTGCACTGTTATGGGCCCTATCTTGTCTTTCTCTTTTAGTGTACTTTAATCCTCTTTAGTATTAAATATGTAGTTAAATCCACCCTAACCCTATAAAAACTCAACAGCTTTTATTTACAAAGTTAAATAGGAAATGAAAAAGCAAAATAGAAATAATGAGGATCAAAGCCCATTCCACAAAAAACAACCTGTGATGCACAACCACATAAACTGTTATCATAACATAGAAAAGTTGAAAGTCAAATGCAAAGAATGTTTGCGCATACGTATATGCTCTGTCTAGCATTTAGGAGGCTTGTAGTGATTTCCAAAAAAGATCAACAAAGGCTATTTATTTTAACTTTGTTTAATTTGGCATTTATAGCCATCACCCATAACCAGCATACGTATATGCTCTGTCTAGCATTTAGGAGGCTTGTAGTGATTTCCAAAAAAGATCAACAAAGGCTATTTATTTTAACTTTGTTTAATTTGGCATTTATAGCCATCACCCATAACCAGCATCAGAATTTAGAGCTATTAATTACATCCTTTACTGATTAGGGATTCTATTTGAATATTTAATAAAATGATTTAAAGACTGTTTAATATCAATTTTACTAGCAATTCTAGTGTAACAAATGGCTGAGGTTGATCATGAAGAAACTTTTGAGGGTGCAGATGCTGGTGCATCCCAAACCTTCCCCATGCAATGCAGCGCTCTAAGAAAAAATGGTCATGTTGTTCTCAAAGGACGTCCTTGCAAAATAGTTGAAATGTCTACTTCTAAAACCGGAAAGCACGGCCATGCAAAGGTATGTAGCTCTTGTATCTCATGATTAGCATACAGAGTTAATGTTACTACTGGTTATTTTTCAATTCCTTTTCTCTCTCCCTCCCCCTTTCATTTTTATGAGGTGGTCAGTTCAGGGTTGCCTTCTTGTACATTCCTGTCAGCAATTATATGATTTTAACATATGGGTCAAAGAATTACAATTTTGCAGTTATGCTTTTGCCAACAGTAATAATTAAACATTGGTGTTGGATGTCAATTATTTTTGGTAACATTTGGTTGCGTTTTATTGCTAGCTGGCGACATCTTTTTTTTCAAAATTAGTCGCATTTATAATATAAAACTATAAACTGTTAGACATGTTTTTATTGAATGGTGGAGATATTTTGCCAGTTGAATTGTGGGTAAATATTGAGTTTATTAAAATTTAGCAGGTGTTTTTGTTTTTAATGTGAAGATTTTGTAACTACACACTTAATCATGTTTGTTTTTAAAAAAACATTATTATTGGTCTTATTTTAATACCTAGTGTTTAAAAAAATGAAAACAACTAAGTCAAGCGGTTTTTACATAAAATCTTATGCTCTTGTTACTAAAAATTTATGAACGCAGGCAGCCCTGTCTGTTACATCTCTGCGCTGATTTTATAGTTATTAAAGACATTTCTGCTCAGCTTTAAACCATATACCAGTTGGCAGTTTAATTATATATTGACATAGTCAAGATATTTCTTCTGTTTTAGGTACATCTTGTTGGAATAGATTTGTTCACTGGGAAAAAATACGAAGATATATGTCCATCTACTCACAATATGTCAGTTCCAGTGGTCAACCGTCAAGATTACCAGGTTAGACAATTTGAATTGTTATTGTTAGTGTGGGGACAGTGTTGTCTGTGGCAGAACACAAGGCCGCTAACCCAAATACTTAGTCCCTTGTATGCATGTCTTAGTTTAAATGGTCTTAATTATAAGAATATAAGATGATGTATACCACCACCACTAAAGTCAAGTCTTGAGTGTAATGTTGGACTTAAACTCCATATGAACTATCTGTATTTGTGGATCATTTGAAGGAGGGGCTAGAGGCAACATATTTTTGTTTTTAACGATTTGTTCATTGTGTGTTTCTATTTTGTCTTGCTAGCTTGTGAGTATTGATGATAAATACCTTTCCTTAATGGACGATAGTGGTGAAACACGAGAAGATTTGAAACTGCCTGATACTGATGTTGGCAGAGAAATAGAAGAAAAATATGAAAAAGATGAACCATTTATGGTGAGATATGCTAATTTAAACTACCTCTTATATTTTTATCTACACCCATCACGCTTTAATCAATTTTTTTTCTAGGTTTTTAGTATCTGCATTTAGCATGCTGAGATAGTATTATTAGGTCCTGTTTTAATTCAAGGTCTGTTTTAAGGCATTTTGTTGGCTACAAATTGAGAATAACTTGTTCATAGTTGTATAATCTAGTAATATTCACTTGAATATTACTGTTGATTAGTTCTTGAATTGTCTATGAAACATTGACTTTTCTCCAGAATATACCTAATATTGTTCTTAAAAACAACTTACATTACTGTAGGTGTTAAAAAATCAGTTACATTGCATAACTGAATCAATAGTATTTTTTTAATGTCTTGAGTCATTTTTGCCTTGCATAATAAGTTAAAAACATTACATTTGATAGATAACTGTCATGAAAGCCATGGGAGAAGAAATGTGTGTGGGTGTAAAATCAGCAAAAGACTGAGAATCAACATGTGGACACAGATTGGACAATATGAGACCTACACACACAACTGTTCAAATAACTTCTAAAAAATAAAAACAATCTATGCTGACGAATTATTTTGTCATTGGTGCATCAAAGGAGTGACTTTTTTGACAATGATGCATAGTGAAAGATTACCATATTTTTGGCAATTTTTTTTTTTTGAACCATGCCATCATTTTATTGTACCATAACATTTCTTTTCATCTAAACATGACTTTTGTTTTAATAAGAAAGCTATTAAACTTGCAGGGAGCATAATTAGTTAATCTTATTTTCTTTAGTTGCAACAACCATGTTTTAAGGTTTGACTCTCCCTGTGATTTGTTTTTATGACTTTTGCTTCAGCCTCCTAATCAGCTGGTGAAACCTTACCCTTCTGGGTTGTAGAGAATTAACTAGTCACTGTTAGTGTAACTAGATCATAGTCAGGCTAAAATTTTTAGGTACATTGATATGTATTTGATCATTCTTAGTATGAATGTTACCATATTGTGTTTTAAGTGACAACATTGACAGTTTTAATTCAATTAAGAGTTCATGTACACATTTGAATGGTGAGATAGTATACAGATGACCAACTTTGTTACATTTTGAGCTTACATTGGAACTATGCAAGAAAGAATAATTTTTAGAAAAAATACCTAATCTAATTTGGGGGCCCAAAATGTTATTTTGAGTCCTAGGGCTTTTGGTGCGTTTTGACTTTGACACTTAAAGATGGAACCACAAGGGTGTTAGGCATTTGTCTGTTTAGGTTCAGAAATACTCTATTAAATAAGTTTTAGATTAAATATCTTGATCTGATATTAAATGGGGAGGGTTCATGTGGGTATTTGAATGCTATGTTGCCTCAATATATTTCTTTGTTTTGTGTATAAGCCCTGGTGCACTTGATTGATGTGTGTTAAGCCATGCTGTGTATTTTCTGGGATAGGTGGTGTGAGTGAATGAAATGGATGTGTCTGTACTTGTAGGTCTAATCCATCTGTCCTATTCGAATAAATAAAAGAGAAAAATTGCCTGCATCTGTTTCACTTTCATCATTTCAAATATTGTCTAGACATTGTTTCCTTGCTCTTGTTTGAGATGCCATTTCCTTGCTATGTAATACAAGCAAGTTGTATACAAGATACTCAAAGGTTTTAATTGTAACATTAAACGATGTAAGGTTTTAAGTGAATTACCCAAGGCATTGGGCAAAAAGATTTTTCAATGTATTTAAAATTTAATTTTTAATAAGGGTTTTAATTTCCCACTTAATTTGTCCTAGATGTTGACACCAACTGCAAAGGTCACAAATTAAAATATCTAAGTAGCTTATAAAGCTTAATGATCTACTCTTTTGCAGTGAAAAAGCTGTATTCTGTGGTTGACTAGGGTAACCTAGGACTATCACACTGAAGAGTACGTATGCACTGCCCCCTTTGTTTTTCCATAAAAAAAAACCCTAGAGCAGGGGTGGGCAATTGTTTTAGCTCCAGGGCCACTTTGTGGTAGCATTGGGCCAAACCATTTAAAATTATTGTATAAAATAAAAGATGAAGTTATGTTTACACACTTAAGTTGTGAAATGAAGTTTTTTCATTTTCTGAGGGTGTAATTTTTGAAAATCTTTTTATTGCAAATTATACACAGCAAAAATGCAGACTTATTAAAATCCGTTATCTGCAAAACACACCTTAGTACAGAGGAGCTGCCTGAAAAGACAGATACTGGTGTATAAGATATAGGGCTGGTAAGTAGGTCAATAAACAGCTCTATGGCTCATGCAGAGCCGTAGAACAGGTTGGTGACCTATTGTAAACCATTATTTGCACAACAGTTTATTATATATAGGAAGCTCAGCCATAAGTTACACTAGAAGAACAGCAATCCCTATAGAAAAAAACCAAGGGTGGCTACAAACAACTGCTAATAATACTCTTCTGAAAGAATTTCTGGGAATTATCTGCAATGCAAGAAATCTATTCCCCTATCACTCAATAAGTAAATGTATAAATTTCCAGCTTTGAGCTACAAAAAAAAAAGGACCTAAGTAAATAAATAAGCTGTTGTTGACTCACAAAGTGTCAGTGAATTCATGAATAAATAAATAGCTTACAGTCAGTAAATGCCAACGAAACCCAAAAATATTGGCTACTTGGTTATAATAATAACTTTAAAAAAAGTTCGTCTCTTAATTTGTTTATTCAAATTATTGTCTTAAAAAATTAAACAGTGCATGGCTTTTCCAGTTAAATGCATTACACTACTAAGAAACAGTTTTTTAAAAGTTAATATTGTCTATCTAATCAGAATTACCAAATTCTTTTTTTATGCATAGAAGATACAGGATAACACATTATACACAATTTACAAAGATTTTGCACATGAATATTTATGGACAGTCACCAGCACTAGTTACTTCTAATATGTCCCTTTTATTATAATTTTCGACATCTTTGAGAAAATTTCTTATGGTGCCACTGTCCTTTACTGATATAGCTCTCTCTTCTTTCTGCACTATTCCTTTAGATCTTCTTGATTTCTTTTCTTCAACCTTAATTTGACGTGACAATGATTTACTAATATCTTTGCTGAGAGCAATTGCCACATATTCATCCACCTCTGTTTCAGACAGTTCATTGTTTATGTTTGTAGTAATTGCACACAATTTATTTGGGACATTTTCAACACAATTTTCATCACAGCTTATTGCTTGGCCATTACAAAATAAAGGTGAATTATTTAAAGAATTGACTGGTAATTCGTCTGATAAATATAAGGCTTCTCTATTTACAAAACTGTTGTCATTGGTTAAAACTATCGTTTCTGTATTTAAACAATTATTTTTTGAATCATTTGATAAAGAAGAGAGTTGGCAAACTGGAGCCTGAGGGTAACCCTCTGTGATGGCCTTGGTACCACTAGAGATGTCTGTGATGGCCTTGGTACCACTAGAGATGTCTGTGATGGCCTTGGTACCACTAGAGATGTCTGTGATGGCCTTGGTACCACTAGAGATGTCTGTGATGGCCTTGGTACCACTAGAAATGTCTGTGATGGCCTTGGTACCACTAGAGATGTCTGTGATGGCCTTGGTACCACTAGAGATGTCTGTGATGGCCTTGGTACCACTAGAGATGTCTGTGATGGCCTTGGTACCACTAGAGATGTCTGTGATGGCCTTGGTACCACTAGAGATGTCTGTGATGGCCTTGGTACCACTAGAGATGTCTGTGATGGCCTTGGTACCACTAGAAATGTCTGTGATGGCCTTGGTACCACTAGAGATGTCTGTGATGGCCTTGGTACCACTAGAGATGTCTGTGATGGCCTTGGTACCACTAGAGATGTCTGTGATGGCCTTGGTACCACTAGAGATGTCTGTGATGGCCTTGGTACCACTAGAGATGTCTGTGATGGCCTTGGTACCACTAGAAATGTCTGTGATGGCCTTGGTACCACTAGAGATGTCTGTGATGGCCTTGGTACCACTAGAGATGTCTGTGATGGCCTTGGTACCACTAGAGATGTCTGTGATGGCCTTGGTACCACTAGAGATGTCTGTGATGGCCTTGGTACCACTAGAGATGTCTGTGATGGCCTTGGTACCACTAGAGATGTCTGTGATGGCCTTGGTACCACTAGAGATGTCTGTGATGGCCTTGGTACCACTAGAGATGTCTGTGATGGCCTTGGTACCACTAGAGATGTCTGTGATGGCCTTGGTACCACTAGAGATGTCTGTGATGGCCTTGGTACCACTAGAGATGTCTGTGATGGCCTTGGTACCACTAGAGATGTCTGTGATGGCCTTGGTACCACTAGAGATGTCTGTGATGGCCTTGGTACCACTAGAGATGTCTGTGATGGCCTTGGTACCACTAGAGATGTCTGTGATGGCCTTGGTACCACTAGAGATGTCTGTGATGGCCTTGGTACCACTAGAGATGTCTGTGATGGCCTTGGTACCACTAGAGATGTCTGTGATGGCCTTGGTACCACTAGAGATGTCTGTGATGGCCTTGGTACCACTAGAGATGTCTGTGATGGCCTTGGTACCACTAGAGATGTCTGTGATGGCCTTGGTACCACTAGAGATGTCTGTGATGGCCTTGGTACCACTAGAAATGTCTGTGATGGCCTTGGTACCACTAGAGATGTCTGTGATGGCCTTGGTACCACTAGAGATGTCTGTGATGGCCTTGGTACCACTAGAGATGTCTGTGATGGCCTTGGTACCACTAGAGATGTCTGTGATGGCCTTGGTACCACTAGAGATGTCTGTGATGGCCTTGGTACCACTAGAAATGTCTGTGATGGCCTTGGTACCACTAGAGATGTCTGTGATGGCCTTGGTACCACTAGAGATGTCTGTGATGGCCTTGGTACCACTAGAGATGTCTGTGATGGCCTTGGTACCACTAGAGATGTCTGTGATGGCCTTGGTACCACTAGAGATGTCTGTGATGGCCTTGGTACCACTAGAGATGTCTGTGATGGCCTTGGTACCACTAGAGATGTCTGTGATGGCCTTGGTACCACTAGAGATGTCTGTGATGGCCTTGGTACCACTAGAGATGTCTGTGATGGCCTTGGTACCACTAGAGATGTCTGTGATGGCCTTGGTACCACTAGAGATGTCTGTGATGGCCTTGGTACCACTAGAGATGTCTGTAGCTTCAACTCTTTTTCTTCTCTCTGCCTTTTTGCTCCTAAGAGAAGGAGCTCTTAAAAGCCCTTTAGTTTTGATTAATTCAGAATCGAGTGGGTTAGTTCTGTTTGCCAGATTTGTTTGTCTTTCTTCTTCTGCCCCTCGTATGGCCTCCACCCTGCAATACACAATCAAAGAGTTGGTGTCAAAATAGCTAGTAACAAATCACAAAGCAAGTATTGGGGTGGGAGAAAAAATACCTTTGTTGGCTGTCTGGGTGTACAGAGGATATTTCTTCCAACAATGAAGCAATTTGTTGTTCTTGTTCAGAAGTTTGATTTGACTGTCCAAGCCTAAAGCAATGGGAATAGTCAAGCCATTACAACATTCAAAACATTTAGTAAGGTTACATTGTTGAAAAAATGCATTGATTTTTATATTTACATAACAATGCCCTTGTAATTTTGTTTAATGCTGACAGTACTGACATAAAGGTATTTGAACATGAACCTTGCAATCTTTAATTATGATTAATCAAAGATAATGCGGGTTAAAATTAATTAAACAGTGCATTTTTTCAAGACCAAGCTTTTATTGAAGTTGGACAGAAGCTTCAAAAGTATAATCTTAAAAAGTTTATCTGACAAGTAGTCAGCCCTGTTTGGCTAAAGCTGTGTGTTCTTAGATCATGTCTCAAAGTTTAAAAAGCTAAACTTTACTTAGGGGCAAGTCGCTCAGTGACTGCAGCAATAGAGGACACAAATGATGTTAACTGGGAGGCGATCACTCGTAGTTGCTGGCTCTCTTGCTTCAGTCGCATCACGTCCTGCAGCTGAGCTGGAAGTAATGAGAAATTAATGCTACAACTACAATGACCAATTTAGACATGTCTACTACAGTACAACTATAATGACCAATTTAGACATGTCTACTACATTACAACTACAATGACCAATTTATTCAGGTTTACCACAGTACAACTATAATGAATGTGCACCACATTTCTAAGGATGAAATCAGATCTATCAACCACAAGTCTCACATAAATAATGTGAGGCCATATTCTGGTTATAAAAACATTGTTTTAACAGCCTCTTGTGTCAGTACACATAAACCTGTATGATGGAAATCTCACTCACCTTGATACAAGCAGCGTATCACACTCACCTTGATACAAGCAGCGTATCACACTCACCTTGATACAAGCAGCGTATCACACTCACCTTGATACAAGCAGCGTATCACACTCACCTTGATACAAGCAGCGTATCACACTCACCTTGATACAAGCAGTGTATCACAATCACCTTGATACAAGCAGCGTATCACACTCACCTTGATACAAGCAGCGTATCACACTCACCTTGATACAAGCAGCGTATCACACTCACCTTGATGCAAGCAGTGTATCACAATCACCTTGATACAAGCAGCGTATCACACTCACCTTGATACAAGTCTTGTTCATTGTTCAGCCGTTCCAGACTTTCTTCCCAGTGCTAGAGAGGAGAAAATTTTTTTTTGTAGCAGGAAAACTAGGGCTACACTTTTGGTATGGATAAGTTAAAGTAGTAGTTTTTAGTAGGGTCAATTTGTATTGAAAAAAACAAAACAACAAATTCTGATACCTTGTCAAGTAATGGCATCTTTTGCTCTAAAATATTATAGTGAGCCTCAAGATGGTTCTGTACAGCTTCTATCCGATTGGTCAGGGCCAGAACTTCATCTTTTTTAGCCAAACATCTCCGCATGGTTAAATCACGTTGTAATTCTTGGCACTGAGTTTTCATTTGCTCCAACTTTTGTAGTAGATCCTTCACCAGCACAAAATAGAACACATCTATTATTACACAATGACTTTCAAAATTTATCTTCTATTAGGTAAAGAATCAACTCAATATTGTAATTAGGTAAAGAGTAAAATATCTGTTCTAACTGAACCCAATTGGAAGCTAATGTTAGACCTGGCTAAGGTAAGTGGTGACCTACCCTGTGAGCATTCTCAAACTCCCTGCAGTGCTCAGCAAACTGGCCTTTAGCATCAATAAATTTGACCTTGGCTCCATTTAAGCCATTTGTTCGCCTGGTATGGTTGGGGGTCAGTCTATGTATCACAGGGCTACCTGGACAGGAGCCAGCGTGGATGCCATTTACTCTGCAATGGAGAATTACAACCCTATTTTCTTCTTGTATAAAATTTTTTTTACAACCAGTAATGTGACGATGACATTTTATGTTCAAATAAACTAAAAACAGATAAGAAAGATTTTTGTTCACCACACTTAGGATGAAAAGTGCAAGTTCTCTTTTAATTCTACATAGGGAACTTCCCCTTAAGAAAGGCAAATGAGTACATATAAACCTTACCCATTAGTCTATTCTAAATATGAACCTTATCAAATCTCAGTTCAGGCTAGTGACTGTCCCTAGGTCCACATAGCTCTGATGGGTATCAGAATTATGTGGGGGCATAGTGCTGACCACATCATCCCTTCTTAGGCTGAGGTCAAGAAACATTAGTCTACATTTAACCTTACTTAGTAGTCTACATATGAGCTTACCCATTAGCCATGGAGGCAGAGGTCAGTGTACACCTCTGAAGAGGCACATACAACAAAGGCTCAAGGCTTCTGAAAAAAATAATTATTCATATTTTATTCAAATGAAATCTGTGCCAAATTTGCTTTAACCCAGCTTTTCCCATATAAGAAACAAAAAAGGACTCCAGTCATCAGTGAAATAGAAACAGAAAGTACAGATGAGACCTTGACAAACAGGCACTCAAATTTGTGTGAAAACTCACTTGAAAAATTTGTGTGAAAACTCACTTTAAAAATTTGTGTGAAAACTCACTTTAAAAATTTGTGTGAAAACTCACTAGAAAAATGTGTGTGAAAACTCACTTAAAAATGTGTGTGAAAACTCACTTGAAAAATTCCGTTTTGTACGCGGTATCAATCTGACCACTCTGTGTGGGGTGGATGGGGTGCTGGTTTTGGACAATTGATTTCAAACGTTCCATTAATACCTGAAGAATTTTGCATTGTCACTGGCAGTTAAAAAATTGATTTCAATTTCATGTATGTACAATTAAAACCATCAGATAAAAAAATGAAAAATTTTAATTGCTTAAAAAATGAAAAAGTAAAAATACTTACATTGGCAAAATCTAAAAATTCAAATTTATTTGCCGATCCCCTAAAAGCACTGGCAATCACAAGGTGAACGTGAAGTGTGGGCAATAAAGTGGACAGAGATTTCAGCTGGGAGCGAAACGTTGCCTCTTTGTCTGCATATTGGCTAAAGAATAAATTATTATTTAAAAATATGATTTAAAATTCCATTTTTAATTAAAGAAATAAAAATTAGTAATAGTAAATTTTGTTCCCAGACAAATTGACCTGTCAACTTTTTGCAGGAGTAAAGTCTTGGTCTCAGACAGTCTCTCCAACAGGGTTCCATATAACTCTTCAATGGCTACCCGTTCCTTCCCAGAGTTCATTTTAATTTCCTCCAGTAGAGCCTTGAACAGCAAGATTCCTTCACGTACTGAGTTCTGGAGTTCTCTGAAAGCCTACAGTTATTGGGTTGGATCAACATAATTCACTTGAAAAACTCAATTTAAAAAGTACATAATTACTGTGCGAAAACTATATTTATAAAGTATATAATTACTGGGCATAAAATAATATACCTGAACTCTGAGATCCAACTTTTTAAAACTTTGAGTGTAGGCGGTTTCTAAGTCTAGACAATGGCCTCGACTTTCTCTGGATTATCATGGAAAATAGAGACAAGTCAAAGTGGAGTGGAAACTATTTTATCTTGGTCATATTCTACAGAGAGATGTATTACATGAAAATTGATAAACTGTATGATAGTTTACAGGTGGGCTAGCATTAGAGGGAACTAACTATGAGTTAACTCTAGGACCAGGATTGCATGAAGATGACAGTGGACCAGGCGAGTGACTTACATTCTCATGTCCCTAAAACAGTTGATGCACAGCATCATTTTTTTCTCTGATGAAAACATTATGTAAGGTTCTTCATGAATCACTGTAACAGAAAATTAACATGAAGAGTAGGAAAGAAAACATCATGTAAGGTTCTTCATGAATCACTGTAACAGAAAATTAGCATGTAGAGTAGGAAAGAAAAACTTTTTTGATTTGTATCATTTAAATAACAAGCTAACACTGGGAGCACGTACAACATTTCTTGTGAACTTCTCGAGCTCGTTTTGTCAGTAGAACCATGTCATGACTAGAAAACATTTTGGCACGATGAGTCTCCTCACGACACTTGGGGCACAGCGGCTGAGAGCATGTGTTGCAGAAAAACATTTGAACAGCAGTCTAAAATAGATAAGCAAAATTATCTAGAGTAGTCTAAAGTAGGCATGCAGTACTAGCTATAGCAGTCTAAAAACAAGAAATAACACCTAAAGCAGTCTAAAAACAAGAAATAACACCTAACTAAAGGAATCTCAAACAAAGGAAAAAAACCCAATTACAGAGGCATTTAAAATGCTATGCTAGAGATGATTAGGTATAAGTACAAGCAAAAAGTAATAAGGAACCTACAGAATTACAGTTGTAAGAAAACTGGACTGTAATAGGGCACTTACAGAATCAGTTGTAAGAAAACTGGATTGTAATAGGGCACTTACAGAATCACAGTTGGCACATTGGGCTCGCTCTTCAGTGGATGACTCGATCATAAACTTGAGGAGTAGGTCAGAGGGGGGGAGGGATGTCCCGTCTCTTAAGGTATGGACACATCTGAAAATACAAGCAGACTTGACCAGCCCCCACACAAATACAAGCAGACTTGACCAGCTGCCACACAAATACAAGCAGATTTGATCAGCCCCCACACAAATACAAGCAGACTTGACCAGCCCACACACAAATACAAGCAGACCAGCCCCCACACAAATACAAGCAGACTTGACCAGCCCCCACACAAATACAAGCAGACCAGCCCACACACAAATACAAGCAGACTTGACCAGCCCCCACACAAATACAAGCAGACTTGACCAGCCCCCACACAAATAAAAGCAGACTTGACCAGCTGCCACACAAATACAAGCAGACTTGACCAGCCCACACACAAATACAAGCAGACCAGCCCCCACACAAATACAAGCAGACTGGACCAGCCCCCACACAAATACAAGCAGACTTGACCAGCCCACACACAAATACAAGCAGATCAGCTCCCACACAAATACAAGCAGACCAGCTCCCACACAAATACAAGCAGACCAGCCCCCACACAAATACAAGCAGACTTGACCAGCCCCCACACAAATACAAGCAGACTTGACCAGCCCCCACACAAATACAAGCAGACCAGCCCCCACACAAATACAAGCAGACCAGCCCACACACAAATACAAGCAGACCAGCCCACACACAAATACAAGCAGACTTGACCAGCTCCCACACAAATACAAGCAGACTTGACCAGCCCCCACACAAATACAAGCAGACTTGACCAGCCCCCACACAAATACAAGCAGACCAGCTCCCACACAAATACAAGCAGACTTGACCAGCCCCCACACAAATACAAGCAGACCAGCTCCCACACAAATACAAGCAGACCAGCCCACACACAAATACAAGCAGACCAGCCCCCACACAAATACAAGCAGACCAGCTCCCACACAAATACAAGCAGACTTGACCAGCCCCCACACAAATACAAGCAGACCAGCCCACACACAAATACAAGCAGACTTGACCAGCCCCCACACAAATACAAGCAGACCAGCCCACACACAAATACAAGCAGACTTGACCAGCCCCCACACAAATACAAGCAGACCAGCCCACACACAAATACAAGCAGACTTGACCAGCCCACACACAAATACAAGCAGACCAGCTCCCACACAAATACAAGCAGACTTGACCAGCCCCCACACAAATACAAGCAGACCAGCTCCCACACAAATACAAGCAGACCAGCCCCCACACAAATACAAGCAGACCAGCTCCCACACAAATACAAGCAGACCAGCCCCCACACAAATACAAGCAGACCAGCTCCCACACAAATACAAGCAGACCAGCTCCCACACAAATACAAGCAGACCAGCTCCCACACAAATACAAGCAGACTTGACCAGCCCCCACACAAATACAAGCAGACTTGACCAGCCCCCACACAAATACAAGCAGACCAGCTCCCACACAAATACAAGCAGACCAGCTCCCACACAAATACAAGCAGACCAGCTCCCACACAAATACAAGCAGACCAGCCCCCACACAAATACAAGCAGACCAGCTCCCACACAAATACAAGCAGACTTGACCAGCCCCCACACAAATACAAGCAGACTTGACCAGCTCCCACACAAATACAAGCAGACCAGCTCCCACACAAATACAAGCAGACTTGACCAGCCCCCACACAAATACAAGCAGACCAGCTCCCACACAAATACAAGCAGACCAGCCCACACACAAATACAAGCAGACCAGCCCCCACACAAATACAAGCAGACCAGCCCCCACACAAATACAAGCAGACCAGCTCCCACACAAATACAAGCAGACCAGCCCACACACAAATACAAGCAGACCAGCCCCCACACAAATACAAGCAGACCAGCTCCCACACAAATACAAGCAGACTTGACCAGCCCCCACACAAATACAAGCAGACCAGCCCACACACAAATACAAGCAGACCAGCTCCCACACAAATACAAGCAGACCAGCCCCCACACAAATACAAGCAGACCAGCCCCCACACAAATACAAGCAGACCAGCTCCCACACAAATACAAGCAGACCAGCCCCCACACAAATACAAGCAGACCAGCCCACACACAAATACAAGCAGACTTGACCAGCCCCCACACAAATACAAGCAGACTTGACCAGCCCCCACACAAATACAAGCAGACCAGCCCACACACAAATACAAGCAGACTTGACCAGCCCCCACACAAATACAAGCAGACTTGACCAGCTCCCACACAAATACAAGCAGACCAGCCCCCACACAAATACAAGCAGACCAGTCCCCACACAAATACAAGCAGACCAGCTCCCACACAAATACAAGCAGACTTGACCAGCCCCCACACAAATACAAGCAGACCAGCCCACACACAAATACAAGCAGACTTGACCAGCCCACACACAAATACAAGCAGACCAGCCCCCACACAAATACAAGCAGACCAGCCCACACACAAATACAAGCAGACTTGACCAGCCCCCACACAAATACAAGCAGACTTGACCAGCCCCCACACAAATACAAGCAGACCAGCCCCCACACAAATACAAGCAGACCAGCTCCCACACAAATACAAGCAGACCAGCCCCCACACAAATACAAGCAGACCAGCCCCCACACAAATACAAGCAGACTTGACCAGCCCCCACACAAATACAAGCAGACTTGACCAGCTCCCACACAAATACAAGCAGACCAGCCCACACACAAATACAAGCAGACCAGCCCCCACACAAATACAAGCAGACCAGCCCCCACACAAATACAAGCAGACTTGACCAGCCCCCACACAAATACAAGCAGACCAGCCCCCACACAAATACAAGCAGACCAGCTCCCACACAAATACAAGCAGACTTGACCAGCCCCCACACAAATACAAGCAGACTTGACCAGCCCCCACACAAATACAAGCAGACTTGACCAGCCCCCACACAAATACAAGCAGACTTGACCAGCCCCCACACAAATACAAGCAGACCAGCTCCCACACAAATACAAGCAGACTTGACCAGCCCCCACACAAATACAAGCAGACTTGACCAGCTCCCACACAAATACAAGCAGACCAGCCCACACACAAATACAAGCAGACTTGACCAGCCCCCACACAAATACAAGCAGACCAGCTCCCACACAAATACAAGCAGACCAGCCCCCACACAAATACAAGCAGACCAGCCCCCACACAAATACAAGCAGACTTGACCAGCCCCCACACAAATACAAGCAGACTTGACCAGCTCCCACACAAATACAAGCAGACCAGCCCCCACACAAATACAAGCAGACCAGCTCCCACACAAATACAAGCAGACTTGACCAGCTCCCACACAAATACAAGCAGACTTGACCAGCCCCCACACAAATACAAGCAGACCAGCCCCCACACAAATACAAGCAGACTTGACCAGCTCCCACACAAATACAAGCAGACCAGCTCCCACACAAATACAAGCAGACCAGCCCCCACACAAATACAAGCAGACTTGACCAGCCCCCACACAAATACAAGCAGACCAGCCCACACACAAATACAAGCAGACTTGACCAGCCCCCACACAAATACAAGCAGACCAGCCCACACACAAATACAAGCAGACTTGACCAGCTCCCACACAAATACAAGCAGACCAGCCCCCACACAAATACAAGCAGACTTGACCAGCCCCCACACAAATACAAGCAGACCAGCCCACACACAAATACAAGCAGACTTGACCAGCTCCCACACAAATACAAGCAGACCAGCTCCCACACAAATACAAGCAGACCAGCTCCCACACAAATACAAGCAGACCAGCTCCCACACAAATACAAGCAGACTTGACCAGCCCCCACACAAATACAAGCAGACTTGACCAGCCCCCACACAAATACAAGCAGACCAGCCCCCACACAAATACAAGCAGACCAGCTCCCACACAAATACAAGCAGACTTGACCAGCCCCCACACAAATACAAGCAGACCAGCCCCCACACAAATACAAGCAGACCAGCTCCCACACAAATACAAGCAGACCCCTAGGATTATTCTATATGATAGAATAAAAAGATCAATGGCATGACATTTTCATGTCTGATAAAACCACTCACCCACATAAAGGGTGTGACATTTTCATGTTTGATAAAACCACTCACCCACATAAAGGGCGTGACATTTTCATGTCTGATAAAACCACTCACCCACATAAAGGGCATGACATTTTCCCATCTAATGCACGTCCACGCAGACAGTGAGCACAAAAGCTGTGGAAACAGCCCAGAATGCAAGGGTCTTCATAAGGTTCATTGCACAAATAGCACAAAAGTGGATTTCTTGTTGTAGGCAGGATAGCTTCATCAGGGTTTTCCATTGGCTGAAAAATTTCTCCTGACATACTTGGGTCAACAAATCAGCTAAGTGAGCGCTTCAATCTGTTTCTACAGTGACAGCATCTGAAACAGCAAAATCCAGTCATTGACATTAAACAGGGGCCAGGGGCTACAGCCCCAGTTACCTTCTCTCTTAGAAAGCCTATGGATTATCTACTTTGTTAGAAACAAAACCAAAATGATAGACTTAAAATTTCTCAGCGCCCTCACGACTAGCCCCTAAAAATGTATTAGGGCCTAAGTAAAGTAAATAACATATACTAAAACATGTTCTTTGGCATATCCTATTCAATTTCAGTTAGTTTATTCTAAAAAAAAAACCATTATAAAATGATGCTACATAGGGATGAGGCAGTGCTTGTGAAATAAAAATGTTTGCCTACATGTCAGGTTACTTTCAATTGCTCAGTCACAATCTTAACTTTAATATAAATATATTTATTTTATTATTTAGGCCTAATTAATTTAAATTTAATATAGATCTAGATTCTAACTTACGTTTTTTTACATAGTCATTTCTAGATTTTGGATTGTGTTGCGGTTGTCACGGTTGTGTAACTGTTGGACTAACAACAGACTAGCTAGATCTGCTGATCTAACATTACTAGATCTAGATCTAGTAGTAGTAACAGTCTAACAATCACAATGTTACAACAATGAACTCAATAAAATAAACTATGAACAATGTGAATGAGAATGTTCAATTGTTCATTGAGTGTATTGTTGGACGTACATTCATTAACAATAATACTAGGCCTATAGACAATTTATTTTATTAATATACGAAGAACGTGAATTGGATCTAATCTAGATCTAGTGTAATTAGTTCATTGATGCAATGTATATTTATGTCCTTTCTTTCATTCATTTTGGTACTAGACTAGATCATTTGTATCTAGATTCTAGATATCTAGATCTATCAACTCTAGAATAGATCAAACCGGAAGACGGAAGATGTTAAAAAAAAAGAAGAAACGAAAAAATAAAAGAAAAAAGGGGAAGTGGCCAAAGAAGGCAATTTACTAATACTATTCTTAAAAGTTGAAGAGTTCATGTATTCAATATGGCTGAGTACACAATCTTCACGGGTTGATGTACCTGGTTTTAGAGAATAATTGATCTAGAATCTAGACTTCTAGGTAATCGAACTGAGGTGATATTAGATCTACATTTTGGTACAGAAAATATGTTTGAATAAATAACCCTCTTGATCAATTAAATTTATTTGCTGGGGCAATTTGTGGAACAATCATTCATGAATCATAGATCATGACATAGAATAGATCTAGATCGGGGTAAAACTCCATTTTTACAATTTTACGCTTTTTTTTAAAGCGTAGAATAAGAATTAGAATCTATTTTATTCCCCGCTTCACGTTCACCTCCAGTTGAGTTGAGCGTATTTTATTATCAACACAACCAAAACACACACAAACGTTAGGAAAACACTAGGCCTTTTTCTTTAAGAACTTTTGTTTTAATTTTTGACAATTTACTTTTATCAAAACTTGATAGGATAATTATTGGTAAAATTATTGGGTAATGTTCGTTGAGTTTCGGTAACATTCGTTACTGTAAACCATAGTTTATTTGACCGATGAAAGAAAAATAAAGTCAAGTGCATTAAATTAATGCTTTAACTTAATTTAATGTTTAACTGACCAAAAATTAGCAACAATTAGTAAATCTAAATATTATTAATAAAGTCGAGTGTAGTAATTAATGTTTTTTTTTAAGAAACAGAAAAAACCTGCAGAAGATTTGCGACAACCAGCACTAGTTCTGTTAGTAAATAAGACGATTAGATTAACTAAAGTTAAAAGTAGTAAGAATAACTAGAATAATGTTTAGTAGCAGCAATAATTAGCACATACACTTAAAATAATTAGAAATACAAAATAATTAGCAAAACAGTATTTAAAATGCAACTAAAATCAATCCTTGCACATTTTTAAATATTATGTATTAAAAATAATATGGCGGCAAATAAATGATGGTTTACAGTATTTCCGGTGGTTTCCGGAACGGCTCGACAGGCTACGCCATGGTTTTACTGTTTTTTACTGCTGTACAGTTCCGGAATAATAACCGACGCTATATCGTGATTTTACCTAATTATTAATTAGTACAAATCAAGTTAAATTATTTTTTCTGGCATAGGAAGGCAGATAATTCATTTGTTTATAGTCTCACATTCAAATCATGATGAGCCATAGTATGATGAGCAATGTTTTCATTTGTTGTAGACAGGAGCCTTAGTGTGATAAGTATAGTTTTCATTTGTTGTAGATAGGAGCCTTAGTGTGATAAGTATAGTTTTCATTTGTTGTAGATAGGAGCCTTAGTGTGATAAGTATAGTTTTCATTTGTTGTAGATAGGAGCCTTAGTGTGATAAGTATAGTTTTCATTTGTTGTAGATAGGCGCCTTAGTGTGATAAGTATAGTTTTCATTTGTTGTAGATAGGAGCCTTAGTGTGATAAGTATAGTTTTCATTTGTTGTAGATAGGCACGTGATGTTTCAATGTTAGAGGTCCAGGATTTATGGCCAGAAGACAGACTATAATAATTGAATAACAAATCAGAATCTGGGGCCAACCAATGAAATATCCTGAAATAAAATTTTAACAACAGTGTTTGATAAAACTATGAGTAAAAATGACAGCTAACAGTTTGTGTGTTCGTGTGTATGCAGGGTGTTACAGAGTTTTTGCAGGGTGTACTTTAAAAACTAAAAATGAAGATGTTTGTTTTAATTAGAAATGGTCATTTAGGGTGGGGATGGAGTAGAACACTGTGATGTTATTTACTGTATTTATTTACTGATTGTGATGCTAAAGTGGGCTGCTGTTATTAAAGTCAGAGACTACTTACTGAGAGTATCTTACGGAGCTTCTCTTTGATCCTTTTCCAGCAAGTAAATAACAAAGCATGGCTACTAAAGCAGTTCTACAGAGCTTTGTGCTGGGGCTAAAGCACAGGCAAGAGGATGTGCGCTTCAAAACTGCTGTGGACTTGCACCACTTTGTTGTGACAGAGCTGAGAGAAATGCAACAAGATGACGTGGCCTCCTTTATGGATGACTTCAACCATCACATATTTGAAATGGTTTCTAGCTCTGATGTCAACGAAAGAAAAGGCGGAGTCTTGGCTATAGGTAACATTTCAAAGTTAAGCTATCTGCATACATAGGTAACATTTTGAAATTACGCTATCTGCATACATAGGTAACATTTCAAAGTTACACTATCTGCATACATAGGTAACATTTTGAAATTACGCTATCTGCATACATAGGTAACATTTCAAAGTTACACTATCTGCATACATAGGCAACATTTTGAAATTACGCTATCTGCATACATAGGTAACATTTCAAAGTTAAGCTATCTGCATACATAGGCAACATTTTGAAATTATGCTACCTGCACACATAGGTAACATTTTGAAATTATGCTACCTGCACATACAGGGCTCTTTGTTGACACAAACATAAGGTTCAAATTACTTCAAGCGTAGCTAATCTAACCCTGTCCTTTCTCCCATTGGTCTAATGTGTTGACATTATGTTTCCATGGTAACCAGTGAGTCTTCTGGGTGGTGATGTTGGCAACATAGGAACTCGCATGAGTCGCTTTGCCAACTACCTGATGAACTTGCTGCCATCCAACTCGTACGACCTGGGTGTCATGGAGATGGCTGCCAAGGCTGTGGGCATTCTGGCGCTGTCCTCTGGGACCTACGCAGCTGAATATGTGGAGTTTGAAGTGAGAAGGGCCTTAGAGTGGCTGGTGTCTGATCGCATTGAGGGCAGGAGACAGGCAGCTGTAAGTAACTGACCAATGGTCAACTCATCCCTCTTATTCCTCTTGTTCTTGTCCCTCACTTGAGGCAGCTGTAAGTAACTGACCAATGGTCAACTCATCCCTCTTATCTCTCTTGTTCTTGTCCCTCACTTGAGGCAGCTGTAAGTAACTGACCAATGGTCAAGTCATCCCTCTTATCCCTCTTGTTCTTGTCCCTCACCTGTGTTGAAAACTGGTGAATCAAGACAGAATTCCATTCAATGATTCCATTCAATGATTCCATTCAATGATTCCATTCAATGATTCCATTCAATGATTCCATTCAATGATTCCATTCATTGATTCCATTCAATGATTCCATTCAATGATTCCATTCAATGATTCCATTCAATGATTCAATGATTCCATTCAATGATTCCATTCAATGATTCAATGATTCCATTCAATGATTCCATTCAATGATTTCATTCAATGATTCCATTCAATGATTCCATTCAATGATTTCATTCAATGATTCCATTCAATGATTCCATTCAATGATTCCATTCAATGATTCCATTCAATGATTCCATTCAATGATTTCATTCAATGATTCCATTCAATGATTCCAGTCAATGATTCCATTCAATGATTCAATGATTCCATTCAATGATTCCATTCAATGATTTCATTCAATGATTCCATTCAATGATTCCATTCAATGATTTCATTCAATGATTCCATTCAATGATTCCATTCAATGATTCCATTCAATGATTCAATGATTCCATTCAATGATTTCATTCAATGATTCCATTCAATGATTCCATTCAATGATTCCATTCAATTATTCCATTCAATTATTCCATTCAATTATTCCATTCAATGATTCCATTCAATGATTCCATTCAATGATTCCATTCAATTATTCCATTCAATGATTCCATTCAATGATTCCATTCAATGATTCCATTCAATTATTCCATTCAATGATTCCATTCAATGATTCCATTCATTATTCCCAGGTGTTGGTGCTCAAAGAACTAGCCGTCAACACACCCACATTTTTTTACCAACAAGTTCAGCAGTTCTTTGACTCCATCTTTTTTGCTGTCAGAGATCCAAAGGTCAGTTACAAGTGGTGGCTATGGTGGGGGTGGGGTGGGGGGGGGGGTGGCTAGGGTTAGTCTAAAGGAGCCTTGAGTTGGGGGGTGGCTAGGGTTAGTTTAAAGGGGCCTTGAGTTGGGGGGGGGGTGGCTAGGGTTAGTTTAAAGGGGCCTTGAGTTGAAGGGTGGCTAGGGTTAGTTTAAAGGAGCCTTGAGTTGGGGGGTGGCTAGGGTTAGTTTAAAGGAGCCTTGAGTTGGGGGGTGGCTAGGGTTAGTTTAAAGGAGCCTTGAATTGGGGGGGGGGGGTGGGGGTGGCTAGGGTTAGTTTAAAGGAGCCTTGAATTGGGGGGGGGGGGTGGGGGTGGCTAGGGTTAGTTTAAAGGAGCCTTGAGTTGGGGGGTGGCTAGGGTTAGTTTAAAGGAGCCTTGAGTTGGGGGGTGGCTAGGGTTAGTTTAAAGGAGCCTTGAGTTGGGGGGTGGCTAGGGTTAGTTTAAAGGGGCCTTGAGTTGGGGGGGGGGGGGTGGCTAGGGTTAGTTTAAAGGGGCCTTGAGTTGGGGGGTGGCTAGGGTTAGTTTAAAGGGGCCTTGAGTTGGGGGGTGGCTAGGGTTAGTTTAAAAGAGCCTTGAGTTGGGGGGTGGCTAGGGGTTAGTTTAAAGGAGCCTTGAGTTGGGGGGTGGCTACGGTTAGTTTAAAGGAGCCTTGAGTTCGGGGGTGGCTAGGGTTAGTTTAAAGGAGCCTTGAGTTGGGGGGTGGCTAGGGTTAGTTTAAAGGGGCCTTGAGTTGGGGGGTGGCTAGGGTTAGTTTAAAGGAGCCTTGAGGTGGGGGGTGGCTAGGGTTAGTTTAAAGGAGCCTTGAGTTGGGGGTTGCTAGGGTTAGTTTAAAGGAGCCTTGAGTTGGGGGGTGGCTAGGGTTAGTTTAAAGGAGCCTTGAGGTGGGGGGTGGCTAGGGTTAGTTTAAAGGAGCCTTGAGTTGGGGGGTGGCTAGGGTTAGTTTAAAGGAGCCTTGAGTTGGGGGGTGGCTAGGGTTAGTTTAAAGGAGCCTTGAGTTGGGGGGTGGCTAGGGTTAGTTTAAAGGGGCCTTCAGTTGTGGGTGGGGTGGGGGTGGCTAGGGTTAGTTTAAAGGAGCCTTGAGTTGGGGGGTGGCTAGGGTTAGTTTAAAGGAGCCTTGAGTTGGGGGTGGGGTGGGGGTGGCTAGGGTTAGTTTAAAGGAGCCTTGAGTTGGGGGGGGGGGTGGCTAGGGTTAGTTTAAAGGAGCCTTGAGTTGGGGGTGGGGTGGGGGTGGCTAGGGTTAGTTTAAAGGAGCCTTGAGTTGGGGGTGGGGTGGGGGTGGCTAGGGTTAGTTTAAAGGAGCCTTGAGTTCGGGGGTGGCTAGGGTTAGTTTAAAGGAACCTTGAGTTGGGGGGTGGCTAGGGTTAGTTTAAAGGGGCCTTGAGTTGGGGGGTGGCTAGGGTTAGTTTAAAGGAGCCTTGAGTTGGGGGGTGGCTAGGGTTAGTTTAAAGGGGCCTTGAGTTGGGGGGTGGCTAGGGTTAGTTTAAAGGAGCCTTGAGTTGGGGGGTGGCTAGGGTTAGTTTAAAGGGGCCTTGAGTTGGGGGTGGCTAGGGTTAGTTTAAAGGAGCCTTGAGTTGGGGGTGGGGTGGGGGTGGCTAGGGTTAGTTTAAAGGAGCCTTGAGTTGGGGGGTGGCTAGGGTTAGTTTAAAGGAGCCTTGAGTTGGGGGGGGGGGGGTGGCTAGGGTTAGTTTAAAGGAGCCTTGAGTTGGGGGTGGGGTGGGGGTGGCTAGGGTTAGTTTAAAGGAGCCTTGAGTTCGGGGGTGGCTAGGGTTAGTTTAAAGGAGCCTTGAGTTGGGGGGTGGCTAGGGTTAGTTTAAAGGGGCCTTGAGTTGGGGGGTGGCTAGGGGTTAGTTTAAAGGAGCCTTGAGTTGGGGGGTGGCTAGGGTTAGTTTAAAGGAGCCTTGAGTTGGGGGGGGGGGTGGCTAGGGTTAGTTTAAAGGAGCCTTGAGTTGGGGGGGGGGGGTGGCTAGGGTTAGTTTAAAGGAGCCTTGAGTTGGGGGGTGGCTAGGGTTAGTTTAAAGGAGCCTTGAGTTGGGGGGTGGCTAGGGTTAGTTTAAAGGAGCCTTGAGTTGGGGGGTGGCTAGGGTTAGTTTAAAGGGGCCTTGAGTTGAAGGGTGGCTAGGGTTAGTTTAAAGGGGCCTTGAGTTGGGGGGTGGCAAGGGTTAGTTTAAAGGAGCCTTGAGTTGGGGGGTGGCTAGGGTTAGTTTAAAGGAGCCTTGAGTTGGGGGGTGGCTAGGGTTAGTTTAAAGGGGCCTTGAGTTGGGGGGTGGCTAGGGTTAGTTTAAAGGAGCCTTGAGTTGGGGGGTGGCTAGGGTTAGTTTAAAGGAGCCTTGAGTTGGGGGGTGGCTAGGGTTAGTTTAAAGGAGCCTTGAGTTGGGGGGTGGCTAGGGGTTAGTTTAAAGGAGCCTTGAGTTGGGGGGTGGCTAGGGTTAGTTTAAAGGGGCCTTGAGTTGGGGGGTGGCTAGGGGTTAGTTTAAAGGAGCCTTGAGTTGGGGGGTGGCTAGGGTTAGTTTAAAGGAGCCTTGAGTTGGGGGGTGGCTAGGGTTAGTTTAAAGGAGCCTTGAGTTGGGGGGTGGCTAGGGGTTAGTTTAAAGGGGCCTTGAGTTGGGGGGGTGGCTAGGGTTAGTTTAAAGGAGCCTTGAGTTGGGGGGGGGGGGGGGTGGCTAGGGTTAGTTTAAAGGAGCCTTGAGTTGGGGGGGTGGCTAGGGTTAGTTTAAAGGAGCCTTGAGTTGGGGGTGGCTAGGGTTAGTTTAAAGGAGCCTTGAGTTGGGGGGTGGCTAGGGTTAGTTTAAAGGAGCCTTGAGTTGGGGGGTGGCTAGGGTTAGTTTAAAGGGGCCTTGAGTTGGGGGGTGGCTAGGGTTAGTTTAAAGGAGCCTTGAGTTGGGGGGTGGCTAGGGTTAGTTTAAAGGAGCCTTGAGTTGGGGGGTGGCTAGGGTTAGTTTAAAGGAGCCTTGAGTTGGGGGGTGGCTAGGGGTTAGTTTAAAGGAGCCTTGAGTTGGGGGGTGGCTAGGGTTAGTTTAAAGGGGCCTTGAGTTGGGGGGTGGCTAGGGGTTAGTTTAAAGGAGCCTTGAGTTGGGGGGTGGCTAGGGTTAGTTTAAAGGAGCCTTGAGTTGGGGGGGGTGGCTAGGGTTAGTTTAAAGGAGCCTTGAGTTGGGGGTGGGGTGGGGGTGGCTAGGGTTAGTTTAAAGGAGCCTTGAGTTGGGGGGTGGCTAGGGTTAGTTTAAAGGAGCCTTGAGTTGGGGGGTGGCTAGGGTTAGTTTAAAGGAGCCTTGAGTTGGGGGGTGGCTAGGGTTAGTTTAAAGGGGCCTTGAGTTGAAGGGTGGCTAGGGTTAGTTTAAAGGGGCCTTGAGTTGGGGGGTGGCTAGGGTTAGTTTAAAGGAGCCTTGAGTTGGGGGGTGGCTAGGGTTAGTTTAAAGGGGCCTTGAGTTGGGGGTGGGGTGGGGGTGGCTAGGGTTAGTTTAAAGGAGCCTTGAGTTGGGGGGTGGCTAGGGTTAGTTTAAAGGAGCCTTGAGTTGGGGGTGGGGTGGGGGTGGCTAGGGTTAGTTTAAAGGAGCCTTGAGTTGGGGGGTGGCTAGGGTTAGTTTAAAGGAGCCTTGAGTTGGGGGGTGGCTAGGGTTAGTTTAAAGGAGCCTTGAGTTGGGGGTGGGGTGGGGGTGGCTAGGGTTAGTTTAAAGGAGCCTTGAGTTCGGGGGTGGCTAGGGTTAGTTTAAAGGAACCTTGAGTTGGGGGGTGGCTAGGGTTAGTTTAAAGGGGCCTTGAGTTGGGGGGTGGCTAGGGTTAGTTTAAAGGAGCCTTGAGTTGGGGGGTGGCTAGGGTTAGTTTAAAGGGGCCTTGAGTTGGGGGGTGGCTAGGGTTAGTTTAAAGGAGCCTTGAGTTGGGGGGTGGCTAGGGTTAGTTTAAAGGGGCCTTGAGTTGGGGGTGGCTAGGGTTAGTTTAAAGGAGCCTTGAGTTGGGGGTGGGGGTGGCTAGGGTTAGTTTAAAGGAGCCTTGAGTTGGGGGTGGGGTGGGGGTGGCTAGGGTTAGTTTAAAGGAGCCTTGAGTTGGGGGGTGGCTAGGGTTAGTTTAAAGGAGCCTTGAGTTGGGGGGTGGCTAGGGTTAGTTTAAAGGGGCCTTGAGTTGGGGGGTGGCTAGGGGTTAGTTTAAAGGAGCCTTGAGTTGGGGGGTGGCTAGGGTTAGTTTAAAGGAGCCTTGAGTTGGGGGGGGGGGGTGGCTAGGGTTAGTTTAAAGGAGCCTTGAGTTGGGGGGGGGGGGGTGGCTAGGGTTAGTTTAAAGGGGCCTTGAGTTGGGGGGTGGCTAGGGTTAGTTTAAAGGAGCCTTGAGTTGGGGGGTGGCTAGGGTTAGTTTAAAGGAGCCTTGAGTTGGGGGGTGGCTAGGGTTAGTTTAAAGGGGCCTTGAGTTGAAGGGTGGCTAGGGTTAGTTTAAAGGGGCCTTGAGTTGGGGGGTGGCTAGGGTTAGTTTAAAGGAGCCTTGAGTTGGGGGGTGGCTAGGGTTAGTTTAAAGGAGCCTTGAGTTGGGGGGTGGCTAGGGTTAGTTTAAAGGGGCCTTGAGTTGGGGGGTGGCTAGGGTTAGTTTAAAGGAGCCTTGAGTTGGGGGGTGGCTAGGGTTAGTTTAAAGGAGCCTTGAGTTGGGGGGTGGCTAGGGTTAGTTTAAAGGGGCCTTGAGTTGGGGGGTGGCTAGGGTTAGTTTAAAGGGGCCTTGAGTTGGGGGGTGGCTAGGGGTTAGTTTAAAGGAGCCTTGAGTTGGGGGGTGGCTAGGGTTAGTTTAAAGGAGCCTTGAGTTGGGGGGGTGGCTAGGGTGTGATTGCTTATTATGGTGTCTTGAATTCTTTGTATTTTGTTGTGAGAACCCTATTTATGACCCTTGTCTTCCACTGTACAGCCATCCATCAGAGAAGGAGCTGTTGCTGCTTTAAGGGCAGCCCTGGCTGTGACCTCACAGAGGGAAACTAAAGCTTCTCAAAGGTCTGTCTACAAGGTGGGTCACACTCTCTCTCTCTTAGGACAGAGGGAAACTAAAGCTTCTCAAAGGTCTTTCTGCAAGGTGGGTCAGTCTACAAGGTGGGTCACACTCTCTCTCTCTTAGGACAGAGGGAAACTAAAGCTTCTCAAAGATCTGTCTACAAGGTGGGTCACACTCTCTCTCTCTCTCTTAGGAAGCTGAATTTCTGACACAAAATTCTGCCACAAATTTCTGACACAAAGTTCTGCCACAAATTTCTGACACAAAGTTCTGCCACTGTTCTGCTTGGGTGGGTCAACCCTAGATGCATTATACTTTTTCTTCAAAATGTTCAAATAATATGTTTACAATGATTTACATTGGTGTTCCCATATCCATGTTAATTTACAATGCTTACCAGCGGTGTTTGACACCTGTTCCATCATCCATGATGTTTGACACATGTTGTTCCATTATCCAGCAATGTTTTAACGAAGCACTGAAACCTTTTGACGAGGCTGTTGGCAGAGAAAAGAAGATGACCCGAGATGACTGGGTGCATGGGTCACTGCTCATCATTAACGAACTGCTCAGGTGTAGCAATCAAGAGGCAGAGGTTTGTTGTGAATTTCATTTTTATGTCGAAGGTTTGTTGTGAATTTAGGTTTTAATATTGAAGGTTTGTTGTGATTTAAAGTTTGAGCAGCACACCAAATATTTACTGGTAGAAGATTCTGACAAATGACTAAACTAAATAGAAAAAATTCTGTATACCCTATAATTTAATGGCTGTGTAAGACATGCTCTTGTTGTGTTTGATTTCTTTTTGTATCCCCAGTGTTTACGCATTTGATTTTTTGTATCTTTCAGCGTTTGCGTATGGAAGTGGAAGACATAACATCAGAGCAGAACAACCATGAGAAAAATGCACGAGTAGGTTCTAGTCGTGTTGGTCTTATTGGTCTTATGTACTCATGAAACCATATGATATAAATAAGTCTGTCCCATGTTTGAATGTGTGACGTTGTGTCATGTTTGAATGTGTGACGTTGTGTCATGTTTGAATATGTGACGTTGTGTCATGTTTGAATATGTGACAGTATGTCATGTTTGATTGTGTGACATTGTATCATGTTTGAATGTGTGACATTGTGTCATGTTTGAATGTGTGACGTTGTGTCATGTTTGAATGTGTGACAGTATGTCATGTTTGAATGTGTGACATTGTGTCATGTTTGAATGTGTGACATTGTATCATGTTTGAATGTGTGACATTGTATCATGTTTGAATGTGTGACATTGTGTCATGTTTGAATGTGTGACATTGTGTCATGTTTGAATGTGTGACATTGTGTCATGTTTGAATGTGTGACGTTGTGTCATGTTTGAATGTATGACATTGTGTCATGTTTGAATGTATGACATTGTATCATGTTTGAATGTATGACAGTATGTCATGTTTGAATGTATGACATTGTATCATGTTTGAATGTATGACATTGTGTCATGTTTGAATGTATGACATTGTATCATGTTTGAATGTGTGACAGTATGTCATGTTTGAATGTGTGACATTGTATCATGTTTGAATGTGTGACATTGTGTCATGTTTGAATGTGTGACATTGTGTCATGTTTGAATGTGTGACGTGTGACGTGTGACGTGTGATGTGTGATGTTTCAGGAAGTGGGCAGTAAGACCAGGGCACATGTTTGAATGTGTGACGTGTGACGTGTGACGTGTGATGTGTGATGTTTCAGGAAGTGGGCAGTAAGACCAGGGCACATGTTTGAATGTGTGACGTGTGATGTGTGACGTGTGATGTGTGATGTTTCAGGAAGTGGGCAGTAAGACCAGGGCACATGTTTGAATGTGTGATGTGTGACGTGTGATGTTTCAGGAAGTGGGCAGTAAAACCAGGGGACATGTTTGAATGTGTGACGTGTGATGTGTGATGTTTCAGGAAGTGGGCAGTAAGACCAGGGGACATGTTTGAATGTGTGACGTGTGATGTGTGATGTTTCAGGAAGTGGGCAGTAAGACCAGGGCACATGTTTGAATGTGTGATGTGTGACGTGTGATGTGTGATGTTTCAGGAAGTGGGCAGTAAGACCAGGGCACATGTTTGAATGTGTAACGTGTGATGTTTCAGGAAGTGGGCAGTAAAACCAGGGGACATGCCAGTGTGTCAGCCCTGCAACAGATCCAACAGAAGGCGTCGCCGCTCTACATCTTCTGTCCTGGTGCAAGGGAGAGCCAGCAGAAAATCCCACTCTTTGAGAGCAAGACTTGCAAGGATTTGATGAACGGCAATTTTGACAGGGTAGGTTTGGTTGCTCCATTGACAGGGTAGGTTTGGTTGCTCCATTGACAGGGTAGGTTTGGTTGCTCCATTGACAGGGTAGGTTTGGTTGCTCCATTGACAGGGTAGGCTTGGTTGCTCCATTGACAGGGTAGGCTTGGTTGCTCCATTGACAGGGTAGGTTTGGTTGCTCCATTGACAGGGTAGGTTGATCCATATGTCTACAGTATTGATGGCAATAAACTATTGTACTAATTGTGCCACTCCCCAGATCTGTAATCTGATGTTAAACCATCCACTCCCCAGATCTGTAATCTGATGTTAAACCATCCACTCCCCAGATCTGTAATCTGATGTTAAACCATCGCACCAGCAGAAGTGTCTATGTCCAGCAGACGCTGCTCAGCTCCCTGCCACGTCTTGCAGCCTTTAACCCCCAAGTGTTTACAAGAATGTAAGTTTGCTTTCAGATTTGCGATTTGCTTTAAGAGGCCCCTACTACTCTAGTTCTACTATTGTTGATGACTTTAAGGGGTAGGTGCGGGTAAAAAAAACTTTTTTAATACTAGAGAGCAAACAATTTTTTCTCTACAGATTTTTAAAGGTACATCCGAATATGCATTTCCACTAAAAAAATTGTGAAATTTTTTTTGGTAACTATGACAACGGCGGCCATATTAAAATAATTAACCCCTTTGTAGGATTTCCACCATTCATAAAATATTACATTGTAAGTCCAATAAACAATGAATTCATAATCTTCTATTATATGTTTGGGTACTCAGCTAAAAAATTTTAAGTGCAGATTTTATAACTAATTTCTTATGAATTTTTAATTAGTGGGTCCGTCAAAAACACTAGATTTAATGCCCCAAAACTCCCCAAAATTTAGTGTTTTTACCCGATCCAAAATCCAAGTCCACTAAGTCTGGAATTAGAAACAATATTAGACATTTTGTAACAGTTTATAATTGTACTTAGGTCTCCAACTAATCCTAAACAAGAGAAGGGGTATGTATGTCTCACTAGCTCGCTTGCCATTCCTTCTAGTTACATATCTGTACAACAGATACATCTGTATCTGTTCAACAGATACTTCCGTATCTGGGCGGCTAACACAATTTTACTGCCATAAAAATCTTAGACAGGATTTTATTTTTTTTGCCGCTTTTAAATAACAAAACAGGATAAGCTTTTAGAACTAATCTAGATCAAAGTGATTTTGAATTTCGTAAGGCTCAGTATTTAGTAGTGGGATGGTTCAATATTGTGTTCAGTTGGTAATAGCTTTAGACCTGTTGAGATCTTTAGATAATTTTAGCCTGGTAAGTTGTAGATGAAAGTATCTTCCAATGGAACCTATGGCTTGGTTTAACTACACAGCTGATTGTTTTGCTCACCTCATCATTGCATTACAAAATTGCTTTCTTGTTTTTTTTTTGCTTTTTAATTAGAATTGGTGTACAACTTGCAAAATTTGCAAAAATATTGTCTACAATTTTTTAAAAAATAATTAAAACCTCAGGTAAATCTATCAGACATGTATGAGAATGTGGAAAAAAACATTTGATGTAAGATAAATATATGTATATCATGATGGTTAATCCAAAGGCACTTAAAACATGGTAGTTAATTAAAGATTGTAGAGATAAGTCAAAGCCTAGAAGCCTAATTTCCCAATGCTTGCTTGATTCATGTCAAACATTCTGTCCTACATTTTTTAGAATTTAAAATTTATTTTTGTTTGTTTTTAAAATAGCAAGTTAAAAAAAAATATATATTTCTTAATAAAAAAAAAAAAAAAAAAACCATTGATCAGTACTTTTTTGGATTTAAGACTCCCCTCTCCCATTTGAATATGTTGCACTGTTTCACATCATTTTTGTGTTTTTTCTTATTCCCACAACTTTTTTCCTTCTACATTCACAATAATTTTCTATTGTATTCTCACACTCTTTTGTCCTGTATTCTCACAACTTCTTGTTGTCCAAAATACAATATATATACATAGATATATATTATATATATGTACATACACGCACATACACATGTATGAATATGAATATATATATATATATATATTTTATATATATATATATATATATATATATATATATATATATATATATATATATATATATATATATATATATATATATATATATATATATATATATATATATATATATATATATATATATATATATCATCTTTAGATTAGTATATTAACATCTGATTTAATTTAATCTCACCTTTTAGATTAGTATATTAGCATTTGATTCCCTTGCTATACATGCCTTTCTACTTGACTCTCTCTGACAGTAACATTTATAGGCCTGCTTTTTTCTTAAACTTTATGTCTAAAGGAAATAGACCAAACCTGACACAAAATAAATTTTCATCCAATTGTTTGTAGCTACCTGCTAGACACCATCAACTTGACCAAATGTTTAACAAAATAAATTTTCATCCAATTGTTTGTAGCTACCTGCTAGACACCATCAACTTCCTGCTCAGTATCCTCAAACGAGAGCGAGACCGGGGATCTCAAGCGTACCTGGCTGTTGGCTTTCTGGCCATAGCCGTCAACGGAGAAATCCTCACATACATGAGCCGTATCATGGAGATCATTAGGAACTCTCTGCCTGCTAAAGATCACTCCACCAAGTACATCCAACATTTTAGATTCCACCAAGTACATCCAACATTTTACATTCCACTAAGTACATCCAACATTTCACATTCCACCACGTACATCCAACATTTTACATTCCACTAAGTACATCCAACATTTCACATTCCACCACGTACATCCAACATTTTACATTCCACCACGTACATCCAACATTTTACATTCCACCACGTACATCCAACATTTTAGATTCCACCACGTACATCCAACATTTTACATTCCACCAAGTACATCCAACATTTTACATTCCACCACGTACATCCAACATTTTACATTCCACCAAGTAGATCCAACATTTTACATTCCACCAAGTACATCCAACATTTTACATTCCACCAAGTACATCCAACATTTTACATTCCACCACGTACATCCAACATTTTAGATTCCACCACGTACATCCAACATTTTACATTCCACCAAGTAGATCCAACATTTTACATTCCACTAAGTACATCCAACATTTTACATTCCACTAAGTACATCCAACATTTTACATTCCACTAAGTACATCCAACATTTTACATTCCACCACGTACATCCAACATTTTACATTCCACCACGTACATCCAACATTTTACATTCCACCAAGTACATCCAACATTTTACATTCCACCAAGTACATCCAACATTTTACATTCCACCAAGTACATCCAACATTTTACATTCCACCAAGTACATCCAACATTTTAGATTCCAACAAGTACATCCAACATTTTACATTCCACCAAGTACATCCAACATTTTACATTCCACCACGTACATCCAACATTTTACATTCCACAAGTACATCCAACATTTTACATTCCACCAAGTACATCCAACATTTTACATTCCACCACGTACATCCAACATTTTACATTCCACAAGTACATCCAACATTTTACATTCCACCAAGTACATCCAACATTTTACATTCCACAACGTACATCCAACATTTTACATTCCACCAAGTAGATCCAACATTTTACATCCCACCACGTACATCCAACATTTTACATTCCACAAGTACATCCAACATTTTACATCCCACCTCATACATCAACATTTTACATTCCACCACGTACATCCAACATTTTACATTCCACCTCATACATCAACATTTTACATTCCACCACGTACATCCAACATTTTACATTCCACCAAGTACATCCAACATTTTACATTCCACTAAGTACATCCAACATTTCACATTCCACCACGTACATCCAACATTTTACATTCCACCAAGTACATCCAACATTTTACATTCCACCTCATACATCAACATTTTACATTCCACCACGTACATCCAACATTTTACATTCCACTAAGTACATCCAACATTTTACATTCCACTAAGTACATCCAACATTTTACATTTCACCAAGTACATCCAACATTTTACATTCCACCACGTACATCCAACATTTTACATTCCACCACGTACATCCAACATTTTACATTCCACCAAGTACATCCAACATTTTACATTCCACCAAGTACATCCAACATTTTACATTCCACCTCATACATCAACATTTTACATTCCACCACGTACATCCAACATTTTACATTCCACTAAGTACATCCAACATTTTACATTCCACCACGTACATCCAACATTTTACATTCCACCAAGTACATCCAACATTTTACATTCCACCAAGTACATCCAACATTTTACATTCCACCTCATACATCAACATTTTACATTCCACCACGTACATCCAACATTTTACATTCCACCACGTACATCCAACATTTTACATTCCACTAAGTACATCCAACATTTTACATTCCACTAAGTACATCCAACATTTTACATTCCACCAAGTACATCCAACATTTTACATTCCACCAAGTACATCCAACATTTTAGATTCCACCAAGTACATCCAACATTTTACATTCCACCACGTACATCCAACATTTTACATTTCACCAAGTACATCCAACATTTTACATTTCACCAAGTACATCCAACATTTTATATTCCAACATGTACATTCAACATTTTACATTCCAACATGTACATCCAACATTTTACATTCCAATAAGTACATCCAACATTTTACATTCCACTAAGTAAATCCAACATTTTACATTTTACTAAGTACATCCAACATTTTACATTCCACCACATACATCCAACATTTTACATCCCACCACATAGATCCAACATTTTACATCCCACCACATAGATCCAACATTTTACATTTCACCACGTAGATCCAACATTTTATATTCCACCACGTAGATCCAATATTTTACATTCCAACATGTACATCCAACATTTTACATTCCACCAAGTACATCCAACATTTTACATTCCACCAAGTACATCAACATTTTATATTCCAATAAATACATCCAACATTTTATATTCCACTAAGTACATCCAACATTTTAGATTCCACCACGTACATCCAACATTTTACATTCCACCACGTACATCCAACATTTTACATTCCACTAAGTAGATCCAACATTTTACATTTTACTAAGTACATCCAACATTTTACATTCCACCACGTACATCCAACATTTTACATTCCACTAAGTAGATCCAACATTTTACATTTTACTAAGTACATCCAACATTTTACATTCCACCACGTAGATCCAACATTTTACATTTCACCACGTAGATCCAACATTTTATATTCCACCACGTACATCCAACATTTTACATTCCACTAAGTAGATCCAACATTTTACATTTTACTAAGTACATCCAACATTTTACATTCCACCACGTACATCCAACATTTTACATTCCACTAAGTAGATCCAACATTTTACATTTTACTAAGTACATCCAACATTTTACATTCCACCACATAGATCCAACATTTTACATTCCACCACGTAGATCCAACATTTTACATTTCACCACGTAGATCCAACATTTTACATTCCACCTCATACATCCAACATTTCCCCATGTATTCTCACAATGACCAATGTCTGATTTGAGCAGAAAAAGCCGTCACTTTGTGGTGGAGCCCGCAGTTTTCACCTGCATCAGCATGTTGTCTCGTGCCATGGGGCCACAGATGACTCACGACGTCAAGGAGCTCTTGGAAAGTATGCTGGCCACAGGTTTAAGGTAGGTTCTGTCACAGGTTTATGGTAGGTTCTGTCACAGGTTTAAGGTAGGTTCTACCACAGGTTTAAGGTAGGTTCTGTCACAGGTTTAAGGTAGGTTCTACCACAGGTTTAAAGTAGGTTCTGTCACAGGTTTAAGGTAGGTTCTGTCACAGGTTTAAGGTAGGTTCTGTCACAGGTTTAAGGTAGGTTCTGTCACAGGTTTAAGGTAGGTTCTGTCACAGGTTTAAGGTAGGTTCTGTCACCTTTCTTTGACAGTGCTGACATAATTAGTCATGGTCAGTGATCATTACTGCTGTTTATTGTGTAGGTCTTTAGGACTAGTTGTGGCCTATACTTGTGTTGACCTATACTTGTGTAGACCTATACTTGTGTAGACCTATACTTGTGTAGACCTATACTTGTGTAGACCTATACTTGTGTAGACCTATACTTGTGTAGACCTCTACTTGTGTAGACCTATACTTGTGTAGACCTATACTTGTGTAGGCCTATACTTGTGTAGACCTATACTTGTGTAGACCTATACTTGTGTAGACCTCTACTTGTGTAGACCTATACTTGTGTAGACCTATACTTGTGTAGACCTATACTTGTGTAGACCTATACTAGACCTATACTTGTGTAGACCTATACTTGTGTAGACCTATACTTGTGTAGACCTATACTTGTGTAGACCTATACTTGTGTAGACCTATACTTGTGTAGACCTATACTTGTGTAGACCTATACTTGTGTAGACCTCTACTTGTGTAGACCTATACTTGTGTAGACCTATACTTGACCTCTACTTGTGTAGACCTATACTTGTGTAGACCTATACTTGTGTAGACCTATACTTGTGTAGACCTCTACTTGTGTAGACCTATACTTGTGTAGACCTCTACTTGTGTAGACCTATACTTGTGTAGACCTCTACTTGTGTAGACCTCTATAGCTGAGATGTTTGTCCTGACCAGCCCTGCCCTGGCCGCAGCACTCAGAGAACTGGCCATGCAGATTCCTCAACTCAAGAAGGACATCCAAGATGGACTGTTGAAAAACCTCTCACAGATTCTCATGGGTCAAACCCTGAGACATCCTGGGGCTCAACCAATTGCAGGTCCAGCTGTAGCAAGTGAGTTGTGAAACCTGGGCTGTTAGAGTTATGGAACCTGGGCTGTTAGAGTTATGGAACCTGGGCTGTTAGAGTTGTGGAACCTGGGCTGTTAGAGTTATGGAACCTGGGCTGTTAGAGTTATGGAACCTGGGCTGTTAGAGTTGTGGAACCTGGGCTGTTAGAGTTATGGAACCTGGGGTGTTACAGTTGTGGAACCTGGGCTGTTAGAGTTATGGAACCTGGGCTGTTAGAGTTGTGGAACCTGGGCTGTTAGAGTTATGGAACCTGGGGTGTTACAGTTGTGGAACCTGGGCTGTTAGAGTTGTGGAACCTGGGCTTTTAGAGTTATGGAACCTGGGCTGTTAGAGTTGTGGAACCTGGGCTGTTAGAGTTGTGGAACCTGGGCTGTTAGAGTTGTGGGACCTGGGCTGTTAGAGTTGTGGAACCTGGGCTGTTAGAGTTGTGGAACCTGGGCTGTTAGAGTTGTGGAACCTGGGCTGTTAGAGTTGTGGAACCTGGGCTGTTAGAGTTGTGGAACCTGGGCTGTTAGAGTTGTGGAACCTGGGCTGTTAGAGTTGTGGAAACTGGGCTGTTAGAGTTGTGGAACCTGGGCTGTTAGAGTTGTGGAACCTGGGCTGTTAGAGTTATGGAACCTGGGCTGTTAGCATTATATTTGAATACAAGTATGTCCCAGATTACAGACAAATTTTTAAAATTCCAGTTTCACCTCTGGCAAATGATTCCAATGATGTGACCAATGTGACCCTTGCCCTGCGGACGCTGGGTAGCTTTGATTTTGAAGGTCACTCCTTGACCCAGTTTGTGCGTCACTGTGCAGAACATTATCTGGGCAGTGAGTACAAGGAGATCAGGATGGAAGCTGTTACAACATGCGCTCAGCTCATGTCTCCATTACTGCAGGTCAGTGTTGGTAGTGTGGTGACATGATGGAAGCTGTTACAACATGCGCCCAGCTCATGTCTCCATTGTTGCAGGTCTGTAGTTTGGTCATGTGGAGATTGTTGTTAGTGTGGTGACATGGAGCTAAGATTGTTGTTAGTGTGGTGACACGGAGCTAAGATTGTTGTTAGTGTGGTGATATGGAGCTAAGATTGTTGTTAGTGTGGTGACATGGAGCTAAGATGGTTGTTAGTGTGGTGACATGGAGCTAAGATTGTTGTTAGTGTGGTGATATGGAGCTAAGATTGTTGTTAGTGTGGTGATATGGAGCTAAGATTGTTGTTAGTGTGGTGACATGGAGCTAAGATGGTTGTTAGTGTGGTGACATGGAGCTAAGATTGTTGTTAGTGTGGTGACATGTAGATTGTTGTTAGTGTGGTAATATGGAGCTAAGATTGTTGTTAGTGTGGTGACATGGAGCTAAGATGGTTGTTAGTGTGGTGACATGGAGCTAAGATTGTTGTTAGTGTGGTGATATGGAGCTAAGATTGTTGTTAGTGTGGTGATATGGAGCTAAGATTGTTGTTAGTGTGGTGATATGGAGCTAAGATTGTTGGTAGTGTGGTGACATGGAGCTAAGATTGTTGTTAGTGTGGTGATATGGAGCTAAGATTGTTGGTAGTGTGGTGACATGGAGCTAAGATTGTTGTTAGTGTGGTGATATGTAGATTGTTGTTAGTGTGGTAATATGGAGCTAAGATTGCTGGTAGTGTGGTGATATGTAGATTGTTGTTAGTGTGGTGATATGGAGCTAAGATTGTTGTTAGTGTGGTGATATGTAGATTGTTGTTAGTGTGGTGATATGTAGATTGTTGTTAGTGTGGTAATATGGAGCTAAGATTGTTGGTAGTGTGGTGATATGTAGATTGTTGTTAGTGTGGTGATATGGAGCTAAGATTGTTGTTAGTGTGGTGATATGTAGATTGTTGTTAGTGTGGTGATATGTAGATTGTTGTTAGTGTGGTGACACGGAGCTAAGATTGTTGTTAGTGTGGTGATATGGAGCTAAGATTGTTGTTAGTGTGGTGACATGGATCTAAGATTGTTGTTAGTGTGGTGATATGGAGCTAAGATTGTTAGTGTGGTGACATGGAGATTGTTGTTAGTGTGGTGATATGGAGCTAAGATTGTTGTTAGTGTGGTGATATGGAGCTAAGATTGTTGTTAGTGTGGTGATATGGAGCTAAGATTGTTGTTAGTGTGATGATATGGAGCTAAGATTGTTGGTAGTGTGGTGATATGGAGCTAAGATTGTTGTTAGTGTGATGACATGGAGCTAAGATTGTTGTTAGTGTGGTGATATGGAGCTAAGATTGTTGTTAGTGTGGTGATATGGAGCTAAGATTGTTGGTAGTGTGGTGATATGTAGATTGTTGTTAGTGTGGTGATATGGAGCTAAGATTGTTGGTAGTGTGGTGATATGGAGCTAAGATTGTTGTTAGTGTGGTGATATGGAGCTAAGATTGTTGTTAGTGTGGTGATATGGAGCTAAGATTGTTGGTAGTGTGGTGATATGGAGCTAAGATTGTTGGTAGTGTGGTGACATGGAGCTAAGATTGTTGTTAGTGTGGTGATATGGAGCTAAGATTGTTGTTAGTGTGATGATATGGAGCTAAGATTGTTGTTAGTGTGGTGATATGGAGCTAAGATTGTTGGTAGTGTGGTGATATGGAGCTAAGATTGTTGGTAGTGTGGTGATATGGAGCTAAGATTGTTGGTAGTGTGGTGATATGGAGCTAAGATTGTTGGTAGTGTGGTGATATGGAGCTAAGATTGTTGTTAGTGTGGTGATATGGAGCTAAGATTGTTGTTAGTGTGATGATATGGAGCTAAGATTGTTGTTAGTGTGGTGATATGGAGCTAAGATTGTTGGTAGTGTGGTGACATGGAGCTAAGATTGTTGTTAGTGTGGTGATATGGAGCTAAGATTGTTGTTAGTGTGGTGATATGGAGCTAAGATTGTTGTTAGTGTGGTGACATGGAGCTAAGATTGTTGTTAGTGTGGTGATATGTAGATTGTTGTTAGTGTGGTGATATGTAGATTGTTGTTAGTGTGGTGATATGTAGATTGTTGTTAGTGTGGTAATATGGAGCTAAGATTGTTGGTAGTGTGGTGATATGTAGATTGTTGTTAGTGTGGTGATATGGAGCTAAGATTGTTGTTAGTGTGGTGACATGTAGATTGTTGTTAGTGTGGTGATATGGAGCTAAGATTGTTGGTAGTGTGGTGATATGGAGCTAAGATTGTTGGTAGTGTGGTGATATGGAGCTAAGATTGTTGTTAGTGTGGTGACATGTAGATTGTTGTTAGTGTGGTGATATGGAGCTAAGATTGTTGGTAGTGTGGTGATATGGAGCTAAGATTGTTGGTAGTGTGGTGATATGGAGCTAAGATTGTTGGTAGTGTGGTGATATGGAGCTAAGATTGTTGGTAGTGTGGTGATATGGAGCTAAGATTGTTGGTAGTGTGGTGATATGTAGATTGTTGTTAGTGTGGTGATATGGAGCTAAGATTGTTGGTAGTGTGGTGATATGGAGCTAAGATTGTTGGTAGTGTGGTGATATGGAGCTAAGATTGTTGTTAGTGTGGTGATATAGAGCTAAGATTGTTGTTAGTGTGATGACATGGAGCTAAGATTGTTGTTAGTGTGGTGATATGGAGCTAAGATTGTTGTTAGTGTGGTGATATGGAGCTAAGATTGTTGTTAGTGTGATGACATGGAGCTAAGATGGTTGTTAGTGTGGTGACATGTAGATTGTTGTTAGTGTGGTGATATGGAGCTAAGATTGTTGGTAGTGTGGTGATATGGAGCTAAGATTGTTGGTAGTGTGGTGATATGGAGCTAAGATGGTTGTTAGTGTGGTGACATGTAGATTGTTGTTAGTGTGGTGATATGGAGCTAAGATTGTTGTTAGTGTGGTGATATGGAGCTAAGATTGTTGTTAGTGTGGTGACATGGAGCTAAGATTGTTGTTAGTGTGGTGATATGGAGCTAAGATTGTTGTTAGTGTGGTGACATGGAGCTAAGATTGTTGTTAGTGTGGTGACATGGAGCTAAGATTGTTGTTAGTGTGGTGTTTAGTTGTTAACACTAGCTGACATCTGAGTCCTAGAAGATTGACCTTTGACCTGTGCTGTCTTTAAATGGATGTGTACCACGGCTTCTATTTGCAGCTTCTGTCCAAGCAGCAAGGTCATGTCAGCATGACAGCCATGACAACAGTAGCTGAGGTCTTGAACAAACTCTTGGTCGTTGGCATCACAGACTCAGGTCAGTTTTTGGCATCACAGACTCAGGTCAGTTTTTGGCATCACATTCACTCTAGCCTCAACCTTACCTTTGACCTTACAAGTGGGGCATACATTTGTTATAATCAACCTTTGACCTTACATGTGTGACAGATGTGTTGTTGAACTTACTAATCTGACCAATTTGTTGTCAACCTTTGACCTGACATATGATATTGTTGACCTCTACCCCTCCATGAGTTACCCTGCTTACAGATGCTGACATCAGGTATAATGTATTGAGCTCCCTGGATGAAAGGTTTGACCCTCACCTTGCCCAGGCAGAAAACCTGAGTGCACTTTTCATAGCTTTAAATGACGAAGCCTTTGAGATCCGTGAGAGAGCTATCTGCATGATTGGACGCCTCAGTTCCAAGAATCCAGCCTACGTCATGCCCTCGCTCAGGAAGGTGCTCATTCAGGTACTGTACACACTCAGTGGTCCACTCGTTGGTTGGTCCTGTTGGTCCTGTTGGTCCTGTTGTTGATTGGTCCTGTTGTTGATTGATTGGTCCTGTTGTTGATTGGTCCTGTTGGTCCTGTTGGTCCTGTTGTTGATTGGTCCTGTTGTTGATTGGTCCTGTTGTTGATTGGTCCTGTTGTTGATTGGTCCTGTTGTTGATTGGTCCTGTTGTTGATTGGTCCTGTTGGTCCTGTTGTTGATTGGTCCTGTTGTTGATTGGTCCTGTTGTTGATATGTCCTGTTGGTCCTGTTGTTGATTGGTCCTGTTGTTGATTGGTCCTGTTGATGATTGGTCCTGTTGTTGATTGGTCCTGTTGATGATTGGTCCTGTTGATGATTGGTCCTGTTGTTGATTGGTCCTGTTGGTCATGTTGTTGATTGGTCCTATTGGTCCTGTTATTGCAGATCCTGACAGAGCTGGAACACAGTGGTATAGGCCGTAACAAGGAACAAGCGGCCAGAATGTTGGGCCACCTGGTGTCCAACACGGCCAGACTCATCAAGCCATACATGGTGCCAATTATGGAGGTAGGTCAGACTCATCAAGCCATACATGGTGCCAATTATGGAGGTAGACATGTGTTTAATTGTCTCATCTGGTGTAGACATGTGTTTAATTGTCTCATCTGGTGTAGACATGTGTTTAATTGTCTCATCTGATGTAGACATGTGTTTAATTTTCTCATCTGGTGTAGACATGTGTTTAATTAATTGTCTCATCTGGTGTAGACATGTGTTTAATTTTCTCATCTGGTGTAGACATGTGTTTAATTTTCTCATCTGGTGTAGACATGTGTTTAATTGTCTCATCTGGTGTAGACATGTGTTTAATTTTCTCATCTGGTGTAGACATGTGTTTAATTGTCTCATCTGGTGTAGACATGTGTTTAATTTTCTCATCTGGTGTAGACATGTGTTTAATTAATTGTCTCATCTGATGTAGACATGTGTTTAATTAATTGTCTCATCTGGTGTAGACATGTGTTTAATTAATTGTCTCATCTGATGTAGACATGTGTTTAATTTTCTCATCTGGTGTAGACATGTGTTTAATTGTCTCATCTGGTGTAGACATGTGTTTAATTGTCTCATCTGGTGTAGACATGTGTTTAATTAATTGTCTCATCTGATGTAGACATGTGTTTAATTAATTGTCTCATCTGATGTAGACATGTGTTTAATTGATTGTCTCATCTGATGTAGACATGTGTTTAATTAATTGTCTCATCTGGTGTAGACATGTGTTTAATTGTCTCATCTGATGTAGACATGTGTTTAATTGATTGTCTCATCTGATGTAGACATGTGTTTAATTAATTTTCTCATCTGGTGTAGACATGTGTTTAATTGTCTCATCTGGTGTAGACATGTGTTTAATTGTCTCATCTGGTGTAGACATGTGTTTAATTGTCTCATCTGATGTAGACATGTGTTTAATTTTCTCATCTGGTGTAGACATGTGTTTAATTAATTGTCTCATCTGGTGTAGACATGTGTTTAATTTTCTCATCTGGTGTAGACATGTGTTTAATTTTCTCATCTGGTGTAGACATGTGTTTAATTGTCTCATCTGGTGTAGACATGTGTTTAATTGTCTCATCTGATGTAGACATGTGTTTAATTTTCTCATCTGGTGTAGACATGTGTTTAATTGTCTCATCTGGTGTAGACATGTGTTTAATTTTCTCATCTGGTGTAGACATGTGTTTAATTAATTGTCTCATCTGATGTAGACATGTGTTTAATTAATTGTCTCATCTGGTGTAGACATGTGTTTAATTAATTGTCTCATCTGATGTAGACATGTGTTTAATTTTCTCATCTGGTGTAGACATGTGTTTAATTGTCTCATCTGGTGTAGACATGTGTTTAATTGTCTCATCTGGTGTAGACATGTGTTTAATTAATTGTCTCATCTGATGTAGACATGTGTTTAATTAATTGTCTCATCTGATGTAGACATGTGTTTAATTGATTGTCTCATCTGATGTAGACATGTGTTTAATTAATTGTCTCATCTGGTGTAGACATGTGTTTAATTGTCTCATCTGATGTAGACATGTGTTTAATTGATTGTCTCATCTGATGTAGACATGTGTTTAATTGTCTCATCTGGTGTAGACATGTGTTTAATTGTCTCATCTGGTGTAGACATGTGTTTAATTAATTGTCTCATCTGATGTAGACATGTGTTTAATTAATTGTCTCATCTGATGTAGACATGTGTTTAATTGATTGTCTCATCTGATGTAGACATGTGTTTAATTAATTGTCTCATCTGGTGTAGACATGTGTTTAATTGTCTCATCTGATGTAGACATGTGTTTAATTGATTGTCTCATCTGATGTAGACATGTGTTTAATTGATTGTCTCATCTGGTGTAGACATTTGTTTAATTAATTGTCTCATCTGATGTAGACATGTGTTTAATTGTCTCATCTGATGTAGACATGTGTTTAATTGATTGTCTCATCTGGTGTAGACATGTGTTTAATTGTCTCATCTGGTGTAGACATGTGTTTAATTGTCTCATCTGATGTAGACATGTGTTTAATTGATTGTCTCATCTGATGTAGACATGTGTTTAATTGATTGTCTCATCTGGTGTAGACATTTGTTTATATCATTGTCTCATCTGATGTAGACATGTGTTTAATTGTCTCATCTGATGTAGACATGTGTTTAATTGATTGTCTCATCTGGTGTAGACATGTGTTTAATTGTCTCATCTGATGTAGACATGTGTTTAATTAATTGTCTCATCTGATGTAGACATGTGTTTAATTGTCTCATCTGATGTAGACATGTGTTTAATTGTCTCATCTGGTGTAGACATGTGTTTAATTGTCTCATCTGATGTAGACATGTGTTTAATTGATTGTCTCATCTGGTGTAGACATGTGTTTAATTGTCTCATCTGGTGTAGACATGTGTTTAATTAATTGTCTCATCTGGTGTAGACATGTGTTTAATTGTCTCATCTGATGTAGACATGTGTTTAATTAATTGTCTCATCTGATGTAGACATGTGTTTAATTGTCTCATCTGGTGTAGACATTTGTTTAATTGTCTCATCTGGTGTAGACATGTGTTTAATTGATTGTCTCATCTGGTGTAGACATGTGTTTAATTAATTGTCTCATCTGATGTAGACATGTGTTTAATTGATTGTCTCATCTGGTGTAGACATGTGTTTAATTGATTGTCTCATCTGGTGTAGACATGTGTTTAATTAATTGTCTCATCTGATGTAGACATGTGTTTAATTGATTGTCTCATCTGATGTAGACATGTGTTTAATTAATTGTCTCATCTGATGTAGACATGTGTTTAATTGTCTCATCTGGTGTAGACATGTGTTTAATTAATTGTCTCATCTGGTGTAGACATGTGTTTAATTGATTGTCTCATCTGATGTAGACATGTGTTTAATTGTCTCATCTGATGTAGACATGTGTTTAATTGATTGTCTCATCTGGTGTAGACATGTGTTTAATTGATTGTCTCATCTGGTGTAGACATGTGTTTAATTAATTTTCTCATCTGATGTAGACATGTGTTTAATTAATTGTCTCATCTGATGTAGACATGTGTTTAATTGTCTCATCTGGTGTAGACATGTGTTTAATTAATTGTCTCATCTGGTGTAGACATTTGTTTAATTGATTGTCTCATCTGGTGTAGACATGTGTTTAATTGTCTCATCTGGTGTAGACATGTGTTTAATTGTCTCATCTGATGTAGACATGTGTTTAATTTTCTCATCTGGTGTAGACATGTGTTTAATTAATTGTCTCATCTGATGTAGACATGTGTTTAATTGTCTCATCTGGTGTAGACATGTGTTTAATTAATTGTCTCATCTGGTGTAGACATTTGTTTAATTGATTGTCTCATCTGGTGTAGACATGTGTTTAATTGTCTCATCTGGTGTAGACATGTGTTTAATTGTCTCATCTGATGTAGACATGTGTTTAATTGTCTCATCTGGTGTAGACATGTGTTTAATTGTCTCATCTGGTGTAGACATGTGTTTAATTGTCTCATCTGGTGTAGACATGTGTTTAATTGTCTCATCTGGTGTAGACATGTGTTTAATTGTCTCATCTGGTGTAGACATGTGTTTGATTGTCTCATCTGATGTAGACATGTGTTTAATTGTCTCATCTGATGTAGACATGTGTTTAATTGATTGTCTCATCTGGTGTAGACATGTGTTTAATTAATTGTCTCATCTGGTGTAGACATGTGTTTAATTAATTGTCTCATCTGATGTAGACATGTGTTTAATTAATTGTCTCATCTGATGTAGACATGTGTTTAATTAATTGTCTCATCTGATGTAGACATGTGTTTAATTAATTGTCTCATCTGATGTAGACATGTGTTTAATTAATTGTCTCATCTGATGTAGACATGTGTTTAATTGTCTCATCTGATGTAGACATTTGTTTAATTGTCTCATCTGGTGTAGACATGTGTTTAATTTTCTCATCTGGTGTAGACATTTGTTTAATTGTCTCATCTGGTGTAGACATGTGTTTAATTTTCTCATCTGGTGTAGACATGTGTTTAATTGTCTCATCTGATGTAGACATTTGTTTAATTGTCTCATCTGGTGTAGACATGTGTTTAATTGATTGTCTCATCTGGTGTAGACATGTGTTTAATTGTCTCATCTGGTGTAGACATGTGTTTAATTAATTATCTCATCTGATGTAGACATGTGTTTAATTGTCTCATCTGATGTAGACATGTGTTTAATTGTCTCATCTGATGTAGACATTTGTTTAATTAATTGTCTCATCTGGTGTAGACATGTGTTTGATTGTCTCATCTGGTGTAGACATGTGTTTAATTAATTGTCTCATCTGATGTAGACATGTGTTTAATTGTCTCATCTGATGTAGACATTTGTTTAATTAATTGTCTCATCTGATGTAGACATGTGTTTAATTGATTGTCTCATCTGATGTAGACATGTGTTTAATTGATTGTCTCATCTGGTGTAGACATGTGTTTAATTGTCTCATCTGGTGTAGACATGTGTTTAATTGTCTCATCTGATGTAGACATGTGTTTAATTGATTGTCTCATCTGATGTAGACATGTGTTTAATTAATTGTCTCATCTGATGTAGACATGTGTTTAATTGTCTCATCTGGTGTAGACATGTGTTTAATTAATTGTCTCATCTGGTGTAGACATGTGTTTAATTGATTGTCTCATCTGATGTAGACATGTGTTTAATTGTCTCATCTGATGTAGACATGTGTTTAATTGATTGTCTCATCTGGTGTAGACATGTGTTTAATTAATTTTCTCATCTGATGTAGACATGTGTTTAATTAATTGTCTCATCTGATGTAGACATGTGTTTAATTGTCTCATCTGGTGTAGACATGTGTTTAATTAATTGTCTCATCTGGTGTAGACATTTGTTTAATTGATTGTCTCATCTGGTGTAGACATGTGTTTAATTGTCTCATCTGGTGTAGACATGTGTTTAATTGTCTCATCTGGTGTAGACATGTGTTTGATTGTCTCATCTGATGTAGACATGTGTTTAATTGTCTCATCTGATGTAGACATGTGTTTAATTGATTGTCTCATCTGGTGTAGACATGTGTTTGATTGTCTCATCTGATGTAGACATGTGTTTAATTGTCTCATCTGGTGTAGACATGTGTTTAATTAATTGTCTCATCTGGTGTAGACATGTGTTTAATTGTCTCATCTGGTGTAGACATGTGTTTAATTAATTGTCTCATCTGGTGTAGACATGTGTTTAATTGTCTCATCTGATGTAGACATGTGTTTAATTAATTGTCTCATCTGGTGTAGACATGTGTTTAATTAATTGTCTCATCTGATGTAGACATGTGTTTAATTAATTGTCTCATCTGATGTAGACATGTGTTTAATTAATTGTCTCATCTGATGTAGACATGTGTTTAATTAATTGTCTCATCTGATGTAGACATGTGTTTAATTAATTGTCTCATCTGATGTAGACATGTGTTTAATTGTCTCATCTGATGTAGACATTTGTTTAATTGATTGTCTCATCTGGTGTAGACATGTGTTTGATTGTCTCATCTGATGTAGACGTGTTTAATTGTCTCATCTGATGTAGACATTTGTTTAATTAATTGTCTCATCTGGTGTAGACATGTGTTTGATTGTCTCATCTGGTGTAGACATGTGTTTAATTAATTGTCTCATCTGATGTAGACATGTGTTTAATTGTCTCATCTGATGTAGACATTTGTTTAATTAATTGTCTCATCTGATGTAGACATGTGTTTAATTGATTGTCTCATCTGATGTAGACATGTGTTTAATTGATTGTCTCATCTGGTGTAGACATGTGTTTAATTGTCTCATCTGGTGTAGACATGTGTTTAATTGTCTCATCTGATGTAGACATGTGTTTAATTGATTGTCTCATCTGATGTAGACATGTGTTTAATTGTCTCATCTGATGTAGACATTTGTTTAATTAATTGTCTCATCTGATGTAGACATGTGTTTAATTGATTGTCTCATCTGGTGTAGACATGTGTTTAATTGTCTCATCTGATGTAGACATGTGTTTAATTGTCTCATCTGATGTAGACATGTGTTTAATTGTCTCATCTGATGTAGACATTTGTTTAATTAATTGTCTCATCTGATGTAGACATGTGTTTAATTGATTGTCTCATCTGGTGTAGACATGTGTTTAATTGTCTCATCTGATGTAGACATGTGTTTAATTGTCTCATCTGATGTAGACATGTGTTTAATTGTCTCATCTGATGTAGACATGTGTTTAATTGATTGTCTCATCTGGTGTAGACATGTGTTTGATTGTCTCATCTGATGTAGACATGTGTTTAATTGTCTCATCTGGTGTAGACATGTGTTTAATTGATTGTCTCATCTGGTGTAGACATGTGTTTGATTGTCTCATCTGGTGTAGACATGTGTTTAATTGTCTCATCTGATGTAGACATTTGTTTAATTAATTGTCTCATCTGGTGTAGACATTTGTTTAATTGTCTCATCTGATGTAGACATGTGTTTAATTGATTGTCTCATCTGGTGTAGACATGTGTTTAATTGTCTCATCTGATGTAGACATGTGTTTAATTGTCTCATCTGATGTAGACATGTGTTTAATTGTCTCATCTGATGTAGACATTTGTTTAATTAATTGTCTCATCTGATGTAGACATGTGTTTAATTGATTGTCTCATCTGGTGTAGACATGTGTTTAATTGTCTCATCTGATGTAGACATGTGTTTAATTGTCTCATCTGATGTAGACATGTGTTTAATTGTCTCATCTGATGTAGACATGTGTTTAATTGATTGTCTCATCTGGTGTAGACATGTGTTTGATTGTCTCATCTGATGTAGACATGTGTTTAATTGTCTCATCTGGTGTAGACATGTGTTTAATTGATTGTCTCATCTGGTGTAGACATGTGTTTGATTGTCTCATCTGGTGTAGACATGTGTTTAATTGTCTCATCTGATGTAGACATTTGTTTAATTAATTGTCTCATCTGGTGTAGACATTTGTTTAATTGTCTCATCTGATGTAGACATGTGTTTAATTGATTGTCTCATCTGGTGTAGACATGTGTTTAATTAATTGTCTCATCTGATGTAGACATGTGTTTAATTGTCTCATCTGGTGTAGACATGTGTTTAATTGATTGTCTCATCTGATGTAGACATGTGTTTAATTAATTGTCTCATCTGGTGTAGACATGTGTTTGATTGTCTCATCTGATGTAGACATGTGTTTAATTGTCTCATCTGATGTAGACATGTGTTTAATTGTCTCATCTGATGTAGACATGTGTTTAATTGTCTCATCTGGTGTAGACATGTGTTTAATTTTCTCATCTGGTGTAGACATGTGTTTAATTGTCTCATCTGGTGTAGACATGTGTTTAATTTTCTCATCTGGTGTAGACATGTGTTTAATTAATTGTCTCATCTGATGTAGACATGTGTTTAATTAATTGTCTCATCTGATGTAGACATGTGTTTAATTAATTGTCTCATCTGATGTAGACATGTGTTTAATTAATTGTCTCATCTGATGTAGACATGTGTTTAATTGTCTCATCTGATGTAGACATTTGTTTAATTGATTGTCTCATCTGGTGTAGACATGTGTTTGATTGTCTCATCTGATGTAGACATGTGTTTAATTAATTGTCTCATCTGATGTAGACATGTGTTTAATTAATTGTCTCATCTGATGTAGACATGTGTTTAATTGTCTCATCTGATGTAGACATGTGTTTAATTGTCTCATCTGATGTAGATATGTGTTTAATTGTCTCATCTGATGTAGACATGTGTTTAATTGATTGTCTCATCTGATGTAGACATGTGTTTAATTGTCTCATCTGATGTAGACATGTGTTTAATTGTCTCATCTGATGTAGACATGTGTTTAATTGTCTCATCTGATGTAGACATGTGTTTAATTAATTGTCTCATCTGATGTAGACATGTGTTTAATTGATTGTTTCATCTGATGTAGACATGTGTTTAATTGATTGTCTCATCTGATGTAGACATGTGTTTAATTGTCTCATCTGATGTAGACATGTGTTTAATTGATTGTCTCATCTGGTGTAGACATGTGTTTGATTGTCTCATCTGGTGTAGACATGTGTTTGATTGTCTCATCTGATGTAGACATGTGTTTAATTGTCTCATCTGATGTAGACATGTGTTTAATTGTCTCATCTGGTGTAGACATGTGTTTAATTAATTGTCTCATCTGATGTAGACATGTGTTTAATTGATTGTCTCATCTGGTGTAGACATGTGTTTGATTGTCTCATCTGATGTAGACATGTGTTTAATTGATTGTCTCATCTGAGGTAGACATTTGTTTAATTGTCTCATCTGGTGTAGACATGTGTTTAATTGATTGTCTCATCTGATGTAGACATTTGTTTAATTGTCTCATCTGGTGTAGACATGTGTTTAATTGATTGTCTCATCTGGTGTAGACATGTGTTTAATTGTCTCATCTGGTGTAGACATGTGTTTAATTGATTGTCTCATCTGATGTAGACATGTGTTTAATTGTCTCATCTGGTGTAGACATGTGTTTAATTGTCTCATCTGGTGTAGACATGTGTTTAATTGTCTCATCTGGTGTAGACATGTGTTTAATTGATTGTCTCATCTGGTGTAGACATGTGTTTAATTGTCTCATCTGATGTAGACATGTGTTTAATTGTCTCATCTGGTGTAGACATGTGTTTAATTAATTGTCTCATCTGGTGTAGACATGTGTTTAATTGTCTCATCTGGTGTAGACATGTGTTTAATTGTCTCATCTGGTGTAGACATGTGTTTAATTGATTGTCTCATCTGATGTAGACATGTGTTTAATTGTCTCATCTGGTGTAGACATGTGTTTAATTGTCTCATCTGGTGTAGACATGTGTTTAATTGTCTCATCTGGTGTAGACATGTGTTTAATTGTCTCATCTGGTGTAGACATGTGTTTAATTGTCTCATCTGGTGTAGACATGTGTTTACTTGTCTCATCTGGTGTAGACATGTGTTTAATTGTCTCATCTGGTGTAGACATGTGTTTAATTGTCTCATCTGATGTAGACATGTGTTTAATTAATTGTCTCATCTGATGTAGACATGTGTTTAATTGATTGTCTCATCTGATGTAGACATGTGTTTAATTAATTGTCTCATCTGGTGTAGACATGTGTTTAATTGTCTCATCTGATGTAGACATGTGTTTAATTGATTGTCTCATCTGATGTATACATGTGTTTAATTGATTGTCTCATCTGGTGTAGACATGTGTTTAACTAATTGTCTCATCTGATGTAGACATGTGTTTAATTGTCTCATCTGATGTAGACATGTGTTTAATTAATTGTCTCATCTGATGTAGACATGTGTTTAATTAATTGTCTCATCTGATGTAGACATGTGTTTAATTAATTGTCTCATCTGATGTAGACATGTGTTTAATTAATTGTCTCATCTGATGTAGACATGTGTTTAATTGATTGTCTCATCTGATGTAGACTTTGATCCCAAAACTGAAAGAGACAGATCAAAATCCAGCTGTCACAATCAGCGTTTTACAGGCCATTGGGGAACAGGCACAGGTTAAGTACCTGTCTGTTTTGTATGACAGCTGTCTTGTCCATTATGTCTTGTATGACTAATGTGTGTACCTGCCATCCCCTGTACAAATGTGTACCTGCCATCACCTGTACAAATGTGTGTACATGCCATCACCTGTACAAATGTGTACATGCCATCACCTGTAAACATGTGTGTACCTGCCATCACCTGTACAAATGTGTACCTGCCATCACCTGTACAAATGTGTGTACCTGCCATCACCTGTACAAATGTGTACATGCCATCACCTGTACAAATGTGTACGTGGCATCACCTGTACTAATGTGTGTACATGCCATCACCTGTACAAATGTGTGTACCTGCCATCACCTGTACAAATGTGTGTACCTGCCATCACCTGTACAAATGTGTGTACCTGCCATCACCTGTACACATGTGTGTACATGCCATCACCTGTACACATGTGTGTACATGCCATCACCTGTACAAATGTGTGTACATGCCATCACCTGTACAATGTGTACATGCCATCACCTGTACAATGTGTACCTGCCATCACCTGTACAAATGTGTACCTGCCATCACCTGTACAAATGTGTGTACCTGCCATCCCCTGTACAAATGTGTACATGCCATCACCTGTACAATGTGTACATGCCATCACCTGTACAAGTGTGTACATGCCATCACCTGTACAAATGTGTGTACCTGCCATCACCTGTACAAATGTGTACATGCTATCACCTGTACAAATGTGTACCTGTCATCACCTGTACAAATGTGTACCTGCCATCACCTGTACAAATGTGTGTACATGCCATCACCTGTACAAATGTGTACATGCCATCACCTGTAAACATGTGTGTACCTGCCATCACCTGTACAAGTGTGTACATGCCATCACCTGTACAAATGTGTACCTGCCATCACCTGTACAAATGTGTACCTGCCATCACCTGTACAAATGTGTGTACCTGCCATCACCTGTACAAATGTGTACCTGCCATCACCTGTACAAATGTGTGTACATGCCATCACCTGTACAAATGTGTACATGCCATCACCTGTAAACATGTGTGTACCTGCCATCCCCTGTACAAATGTGTACATGCTATCACCTGTACAAATGTGTACCTGCCATCACCTGTACAAATGTGTACATGCCATCACCTGTACAAATGTGTGTACATGCCATCACCTGTACAAATGTGTACCTGCCATCACCTGTACAAATGTGTACATGCCATCACCTGTACAAATGTACATGCCATCACCTGTACAATGTGTACCTGCCATCACCTGTACAAATGTACATGCCATCACCTGTACAATGTGTACATGCTATCACCTGTACAAATGTGTACCTGCCATCACCTGTACAAATGTGTGTACCTGCCATCACCTGTACAAATGTGTACATGCCATCACCTGTACAATGTGTACATGCCATCACCTGTACAAATGTGTGTACCTGCCATCACCTGTACAAATGTGTACATGCTATCACCTGTACAAATGTGTACCTGCCATCACCTGTACAAATGTGTACCTGCCATCACCTGTACAATGTGTACATGCCATCACCTGTACAAATGTGTGTACCTGCCATCACCTGTACAATGTGTACATGCTATCACCTGTACAAATGTGTGTACCTGCCATCACCTGTACAAATGTGTGTACCTGCCATCACCTGTACAAATGTGTACATGCCATCACCTGTACAATGTGTACATGCCATCACCTGTACAAATGTGTGTACCTGCCATCACCTGTACACATGTGTGTACCTGCCATCACCTGTACAAATGTGTACATGCCATCACCTGTACAAATGTGTGTACATGCCATCACCTGTACAAATGTGTACCTGCCATCACCTGTACACATGTGTGTACCTGCCATCACCTGTACAAATGTGTACCTGTCATCACCTGTACAAATGTGTGTACATGCCATCACCTGTACAAATGTGTACATGCCATCACCTGTACAAATGTGTGTACCTGCCATCCCCTGTACAAATGTGTACCTGCCATCACCTGTACAAATGTGTACCTGTCATCACCTGTACAAATGTGTGTACATGCCATCACCTGTACAAATGTATGTACCTGCCATCCCCTGTACAAATGTGTACCTGCCATCACCTGTACAAATGTGTACATGCTATCACCTGTACAAATGTGTACCTGCCATCACCTGTACAAATGTGTACATGCCATCACCTGTACAAATGTGTACCTGCCATCACCTGTACAAATGTGTACCTGCCATCACCTGTACAATGTGTACATGCCATCACCTGTACAAATGTGTGTACCTGCCATCCCCTGTACAAATGTGTACCTGCCATCACCTGTACAAATGTGTACCTGCCATCACCTGTACAAATGTGTACCTGCCATCACCTGTACAAATGTGTACATGCTATCACCTGTACAAATGTGTACCTGTCATCACCTGTACAAATCTGTGTACATGCCATCACCTGTACAATGTGTACATGCCATCACCTGTACAAATGTGTACCTGTCATCACCTGTACAAATCTGTGTACATGCCATCACCTGTACAAATGTGTGTACATGCCATCACCTGTACAAATGTGTGTACCTGCCATCACCTGTACAAATGTGTGTACCTGCCATCACCTGTACACATGTGTGTACATGCCATCACCTGTACAATGTGTACATGCCATCACCTGTACAAATGTACATGCCATCACCTGTACAAATGTACCTGCCATCACCTGTACATGTGTACATGCCATCACCTGTACAAATGTACATGCCATCACCTGTACAATGTGTACATGCCATCACCTGTACAAATGTACATGCCATCACCTGTACAATGTGTACATGCTATCACCTGTACAAATGTGTATCTGCCATCACCTGTACAAATGTGTGTACCTGCCATCACCTGTACAAATGTGTGTACATGCCATCACCTGTACAAGTGTGTGTACCTGCCATCCCCTGTACAAATGTGTACCTGCCATCACCTGTACAAATGTGTGTACCTGCCATCCCCTGTACAAATGTGTACCTGCCATCACCTGTACAAATGTGTGTACCTGCCATCACCTGTACAAATGTGTGTACATGCCATCACCTGTACAAGTGTGTGTACCTGCCATCACCTGTACAAATGTGTGTACCTGCCATCACCTGTACAAGTGTGTGTACATGCCATCACCTGTACAAGTGTGTGTACCTGCCATCACCTGTACAAATGTGTGTACCTGCCATCACCTGTACAAATGTGTGTACCTGCCATCACCTGTACAAATGTGTACCTGCCATCACCTGTACAAATGTGTACCTGCCATCACCTGTACAAATGTGTACCTGCCATCACCTGTACAAATGTGTACCTGCCATCACCTGTACAAATGTGTGTACCTGCCATCACCTGTACAAATGTGTGTACCTGCCATCACCTGTACAAATGTGTGTACATGCCATCACCTGTACAAGTGTGTGTACCTGCCATCACCTGTACAAATGTGTGTACCTGCCATCACCTGTACACATGTGTACATGCCATCACCTGTACAAATGTACATGCCATCACCTGTACAATGTGTACATGCCATCACCTGTACAAATGTGTACCTGCCATCACCTGTACAATGTGTACCTGCCATCACCTGTACAAATGTGTACATGCTATCACCTGTACAAATGTGTGTACCTGCCATCACCTGTACAAATGTGTACCTGCCATCACCTGTACAATGTGTACATGCCATCACCTGTACAAATGTGTGTACCTGCCATCACCTGTACAAATGTGTACATGCCATCACCTGTACAAATGTGTACCTGCCATCCCCTGTACAAATGTGTACCTGCCATCACCTGTACAAATGTGTGTACCTGCCATCCCCTGTACAAATGTGTACCTGCCATCACCTGTACAAATGTGTGTACCTGCCATCACCTGTACAAATGTGTGTACATGCCATCACCTGTACAAATGTGTGTACCTGCCATCACCTGTACAAATGTGTGTACATGCCATCACCTGTACAAGTGTGTGTACATGCCATCACCTGTACAAGTGTGTGTACATGCCATCACCTGTACAAATGTGTGTACATGCCATCACCTGTACAAATGTGTACCTGCCATCACCTGTACAAGTGTGTGTACATGCCATCACCTGTACAAATGTGTACCTGCCATCACCTGTACAAATGTGTACCTGCCATCACCTGTACAAATGTGTACCTGCCATCACCTGTACAAATGTGTACCTGCCATCACCTGTACAAATGTGTGTACCTGCCATCACCTGTACAAATGTGTGTACCTGCCATCACCTGTACAAGTGTGTACATGCCATCACCTGTACAAATGTGTGTACCTGCCATCACCTGTACAAATGTGTGTACCTGCCATCACCTGTACACATGTGTACATGCCATCACCTGTACAAATGTACATGCCATCACCTGTACAATGTGTACATGCCATCACCTGTACAAATGTGTACCTGCCATCACCTGTACAATGTGTACCTGCCATCACCTGTACAAATGTGTGTACATGCCATCACCTGTACAAATGTGTGTACCTGCCATCACCTGTACAAATGTGTACATGCCATCACCTGTACAAATGTGTGTACCTGCCATCACCTGTACAAATGTGTACATGCCATCACCTGTACAAATGTGTGTACCTGCCATCACCTGTACTAATGTGTACATGCTATCACCTGTACAAATGTGTACCTGCCATCACCTGTACAAATGTACATGCCATCACCTGTACAAATGTGTGTACCTGCCATCACCTGTACAAATGTGTACATGCCATCACCTGTACAAATGTACATGCCATCACCTGTACAATGTGTACATGCCATCACCTGTACAAATGTACATGCCATCACCTGTACAAATGTGTACATGCCATCACCTGTACAAATGTACATGCCATCACCTGTACAATGTGTACATGCCATCACCTGTACAAATGTACATGCCATCACCTGTACACATGTGTACATGAGTATAGATTTGTGTACATGTCCACCAGGTGAGTGGGCCAGACATCAGCCAGTGGATGGACCAGTTGCTGCCCATTATACTAGACATGCTTCAGGACTCATCCTCCCTGCAGAAGAGAGAGGTAAGTCTTTCCTCTCCCTAGAGAGGTCAGTCTTTCCCCTCCCTAGAGAGGTCTTTCCCCTCCCTAGAGAGGTCAGTCTTTCCCCTCCCTAGAGAGGTCAGTCTTTCCCCTCCCTAGAGAGGTCTTTCCCCTCCCTAGAGAGGTCTTTCCCCTCCCTAGAGAGGTCTTTCCCCTCCCCAGAGAGGTCTTTCCCCTCCCTAGAGAGGTCTTTCCCCTCCCTAGAGAGCTTTCCCCTCCCTAGAGTCTTTCCCCTCCCTAGAGAGGTAAGTCTTTCCCCTCCCTAGAGAGGTCTTTCCCCTCCCTAGAGAGGTCTTTCCCCTCCCTAGAGAGGTCTTCCCCCTCCCTAAAGAAGTCTTTCCCCTCCCTAAAGAGGTCTTTCCCCTCCCTAGAGAGGTAAGTCTTTCCCCTCCCTAAAGAGGTCTTTCCTCTCCCTAGAGAGGTCTTTCCCCTCCATAGAGAGGTCTTTCCCCTCCCTAGAGAGGTCTTTCCCCTCCCTAGAGAGGTCTTTCCCCTCCCTAGAGAGGTCTTTCCCCTCCCTAGAGAGGTAAGTCTTTCCCCTCCCTAGAGAGGTCTTTCCCCTCCCTAGAGAGGTCTTTCCCCTCCCTAGAGAGGTCAGTCTTTCCCCTCCCTAGAGAGGTCTTTCCCCTCCCTAGAAAGGTCTTTCCCCTCCCTAGAGAGGTCTTTCCCCTCCCTAGAGAGGTCAGTCTTTCCCCTCCCTAGAGAGGTCAGTCTTTCCCCTCCCTAGAGAGGTTAGTCTTCCCCTCCCTAGAGAGGTTAGTCTTCCCCTCCCTAGAGAGGTTAGTCTTCCCCTCCCTAGAGAGGTAAATCTTTCCCCTCTCTAAAGAGGTCTTTCCCCTCCCTAAAGAAGTCTTTCCCCTCCCTAGAGAGGTTAGTCTTTCCCCTCCCTAGAGAGGTTAGTCTTCCCCTCCCTAGAGAGGTAAATCTTTCCCCTCCCTAAAGAGGTCTTTCCCCTCCCTAAAGAAGTCTTTCCCCTCCCTAGAGAGGTCAGTCTTTCCCCTCCCTAGAGAGGTCAGTCTTTCCCCTCCCTAGAGAGGTCAGTCTTTCCCCTCCCTAGAGAGGTCTTTCCCCTCCCTAGAGAGGTCTTTCCCCTCCCTAGAGAGGTCAGTCTTTCCCCTCCCTAGAGAGGTCTTTCCCCTCCCTAGAGAGGTCTTTCCCCTCCCTAGAGAGGTAAGTCTTTCCCCTCCCTAGAGAGGTCAGTCTTCCCCCCCTAGAGAGCTAACACCAGCCATTGTCTGTCATCCCCAGGTGGCCCTGTGGACGCTGGGCCAACTTGTGGAGAGCACGGGGTCAGTGGTAGAGCCCTACAGCAAGTATCCCAACCTGCTGGACGTGCTGCTCAACTTCCTCAAGACAGAACAGTCCATCAGCATCAGGCGGGAGGTGGGTCAACTGGCTAGCCTTTACATTTGATGACATTGTCCAGCCTGTACATTTGATGACATTGTCCAGCCTTTACATTTGATGACATTGTCCAGACTGTAGATGACATTGTCCAGCCTGTACATTTGATGACATTGTCCAGCCTGTACATTTGATGACATTGTCCAGTGTAAATGACCAGTGCAGTGTAAATTTGACCACATTGACCAGTGTAAATTTGACCACATTGACCAGCATGTAAATTTGACCACATTGACCTTTGTAAATTTGACCATATTGACGAGCATGTAAATTTGACCACATTAACCTTTGTAAATTTGACCATATTGACTAGCATGTAAATTTGACCACATTGACCAGTGTAAATTTGACCACATTGACCAGTGTAAATTTGACCACATTGACCAGTGTAAATTTGATCACATTGACCAGCTTGTAAATTTGACCACATTGACCTTTGTAAATTTGATCACATTGACCAGCATGTAAATTTGACCACATTGACCAGTGCAAAGTTGACCACATTGACCAGTGCAAAGTTGACCACATTGACCAGTGCAAAGTTGACCACATTGACCAGTGTAAATTTGACCACATTGACCAGTGTAAATTTGACTACATTGACCAGTGTAAATTTGACCACATTGACCATTGTAAATATGACCTTATTGACCAGCCTGTAAATTGGACAACATTGACCAGCCTGTAAAGTGGACCACATTGACCAGCCTGTAAATTGGACCACATTGACCAGTGTAAATTTGACCACATTGACCAGCATGTACATTTGACCACATTGACCAGTGTAAATTTGACCACATTGACCAGTTCAAATTTGACCACATTGACCAGTGTAAATTTGACCACATTGACCAGTATAAATTTGACCACATTGACCAGTGTAAATTTGACCACATTGACCAGTGTAAATTTGACTACATTGACCAGTGTAAATTTGACCACATTGACCATTGTAAATATGACCTTATTGACCAGCCTGTAAATTGGACAACATTGACCAGCCTGTAAAGTGGACCACATTGACCAGCCTGTAAATTGGACCACATTGACCAGTGTAAATTTGACCACATTGACCAGCATGTACATTTGACCACATTGACCAGTGTAAATTTGACCACATTGACCAGTTCAAATTTGACCACATTGACCAGTGTAAATTTGACCACATTGACCAGTGTAAATTTGACCACATTGACCAGTGTACATTTGACCACATTGACCAGTGTAAATTTGACCACATTGACCAGTGCAAATTTGACCACATTGACCAGTGTAAATTTGACCACATTGACCAGTGTAAATTTGACCACATTGACCAGTGTAAATTTGACCACATTGACCAGTGTAAATTTGACCACATTGACCAGTGTAAATTCGACCACATTGACCAGTGTAAATTTGACCACATTGACCAGTGTAAATTCGACCACATTGACCAGTGTAAATTTGACCACATTGACCAGTGTAAATTTGACCACATTGACCATTGTAAATTTGACCACATTGACCAGTGTAAATTTGACCACATTGACCAGTGTAAATTTGACCACATTGACCAGTGTAAATCTGACCACATTGACCAGCATGTACATTTGACCACATTGACGAGCATATAAATTTGAAAATTTGACCACATTGACCAGTGCAAATTTGACCACATTGACCAGTGTAAATTTGACCACATTGACCAGTGTAAATTTGACCACATTCATTCAAAGTTATGTTTTTGTTGTTCAGGTGATCCGAGTCCTCGGGTTGCTGGGTGCCCTTGACCCTCACAAACACCGCATGAACCTTGGGGTCATCAAGGACACTGAGGCAGGGGTCAGCAAGTCTGACCACAAGTTTGGAGCGCAAGATGCAGCCTCTGGAGGTCAGAGGTCATTGTGTGTCACATGCTAACATTGTCTAATTGTGTCTGTGTTCACTAAGAAATACAAGGTGCATAGAACAATGTAGTGACATAGACATGTTATGATGTACTCTACTTCCCCTGCCCAGATGTGAACACAAGTGAGCTGATGAGCACGTGTGTGACTCTGGAGGAGTTCTACCCAGCCGTGGCCATCAACCTGCTGATGCGGATCATCCGTGACCCGTCCCTGTCCCAGCACCACAACATGGTGGTGCAGGCCATCACCATCATCTTCAAGTCCCTCAACATCAAGTGTGTGCCCTACATCCAGACGGTCATCCCCGCCTACCTGACCGTCTTCAGGACAGCTGACCCCAGCTTCAGGGAGGTAACTCTTTCAACTGCTTCTTGACATTGGCTCTAGGTCTAGGGTCATGACATCTAGTTGTAGGGTCATGACATTGGCTCTAGGTCTAGGGTCATGACATCTAGTTCTAGGGTCATGACATCTAGTTCTAGGGTCATGGCATCTAGGTCTAGGGTCATGACATCTAGGTCTAGGGTCATGACATCTAGTTCTAGGGTCATGAATCTAGTTCTAGGGTCATGACATCTAGTTCTAGGGTCATGACATCTAGTTCTAGGGTCATGACACTGGCTCTAGGTCTAGGGTCATGACATCTAGTTCTAGGGTCATGACATCTAGTTCTAGGGTCATGACATCTAGTTCTAGGGTCATGACATCTAGTTCTAGGGTCATGACATTGGCTCAAGTTCTAGGGTCATGACATCTAGTTCTTGGGTAATAAGATTGGGTAAAGTTTTATGCCAATTAGGTTCTGTCATTTGTTCTCTGCTAATGAGCTTTGACCATCTATTCCTCCAGTTCCTGTTCCAACAGTTGGGTGTCATCATCGCCATTGTCAAACAGCACATCAAAAATTATTTGGAGGACATCTTCAACCTAATCAAGGTGGGTTTGTCAACCTAATCAAGGTGGGTTTGTCAACCACTTAAAGGTGGGTTTGTCAACCACTTGAAGGTGGGTTTGTCAACCACTTAAAGGTGGGTTTGTCAACCACTTAAAGGTGGGTTTGTCAACCACTTGAAGGTGGGTTTGTCAACCTAATCAAGGTGGGTTTGTCAACCACTTGAAGGTGGGTTTGTCAACCACTTGAAGGTGGGTTTGTCAACCAGTTGAAGGTGGGTTTGTCAACCTAATGAAGGTGGGTTTGTCAACCACTTGAAGGTGGGTTTGTCAACCACTTGAAGGTGGGTTTGTCAACCTAATCAAGGTGGGTTTGTCAACCACTTGAAGGTGGGTTTGTCAACCACTTGAAGGTGGGTTTGTCAACCAGTTGAAGGTGGGTTTGTCAACCTAATGAAGGTGGGTTTGTCAACCACTTGAAGGTGGGTTTGTCAACCAGTTGAAGGTGGGTTTGTCAACCACTTGAAGGTGGGTTTGTCAACCAGTTGAAGGTGGGTTTGTCAACCACTTGAAGGTGGGTTTGTCAACCAGTTGAAGGTGGGTTTGTCAACCACTTGAAGGTGGGTTTGTCAACCAGTTGAAGGTGGGTTTGTCAACCACTTGAAGGTGGGTTTGTCAACCAGTTGAAGGTGGGTTTGTCAACCTAATGAAGGTGGGTTTGTCAACCACTTGAAGGTGGGTTTGTCAACCACTTGAAGGTGGGTTTGTCAACCACTTGAAGGTGGGTTTGTCAACCAGTTGAAGGTGGGTTTGTCAACCACATGTGTTTGTCAGAAAATTGTTGATCTATTTCTGATCAACTTCAACACAACATCAGGATTTGAAAGAGATTAAAGATGACTCCATAGTTGTTTATTCATTCTAAATAATCCAATAAAGCACTGCATCCATTTGGATTGTAAGAATAATACTTGCTTTAATCTGATGGATAAAACTTATCAAGGCCTACAAATTTTTCCTTAAAAAAATCTTACACTGCTTCAACAATGGTGTTATTTCTTTTGGTGCTATTTTTGTGTGTACCATTCTTAGAAACGAAAGAAATAATGAAACGTAAATTGTTTTAAAACATCATCAGCTACTTGTTTCATGCAATTGAACTTACAATTGTAACTTTGACTTTGATCCATCCAGAGCTAGCTGGCACACAACTAGCCTTGGACAGCTCAGGCCATTAGTAAATCTGTCTAAACTCAGATTGTTCCTAAATTAAATTATTCAATGATCATGGATTTCTCCAAATTAATTTGACTAATAATGATATAATTTTTACTTTACTATTCACTCCAACTGAAAAAAATATGGAAGTGAATATCCTTCAAGTTCATCTCAACACAAGTGTCCACTGATTGGTGTAGACAGTTATCCAATGGATAACAGGGTCATCTAGCTACATTTAAAAAGTTATCACAATGTTGCGCACAAGTTGTTTGATCAGATATTTTCTTGTCCTCAGGAGTATTGGACCAACTCGACCTCGATGCAGAGCGCCATCATCATGTTGATTGAGCAGATTGTCAACGCCCTGGGGACAGAGTTCCGCATGTATCTGCCACAGATCATTCCACAGATCCTGCGTGTCTTCATGCAGGACAACAGTGAGAATAAGATTGTCACTGCCAAGGTACTTTTTTATTTACACAATAGTTGTGGCAATTAATGGGTTCACTGCTCACAATAGTTGTGGCAATTAATGGGTTCACTGCCCACAATAGTTGTGTCAATTAATGGGTTCCCTGCTCACAATAGTTGTGGCAATTAATGGGTTCACTGCCCACAATAGTTGTGTCAATTAATGGGTTCCCTGCTCACAATAGTTGTGGCAATTAATGGGTTCACTGCCCACAATAGTTGTGTCAATTAATGGGTTCCCTGCTCACAATAGTTGTGGCAATTAATGGGTTCACTGCCCACAATAGTTGTGGCAATTAATGGGTTCACTGCCCACAATAGTTGTGTCAATTAATGGGTTCACTGCTCACAATAGTTGTTTCACCATAGATAAAAGCCGTCTAAAAAAAAATTGTTTGTTTATCCCAGCTGTTGAAAGCTCTGGAACTTTTTGACGGAAATTTGGACGACTACTTGCACCTGTTGCTGCCACCTGTTGTTAAGCTCTTTGATAATCCAGATAATCCTATTCATGTCAGGAGGTTAGTTTTCTTATTTGTAGAACATGTCTACTTTTGTAGAACATGTCTACTTTTGTAGAACATGTCTACTTTTGTAGAACATGTCTACTTTTGTAGAACATGTCTACTTTTGTAGAACATGTCTACTTTTGTTTAACATTTGAAGAACAGGACTATTTTTTGAGTGGCACCACTGACTGATGAGTGGCGCCTCACCTGTCAGGTGAACCAATGTCTGTCAGGTGAACCAATGTCTGTCTGTCAGGTGAACCAATGTCTGTCTGTCAGGTGAACCAATGTCTTTCTGTCAGGTGAACCAATGTCGGTCAGTCAGGTGAATCAATGTCTGTCAGTCAGGTGAATCAATGTCTGTCTGTCAGGTGAACCAATGTCTGTCTGTCAGGTGAACCAATGTCTGTCTGTCAGGTGAACCAATGTCTGTCTGTCAGGTGAACCAATGTCTGTCTGTCAGGTGAACCAATGTCTGTCAGGTGAACCAATGTCTGTCTGTCAGGTGAACCAATGTCTGTCAGGTGAACCAATGTCTGTCTGTCAGGTGAACCAATGTCTGTCTGTCAGGTGAACCAATGTCTGTCTGTCAGGTGAACCAATGTCTGTCAGGTGAACCAATGTCTGTCTGTTAGGTGAATCAATGTCTGTCTGTCAGGTAAACCAATGTCTGTCTGTCAGGTGAACCAATGTCTGTCTGTCAGGTGAACCAATGTCTGTCTGTCAGGTGAACCAATGTCTGTCAGGTGAACCAATGTCTGTCAGGTGAACCAATGTCTGTCAGGTGAACCAATGTCTGTCAGGTGAACCAATGTCTGTCAGGTGAACCAATGTCTGTCTGTCAGGTGAACCAATGTCTGTCTGTCAGGTGAACCTATGTCTGTCAGGTGAACCAATATCTGTCAGGTGAACCAATGTCTGTCAGGTAAACCAATGTCTGTCAGGTGAACCAAAGTCTGTCAGGTGAACCAAAGTCTGTCTGTCAGGTGACCCAATGTCTGTCAGGTAAACCATTTAGGTCTCATCTGATCCACCACCCCCACCCATGACCTACTTTGATCTCCCATTATCCATCAATGATATATTTGATCTCCCATTATCTGCCAATGATATATTTGATCTCCCATTATCTGCCAATGATATATTTGATCTCCCATTATCTGTCAATGATATATTTGATCTCCCATTATCCATCCATGATCTACTTTGATCTCCTATTATCCGTCAATGATATATTTGATCTCTCCACAGGAGTGCCCTGGAGACCATAGATCGTCTTACTGATTCCTTGGACCTCTCAGATTATGCATCTCGTATTATTCACCCTTTGGTGCGGACCATGGATACGACACCTGCACTCCACGGAGTGTGTATGGACACCCTGTGCACCATGGTGATACAGCTAAGTTACAAGTTTACCATCTTTATACCCATGGTGGCCAAAGTGATGAATCGTCAGAAGATACAGCACCAGCGTTTCCATGTCCTGATGACCAGGATACTAAAGGTAGTCAACACAGGGACAGGCAGGTAGTAGGGACAGGCAGGTAGTCAACAGGGACAGGCAGGTAGTAAGGACAGGCAGGTAGTCAACACAGGGACAGGCAGGTAGTAGGGACAGGCAGGTAGTAGGGACAGGCAGGTAGTAGGGACAGGCAGGTAGTCAACACAGGGACAGGCAGGTAGTCAACACAGGGACAGGCAGGTAGTAGGGACAGGCAGGTAGTCAACACAGGGACAGGCAGGTAGTAGGGACAGGCAGGTAGTCAACACAGGGACAGGCAGGTAGTCAACACAGGGACAGGCAGGTAGTCAACACAGGCAGGTAGTAGGGACAGGCAGGTAGTCAACACAGGGACAGGCAGGTAGTAGGGATAGGCAGGTAGTCAACAAAGGCAGGTAGTAGGGACAGGCAGGTAGTCAACACAGGGACAGGCAGTTAGTAGAGACAGGCAGGTAGTCAACACAGGCAGGTAATAGGGACAGGCAGGTAGTCAACACAGGCAGGTAGTAGGGACAGGCAGGTAGTCAACACAGGGACAGGCAGGTAGTCAACACAGGGACAGGCAGGTAGTCAACACAGGGACAGGCAGGTAGTCAACACAGGCAGGTACTCAACACAGGGACAGGCAGGTAGTCAACACAGGGACAGGCAGGTAGTCAACACAGGGACAGGCAGTTAGTCAACAGGGACAGGCAGGTAGTCAACACAGGGACAGGCAGGTAGTCAACACAGGGACAGGCAGGTAGTCAACACAGGCAGGTAGTAGGGACAGGCAGGTAGTAGGGACAGGCAGGTAGTCAACACAGGCAGGTAGTAGGGACAGTCAGGTAGTCAACAGAGGGACAGGCAGGTAGTCAACACATGGACAGGCAGGTAGTCAACACAGACAGGCAGGTAGTCAACACAGGGACAGGCAGGTAGTCCACACAGACAGGCAGGTAGTCAACACAGGGACAGGCAGGTAGTCCACACAGACAGGCAGGTAGTCAACACAGGGACAGGCAGGTAGTCAACACAGACAGGCAGGTATTCAACAGCCAGGTAGGTTGAAGGATCTGGCTAACTAGAGTGGTTCACCAATTCTATTGGTGTAAAAAGAATGAGAGCTCAATCTTGTTCCACCAATAGTTAAGTGTCAAACTTGAAAGCAACTGCACCTGCTCACTGATTGGACTAATTAAGTGTTTGCATGCTCATCAGGGTACCACAATCGCAGATGAAGAAGATGACCCAATCCTGATGAAGAAGGAACGCCAGGATCAGCTGAAGAAGAAAGGAAAGGACAGGTCTGACAACGCCCCAGACACCACTGCCATTAAAAAACTCAGTGTTAACTTTGAGACCATGAAGCGAGTAAGTTTATTTTGGTCACATCTCAGTGGGTCAGTTTATTTTGGTCACATCTCAGTGGGTCAGTTTATTTTGGTCACATCTAAGTGGGTCAGTTTATTTTGGTCACATCTCAGTGGGTCAGTTTATTTTGGTCACATCTCAACCTCTTTAGTTGTATAAAGATGGGGTTGACTACTGTGTCATCCATAAATTACATCACACTCCTGAGAGAGGAGAAGTGTCAGATAATGTAGCGTCACACTTTTGCATTTAAAAAATAATGTTGGAAAATGAACATTAGGCGTAATTATGAGTTTTTGGAAACTTGTTTTTATAAATGAATTCAAATACTCTGTGTTGACAGAGCTCAGTCAAAATTTGAGAAAGATAATGGTATGAGACTTCTTTAATCAGGATAAAATATAGATAAAACATGTCGTGTGTCTAAAGTAGACTGGATGTTTTGTTTGTTAGGCTCTAGAGACAGGACGTCTAAAGTAGACTGGATGTTTTCTTTGTTAGTCTCTAGAGACAGGATGTCTAAAGTAGACTGGATGTTTTGTTTGTTAGGCTCTAGAGACAGGACGTCATGTGTCTAAAGTAGACTGGATGTTTTGTTTGTTAGGCACTAGAGACAGGACGTCTAAAGTAGACTGGATGTTTTGTTTGTTAGGCTCTAGAGACAGGACGTCTAAAGTAGACTGGATGTTTTCTTTGTTAGTCTCTAGAGACAGGATGTCTAAAGTAGACTGGATGTTTTGTTTGTTAGGCTCTAGAGACAGGACGTCTAAAGTAGACTGGATGTTTTGTTTGTTAGGCACTAGAGACAGGACGTCTAAAGAAGACTGGATGTTTTGTTTGTTAGGCTCTAGAGACAGGACGTCTAAAGTAGACTGGATGTTTTGTTTGTTAGGCACTAGAGACAGGACGTCTAAAGTAGACTGGATGTTTTGTTTGTTAGGCTCTAGAGACAGGACGTCTAAAGTAGACTGGATGTTTTGTTTGTTAGGCTCTAGAGACAGGACGTCTAAAGTAGACTGGATGTTTTGTTTGTTAGGCTCTAGAGACAGGACGTCTAAAGTAGACTGGATGTTTTGTTTGTTAGGCACTAGAGACAGGACGTCTAAAGAAGACTGGATGTTTTGTTTGTTAGGCTCTAGAGACAGGACGTCTAAAGTAGACTGGATGTTTTGTTTGTTAGGCACTAGAGACAGGACGTCTAAAGTAGACTGGATGTTTTGTTTGTTAGGCTCTAGAGACAGGATGTCTAAAGTAGACTGGATGTTTTGTTTGTTAGGCTCTAGAGACAGGACGTCGTGTGTCTAAAGAAGACTGGATGGAATGGCTGAGGAAGCTGAGCATTGAGCTGCTGAAGGAGTCTCCCTCCCCTGCCCTCAGATCCTGCCTGGCCCTGGCACAGACGTACAACCCACTTGCCAGGTTTGATGTCCAGACATTTTACTTTTTTTGTCAACTTTAGAAACTGCTCCAGTTGATGCTGCCAAATAATTCTTGAGATCAAAACATTTCCAAAATTTAATTTCAAAGTTGAAGTTTACAAAATTTATTTTTGTTAATTTAGAAGGATAATTTCTAACCCAGAGATTTTGTACTAGTTTTTACATGACTGCAATTTGGATCTGACCCCAAGTTTTTTCTGACCCCAAATTTGATCTGACCCCAAGTTTGATCTGACCCCAAATTTGTTCTGACCCCAAATTTGATCTGACCCCAAATTTGTTCTGACCCCAAATTTGTTCTGACCCCAAATTTGATCTGACCCCAAATTTGTTCTGACCCCAAGTTTGATCTGACCCCAAATTTGTTCTGACCCCAAATTTGATCTGACCCCAAATTTGTTCTGACCCCAAATTTGTTCTGACCCCAAATTTGATCTGACCCCAAATTTGATCTGACCCCAAATTTGTTCTGACCCCAAATTTGATCTGACCCCAAATTTGTTCTGACCCCAAATTTGATCTGACCCCAAATTTGTTCTGACCCCAAATTTGATCTGACCCCAAATTTGTTCTGACCCCAAATTTGTTCTGACCCCAAATTTGTTCTGACCCCAAATTTGATCTGACCCCAAATTTGATCTGACCCCAAATTTGTTCTGACCCCAAATTTGTTCTGACCCCAAATTTGTTCTGACCCCAAGTTTGATCTGACCCCAAATTTGTTCTGACCCCAAATTCGTTCTGACCCCAAATTTGTTGTGACCCCAGGGATCTGTTTAACTCAGCTTTTCTGGCTTGCTGGACTGAGCTGACAGAGATCCAGCAAGACGAGGTCATTGCCAGTCTGGAGAAAACTTTGACCTCGCAAGAAATTCCTGAGATCATGCAGACTCTTCTCAATCTTGCTGAGTTCATGGAGCATTGTGACAAGGTCTGACATCTGAATGTCATGTCGTTATCTGGGACGTCTTAATGTGATATGATGGGTGGATGTCTTAATGTCATGTGATGTGATGGGTGGATGTCTTAATGTCATGTGATGGGTGGATGTCTTAATGTCATGTGATGTGATGGGTGGATGTCTTAATGTCTTGTGATGGGTGGATGTCTTAATGTCATGTGATGTGATGGGTGGATGTCTTAATGTCATGTGATGGGTGGATGTCTTAATGTCATGTGATGGGTGGGTGTCTTAATGTCATGTCATGTGATGGGTGGATGTCTTAATGTCATGTCATGTGATGGGTGGATGTCTTAATGTCATGTCATGTGATGGGTGGATGTCTTAATGTCATGTCATGTGATGGGTGGATGTCTTAATGTCATGTCATGTGATGGGTGGATGTCTTAATGTCATGTGATGGGTGGATGTCTTAATGTCATGTGATGGGTGGATGTCTTAATGTCATGTCATGTGATGGGTGGATGTCTTAATGTCATGTCATGTGATGGGTGGATGTCTTAATGTCATGTCATGTGATGGGTGGATGTCTTAATGTCATGTGATGGGTGGATGTCTTAATGTCATGTGATGGGTGGATGTCTTAATGTCATGTGATGGGTGGATGTCTTAATGTCATGTGATGGGTGGATGTCTTAATGTCATGTGATGGGTGGATGTCTTAATGTCATGTGATGGGTGGATGTCTTAATGTCATGTGATGTGATGGGTGGATGTCTTAATGTGATGTGATGGGTGGATGTCTTAATGTCATGTGATGGGTGGATGTCTTAATGTCATGTGATGGGTGGATGTCTTAATGTCATGTGATGGGTGGATGTCTTAATGTCATGTGATGGGTGGATGTCTTAATGTCATGTCATGTGATGGGTGGATGTCTTAATGTCATGTGATGGGTGGATGTCTTAATGTCATGTCATGTGATGGGTGGATGTCTTAATGTCATGTGATGGGTGGATGTCTTAATGTCATGTGATGGGTGGATGTCTTAATGTGATATGATGGGTGGATGTCTTAATGTCATGTCATGTGATGGGTGGATGTCTTAATGTCATGTGATGGGTGGATGTCTTAATGTCATGTGATGGGTGAATGTCTTAATGTCATGTGATGGGTGGATGTCTTAATGTCATGTGATGGGTGGTTGTCTTAATGTCATGTGATGGGTGGATGTCTTAATGTCATGTGATGGGTGGATGTCTTAATGTCATGTGATGGGTGGATGTCTTAATGTCATGTCATGTGATGGGTGGATGTCTTAATGTCATGTGATGGGTGGATGTCTTAATGTCATGTGATGGGTGGATGTCTTAATGTCATGTCATGTGATGGGTGGATGTCTTAATGTCATGTGATGGGTGAATGTCTTAATGTCATGTGATGGGTGGATGTCTTAATGTCATGTCATGTGATGGGTGGATGTCTTAATGTCATGTCATGTGATGGGTGGACGTCTTAATGTCATGTCATGTGATGGGTGGATGTCTTAATGTCATGTCAAGTGATGGGTGGATGTCTTAATGTCATGTCATGTGATGGGTGGATGTCTTAATGTCATGTGATGGGTGAATGTCTTAATGTCATGTGATGGGTGGATGTCTTAATGTCATGTCATGTGATGGGTGGATGTCTTAATGTCATGTCATGTGATGGGTGGATGTCTTAATGTCATGTCATGTGATGGGTGGATGTCTTAATGTCATGTCATGTGATGGGTGGATGTCTTAATGTCATGTGATGGGTGGATGTCTTAATGTCATGTGATGGGTGGATGTCTTAATGTCATGTCATGTGATGGGTGGATGTCTTAATGTCATGTGATGGGTGGATGTCTTAATGTCATGTCATGTGATGGGTGGATGTCTTAATGTCATGTCATGTGATGGGTGGATGTCTTAATGTCATGTGATGGGTGGATGTCTTAATGTCATGTCATGTGATGGTTGTCTTAATGTCCTTTCTGCCCACCATCTGCCCAGGGTCCATTGCCCCTAGATGGCCACCTGTTGGGAGAGAGAGCCATGAAGTGTAGGGCATATGCCAAGGCACTTCATTACAAGGAGGATGAGTTCCACAAGGGGCCCAACACACAAATTCTGGAGAACCTAATCAGGTAAGTAGGCTATTAATAGCCACATCCTAACACACGATTCTTGCTTAACATATGGAATAATTTGTTCAATTGCGGTTGTTGTTGTATTTGTGTAAGTTGTATTTGTGTCAGTTGTATTTGTGTAAGCTGTATTTGTGTAAGTTGTATTTGTGTAAGCTGTATTTGTGTAAGTTGTATTTGTGTAAGTTGTATTTGTGTAAGCTGTATTTGTGTAAGCTGTATTTGTGTAAGCTGTATTTGTGTAAGCTGTATTTGTGTTCCAGCATCAACAACAAGCTCCAGCAGAGAGAAGCAGCTAAAGGAGTTTTGTTGTACGCCATGAAACACAACCACGCCAACCTGGTAGGTGACCATAGGTGTGGGTGGGTGGGAGTGGTGACCCTAGGTGTGGGTGGGTGGGAGTGGGGGTGTCGACCCTAGGTGTGTGTGGGGGGTTGGGGTGGATGACCATAGGTATGGGGCAAGAGAGAGAGAAAAAGAGGACACTAATGGGCAATATGGATGGGGGGGGGGGGGGGAGGTGGACATTTGTCCAGACATGCCTACCGTTCTGCCAAAATCTGAACCGTCCCGCTTTTTCACCTAAAAAAGTAATTTGTTCCGCCATTCCGAAATGGACTCAGTTTGTTCCGACTTTTTTGAAAAAAATAATTAATAAAGAAAGGTAATAAAGTAAATTGAAAAAAGTGTCAGGAAAAGCGATTATCTCCCTTTGGCACACGTTTCTGTTTCCTAGTTTACTTACAATATTTACAAGTATCATCTAATACTAGATCTAGAAGGGGGTCTCAGGTTACTGGTTAACTTTTTAAAAAAATGTAAGCTGACATTAAGCAGTATTTAAATGTTGCCTAGAGACTAGATATATATGACTAGAAGCCTACTCGTGTCATTAGACTAATTTTTAATTAAATATTTTTATTTTTGACTAACTAAAGTAGCGTCTGCGCGTATGTTCCTCTTTTTAGCTTCAAATTCCTCTTTTTAGGCATGACTGATCCTACTTTTGGCTGACAGGGGTAGGCATGTTTGTTTGTCTAGATGTTGGAGAAGGGAGATGGCCGTTTGTCTAGATGTGTATGTAAAGCCATGTCCATTGTTTGCTCCAGAAAGTACAGGAGAGCTGGTACGAGAAGCTGCATGAGTGGGAGAAAGCCTACCAGGCCTACAACAGGAAACAGGAGCAGAACAAAGATGATGACAACCTGACTCTGGCCAGGATGAGGTGTCTGGAGGCCACGGGAGACTGGTACACACTTCACACACTTTGTACACCAGATGTGTACCTGGTACACACTTTGTACACCAGATGTGTACCTGGTACACACTTTGTACACCAGATGTGTACCTGGTACACACTTCACACACTTTGTACACCAGATGTGTACCTGGTACACACTTCACACACTTTGTACACCAGATGTGTACCTGGTACACACTTTGTACACCAGATGTGTACCTGGTACACATTTCACACATTTTGTACACCAGATGTGTACCTGGTACACACTTTGTACACCAGATGTGTACCTGGTACACACTTTGTACACCAGATGTGTACCTGGTACACATTTCACACATTTTGTACACCAGATGTGTACCTGGTACACACTTTGTACACCAGATGTGTACCTGGTACACACTTTGTACACCAGATGTGTACCTGGTACACACTTCACACACTTTGTACGCCAGATATGTACCTGGTACACACTTCACACACTTTGTACACCAGATGTGTACCTGGTACACACTTCACACACTTTGTACACCAGATGTGTACCTGGTACACACTTTGTACACCAGATGTGTACCTGGTACACACTTCACACACTTTGTACGCCAGATATGTACCTGGTACACACTTCACACACTTTGTACACCAGATGTGTTCCTGGTACACACTTTGTACACCAGATGTGTACCTGGTACACACTTTGTACACCAGATGTGTACCTGGTACACACTTCACACACTTTGTACACCAGATGTGTACCTGGTACACACTTCACACACTTTGTACACCAGATGTGTACCTGGTACACACTTTGTGCACCAGATGTGTTCCTGGTACACACTTCACACACTTTGTACACCAGATGTGTACCTGGTACACACTTTGTGCACCAGATGTGTTCCTGGTACACACTTCACACACTTTGTACACCAGATGTGTACCTGGTACACACTTTGTACACCAGATGTGTACCTGGTACACACTTCACACACTTTGTACACCAGATGTGTACCTGGTACACACTTCACACACTTTGTACACCAGATGTGTACCTGGTACACACTTTGTACACCAGATGTGTACCTGGTACACACTTCACACACTTTGTACGCCAGATATGTACCTGGTACACACTTCACACACTTTGTACACCAGATGTGTACCTGGTACACACTTTGTACACCAGATGTGTACCTGGTACACACTTTGTACACCAGATGTGTACCTGGTACACACTTCACACACTTTGTACACCAGATGTGTACCTGGTACACACTTCACACACTTTGTACACCAGATGTGTACCTGGTACACACTTTGTGCACCAGATGTGTTCCTGGTACACACTTCACACACTTTGTACACCAGATGTGTACCTGGTACACACTTTGTGCACCAGATGTGTTCCTGGTACACACTTCACACACTTTGTACACCAGATGTGTACCTGGTACACACTTCACACACTAGGCAGGATAAAGATTTGGTCTAAAGAAATGTGTTTTTATAGCATGACACTAGGCAGAATAAAGATTTGGTCTAAAGAAATGTGTTTTTATAGCATGACACTAGGCAAAGATTTGGTGTGTGTTCCACTTTCAGGCAGAGCCTGCACCAGATAGCGTTAGAGAGATGGCCGGTGGTATCTGATGAGATCAGGACTGGGATGGCCAGACTGGCCGCAGTTGCTGCCTGGGGACTTGGTCAGTTCTTGCATTAATCCACTCAACACTTGCATTAATCCACTCGACACTTGCATTAATCCACTCAACACTTGCATTAATCCACTCAACACTTGCATTAATCCACTCAACACTTGCGTTAATCCACTCGACACTTGCATTAATCCACTCAACACTTGCATTAATCCACTCAACACTTGCATTAATCCACTCAACACTTGCATTAATCCACTCAACACTTGCATTAATCCACTCAACACTTGCATTAATCCACTCAACACTTGCATTAATCCACTCAACACTTGCATTAATCCACTCAACACTTGCATTAATCCACTCAACACTTGCATTAATCCACTCAACACTTGCATTAATCCACTCAACACTTGCATTAATCCACTCAACACTTGCATTAATCCACTCAACACTTGCATTAATCCACTCAACACTTGCATTAATCCACTCAACACTTGCATTAATCCACTCAACACTTGCATTAATCCACTCGACACTTGCATTAATCCACTCGACACTTGCATTAATCCACTCAACACTTGCATTAATCCACTCAACACTTACGTTAATCCACTCAACACTTGCGTTAATCCACTCAACACTTGCATTAATCCACTCAACACTTGCATTAATCCACTCAACACTTGCATTAATCCACTCAACACTTACATTAATCCACTCAACACTTGCATTAATCCACTCAACACTTGCATTAATCCACTCAACACTTGCATTAATCCACTCGACACTTGCATTAATCCACTCGACACTTGCATTAATCCACTCAACACTTGCATTAATCCACTCAACACTTGCATTAATCCACTCAACACTTGCATTAATCCACTCAACACTTGCATTAATCCACTCGACACTTGCATTAATCCACTCAACACTTGCATTAATCCACTCAACACTTGCATTAATCCACTCAACACTTGCATTAATCCACTCAACACTTGCATTAATCCACTCAACACTTGCATTAATCCACTCAACACTTGCATTAATCCACTCGACACTTGCATTAATCCACTTGACACTTGCATTCATCCACTCAACACTTGCATTAATCCACTCAACACTTGCATTAATCCACTCAACACTTGCATTAATCCACTCGACACTTGCATTAATCCACTCGACACTTGCATTAATCCACTCGACACTTGCATTAATCCACTCGACACTTGCATTAATCCACTCAACACTTGCATTCATCCACTCAACACTTGCATTAATCCACTCGACACTTGCATTCATCCACTCAACACTTGCATTAATCCACTCAACACTTGCATTAATCCACTCAACACTTGCATTAATCCACTCAACACTTATGTTAATCCACTCAACACTTGCGTTAATCCACTCAACACTTGCATTAATCCACTCAACACTTGCATTAATCCACTCAACACTTGCATTAATCCACTCAACACTTACATTAATCCACTCAACACTTACGTTAATCCACTCAACACTTGCATTAATCCACTCGACACTTGCATTCATCCACTCAACACTTGCATTAATCCACTCAACACTTGCATTAATCCACTCAACACTTGCATTAATCCACTCAACACTTGCATTAATCCACTCGACACTTGCATTAATCCACTCAACACTTGCATTAATCCACTCAACACTTGCATTAATCCACTCAACACTTGCATTAATCCACTCAACACTTGCATTAATCCACTCAACACTTGCATTAATCCACTCAACACTTGCATTAATCCACTCGACACTTGCATTAATCCACTTGACACTTGCATTCATCCACTCAACACTTGCATTAATCCACTCAACACTTGCATTAATCCACTCGACACTTGCATTAATCCACTCGACACTTGCATTAATCCACTCGACACTTGCATTAATCCACTCGACACTTGCATTAATCCACTCGACACTTGCATTAATCCACTCAACACTTGCATTCATCCACTCAACACTTGGATTCATCCACTCAACACTTGCATTAATCCACTCAACACTTGCATTAATCCACTCAACACTTGCATTAATCCACTCAACACTTGCATTAATCCACTTAACACTTGCATTAATCCACTCAACACTTGCATTAATCCACTCAACACTTGCATTAATCCACTCAACCCTTGCATTAATCCACTCAACACTTGCATTAATCCACTCAACACTTGCATTAATCCACTCAACACTTGCATTAATCCACTCAACACTTGCATTAATCCACTCAACACTTGCGTTAATCCACTCAACAGCTGGGGATTTTCACTGTATAAAAAATGTTAGACAGTACGGGATGTTTGATCAATGTAAATAAAAAATGTTGTGGGTGTTCCGACGTTATTGTGTGTGTCCCTAAATTATTGTGTGTCCCCAAATTATTGTGTGTTCCCAAATTATTGTGTGTCCCCACATCATTGTGTGTGCCCCACATTATTGTGTCCCCCCCACATTATTGTGTCCCCCCACATTATTGTGTCCCCCCACATTATTGTGTATCCCCCCACATTATTGTGTGTTTCTCCCCATGATGTGCTGTAGGGCAGTGGGACAGTGTGGAGCAGTACATGTGTTTGATCCCCCGCACTAGTCACGACGCAGCTTTCTTCAGGGCTGTCTACGCCCTACATTGTGAAAACTACCAAATAGCACAGCAGGCAAGTATGCTCTTAGGGATTTTAGAATTTAAAAGTGTATCTAATATTTTGCCATCCAACTTACCCCTAACCCACAATTTATCTCCCATAACTCACTATTTATCTCCCCTAACCCACCAGTTACCTTCCTTAACATACCATTTATTTTCCCAAACCCATCATTTATCTCCCTTTACCCATTTACCTCCCCTAAACATTATTTACCTCTTCTAACACACCATTTATTCCCCCTAACCCACCATTTTTGTGATTTACCTCTACTTACCCATTATATACCTCCTTTAACCCACCATTTATTACCCCATACCCATTCTTTATCTCCCCCTACCCCATTATTTATCTCCCCCTACCCCATCCCATTATTTATCTCCCCTACCCCATTATTACCACTCCTAACCATTCTTTATCTCCCCTAACCCATTCTTATCTCCCCTAACCCATTATTTATCTCCCCTAACCCATTATTTATCTCCCCTAACCCATTCTTTATCTCCCCTAACCCATTCTTATCTCCCCTAACCCTATTATCTCCCCTAACCCATTATTTATCTCCCCTAACCCTTTATTTATCTCCCCTAACCCATTCTTTATCTCCCCTAACCCATTCTTTATCTCCCCTAACCCATTATTTATCTCCCCTAACCCATTATTTATCTCCCCTAACCCATTATTTATCTCCCCTAACCCATTCTTTATCTCCCCTAACCCATTATTTATCTCCTCTAACCATTCTTTATCTCCCCTAACCCATTCTTATCTCCCCTAACCCATTATTTATCTCCCCTAACCCATAATTTATCTCCCCTAACCCATTCTTTATCTCCCCTAACCCCTTCTTTATCTCCCCTAACCCATTCTTATCTCCCCTAACCCATAATTTATCTCCCCTAACCCATTATTTATCTCCCCTAACCCATTATTTATCTCCCCTAACCCATTATTTTTCTCCCCTAACCCATTATTTATCTCCCCTAACCCATAATTTATCTCCCCTAACCCATTATTTACCTCCCCTAACCCATTATTTACCTCCCCTAACCCATTATTTATCTCCCCTAACCCATTATTTATCTCCTCTAACCATTCTTTATCTCCCCTAACCCATTCTTATCTCCCCTAACCCATTATTTATCTCCCCTAACCCATAATTTATCTCCCCTAACCCATTCTTTATCTCCCCTAACCCCTTCTTTATCTCCCCTAACCCATTCTTATCTCCCCTAACCCATAATTTATCTCCCCTAACCCATTATTTATCTCCCCTAACCCATTATTTATCTCCCCTAACCCATTATTTTTCTCCCCTAACCCATTATTTATCTCCCCTAACCCATTATTTATCTCCCCTAACCCATTATTTACCTCCCCTAACCCATTATTTACCTCCCCTAACCCATTATTTATCTCCCCAGTGTATTGACAAAGCCAGAGATATCTTGGACACCGAGCTGACAGCCATGGCTGGGGAGAGTTACAACAGGGCATATGGGGTAAGTTTGGTGCTACAACAGGGCATATGGGGTAAGTTTGGTGCTACAACAGGGCATATGGGGTAAGTTAGTGGTGCTACAGCAGGGCATATGGGGTAAGTTTGATATAAAAGGGCATATGTCACTGGGCAATCTTTCAGGCTATAGTCAATGTCCAAATGTTGTCAATCTTTCAGGCTATGGTCAATGTCCAAATGTTGTCAATCTTTCAGGCTATGGTCAATGTCCAAATGTTGTCAATCTTTCAGGCTATGGTCAATGTCCAAATGTTGTCAATCTTTCAGGCTATGGTCAATGTCCAAATGTTGTCAATCTTTCAGGCTATGGTCAATGTCCAAATGTTGTCAATCTTTCAGGCTATGGTCAATGTCCAAATGTTGTCAATCTTTCAGGCTATGGTCAATGTCCAAATGTTGTCAATCTTTCAGGCTATGGTCAATGTCCAAATGTTGTCAATCTTTCAGGCTATGGTCAATGTCCAAATGTTGTCAATCTTTCAGGCTATGGTCAATGTCCAAATGTTGTCAATCTTTCAGGCTATGGTCAATGTCCAAATGTTGTCAATCTTTCAGGCTATGGTCAATGTCCAAATGTTGTCAATCTTTCAGGCTATGGTCAATGTCCAAATGTTGTCAATCTTTCAGGCTATGGTCAATGTCCAAATGTTGTCAATCTTTCAGGCTATGGTCAATGTCCAAATGTTGTCAATCTTTCAGGCTATGGTCAATGTCCAAATGTTGTCAATCTTTCAGGCTATGGTCAATGTCCAAATGTTGTCAATCTTTCAGGCTATGGTCAATGTCCAAATGTTGTCAATCTTTCAGGCTATGGTCAATGTCCAAATGTTGTCAATCTTTCAGGCTATGGTCAATGTCCAAATGTTGTCAATCTTTCAGGCTATGGTCAATGTCCAAATGTTGTCAATCTTTCAGGCTATGGTCAATGTCCAAATGTTGTCAATCTTTCAGGCTATGGTCAATGTCCAAATGTTGTCAATCTTTCAGGCTATGGTCAATGTCCAAATGTTGTCAATCTTTCAGGCTATGGTCAATGTCCAAATGTTGTCAATCTTTCAGGCTATGGTCAATGTCCAAATGTTGTCAATCTTTCAGGCTATGGTCAATGTCCAAATGTTGTCAATCTTTCAGGCTATGGTCAATGTCCAAATGTTGTCAATCTTTCAGGCTATGGTCAATGTCCAAATGTTGTCAATCTTTCAGGCTATGGTCAATGTCCAAATGTTGTCAATCTTTCAGGCTATGGTCAATGTCCAAATGTTGTCAATCTTTCAGGCTATGGTCAATGTCCAAATGTTGTCAATCTTTCAGGCTATGGTCAATGTCCAAATGTTGTCAATCTTTCAGGCTATGGTCAATGTCCAAATGTTGTCAATCTTTCAGGCTATGGTCAATGTCCAAATGTTGTCAATCTTTCAGGCTATGGTCAATGTCCAAATGTTGTCAATCTTTCAGGCTATGGTCAATGTCCAAATGTTGTCAATCTTTCAGGCTATGGTCAATGTCCAAATGTTGTCAATCTTTCAGGCTATGGTCAATGTCCAAATGTTGTCAATCTTTCAGGCTATGGTCAATGTCCAAATGTTGTCAATCTTTCAGGCTATGGTCAATGTCCAAATGTTGTCAATCTTTCAGGCTATGGTCAATGTCCAAATGTTGTCAATCTTTCAGGCTATGGTCAATGTCCAAATGTTGTCAATCTTTCAGGCTATGGTCAATGTCCAAATGTTGTCAATCTTTCAGGCTATGGTCAATGTCCAAATGTTGTCAATCTTTCAGGCTATGGTCAATGTCCAAATGTTGTCAATCTTTCAGGCTATGGTCAATGTCCAAATGTTGTCAATCTTTCAGGCTATGGTCAATGTCCAAATGTTGTCAATCTTTCAGGCTATGGTCAATGTCCAAATGTTGTCAATCTTTCAGGCTATGGTCAATGTCCAAATGTTGTCAATCTTTCAGGCTATGGTCAATGTCCAAATGTTGTCAATCTTTCAGGCTATGGTCTATGTCCAAATGTTGTCAATCTTTCAGGCTATGGTCAATGTCCAAATGTTGTCAATCTTTCAGGCTATGGTCAATGTCCAAATGTTGTCAATCTTTCAGGCTATGGTCAATGTCCAAATGTTGTCAATCTTTCAGGCTATGGTCAATGTCCAAATGTTGTCAATCTTTCAGGCTATGGTCAATGTCCAAATGTTGTCAATCTTTCAGGCTATGGTCAATGTCCAAATGTTGTCAATCTTTCAGGCTATGGTCAATGTCCAAATGTTGTCAATCTTTCAGGCTATGGTCAATGTCCAAATGTTGTCAATCTTTCAGGCTATGGTCAATGTCCAAATGTTGTCAATCTTTCAGGCTATGGTCAATGTCCAAATGTTGTCAATCTTTCAGGCTATGGTCAATGTCCAAATGTTGTCAATCTTTCAGGCTATGGTCAATGTCCAAATGTTGTCAATCTTTCAGGCTATGGTCAATGTCCAAATGTTGTCAATCTTTCAGGCTATGGTCAATGTCCAAATGTTGTCAATCTTTCAGGCTATGGTCAATGTCCAAATGTTGTCAATCTTTCAGGCTATGGTCAATGTCCAAACGTTGTCAATCTTTCAGGCTATGGTCAATGTCCAAACATTGTCAATCTTTCAGGCTATGGTCAATGTCCAAACGTCAATCTTTCAGGCTATGGTCAATGTCCAAACGTTGTCAATCTTTCAGGCTATGGTCAATGTCCAAACGTTGTCAATCTTTCAGGCTATGGTCAATGTCCAAACGTTGTCAATCTTTCAGGCTATGGTCAATGTCCAAATGTTGTCAATCTTTCAGGCTATGGTCAATGTCCAAATGTTGTCAATCTTTCAGGCTATGGTCAATGTCCAAATGTTGTCAATCTTTCAGGCTATGGTCAATGTCCAAATGTTGTCAATCTTTCAGGCTATGGTCAATGTCCAAATGTTGTCAATCTTTCAGGCTATGGTCAATGTCCAAATGTTGTCAATCTTTCAGGCTATGGTCAATGTCCAAATGTTGTCAATCTTTCAGGCTATGGTCAATGTCCAAATGTTGTCAATCTTTCAGGCTATGGTCAATGTCCAAATGTTGTCAATCTTTCAGGCTATGGTCAATGTCCAAATGTTGTCAATCTTTCAGGCTATGGTCAATGTCCAAATGTTGTCAATCTTTCAGGCTATGGTCAATGTCCAAATGTTGTCAATCTTTCAGGCTATGGTCAATGTCCAAATGTTGTCAATCTTTCAGGCTATGGTCAATGTCCAAATGTTGTCAATCTTTCAGGCTATGGTCAATGTCCAAATGTTGTCAATCTTTCAGGCTATGGTCAATGTCCAAATGTTGTCAATCTTTCAGGCTATGGTCAATGTCCAAATGTTGTCAATCTTTCAGGCTATGGTCAATGTCCAAATGTTGTCAATCTTTCAGGCTATGGTCAATGTCCAAATGTTGTCAATCTTTCAGGCTATGGTCAATGTCCAAATGTTGTCAATCTTTCAGGCTATGGTCAATGTCCAAATGTTGTCAATCTTTCAGGCTATGGTCAATGTCCAAACGTTGTCAATCTTTCAGGCTATGGTCAATGTCCAAACGTTGTCAATCTTTCAGGCTATGGTCAATGTCCAAACGTTGTCAATCTTTCAGGCTATGGTCAATGTCCAAATGTTGTCAATCTTTCAGGCTATGGTCAATGTCCAAATGTTGTCAATCTTTCAGGCTATGGTCAATGTCCAAATGTTGTCAATCTTTCAGGCTATGGTCAATGTCCAAATGTTGTCAATCTTTCAGGCTATGGTCAATGTCCAAATGTTGTCAATCTTTCAGGCTATGGTCAATGTCCAAATGTTGTCAATCTTTCAGGCTATGGTCAATGTCCAAATGTTGTCAATCTTTCAGGCTATGGTCAATGTCCAAATGTTGTCAATCTTTCAGGCTATGGTCAATGTCCAAATGTTGTCAATCTTTCAGGCTATGGTCAATGTCCAAATGTTGTCAATCTTTCAGGCTATGGTCAATGTCCAAATGTTGTCAATCTTTCAGGCTATGGTCAATGTCCAAATGTTGTCAATCTTTCAGGCTATGGTCAATGTCCAAATGTTGTCAATCTTTCAGGCTATGGTCAATGTCCAAATGTTGTCAATCTTTCAGGCTATGGTCAATGTCCAAATGTTGTCAATCTTTCAGGCTATGGTCAATGTCCAAATGTTGTCAATCTTTCAGGCTATGGTCAATGTCCAAATGTTGTCAATCTTTCAGGCTATGGTCAATGTCCAAATGTTGTCAATCTTTCAGGCTATGGTCAATGTCCAAATGTTGTCAATCTTTCAGGCTATGGTCAATGTCCAAATGTTGTCAGTCTTTCAGGCTATGGTCAATGTCCAAATGTTGTCAATCTTTCAGGCTATGGTCAATGTCCAAATGTTGTCAATCTTTCAGGCTATGGTCAATGTCCAAATGTTGTCAATCTTTCAGGCTATGGTCAATGTCCAAATGTTGTCAATCTTTCAGGCTATGGTCAATGTCCAAACGTTGTCAATCTTTCAGGCTATGGTCAATGTCCAAACGTTGTCAATCTTTCAGGCTATGGTCAATGTCCAAATGTTGTCGGAACTGGAGGAGGTCATCCAGTACAAGCTGGTGCCAGAGAGGAGGGAAGCCATCAAACAGATGTGGTGGAACAGGCTCAAGGTGGGTTGGCTCTGGTGGGTTGGCTGTGGTGGGTTGGCTGTGGGGGGGTTGGCTGTGGTGGAACAGGCTCAAGGTGGGTTGGCTCTGGTGGGTTGGCTGTGGTGGGTTGGCTGTGGGGGGTTGGCTGTGGTGGAACAGGCTCAAGGTGGGTTGGCTGTGGTGGAACAGGCTCAAGGTGGGTTGGCTCTGGTGGGTTGGCTGTGGGGGGTTGGCTGTGGGGGGTTGGCTGTGGGGGGTTGGCTGTGGTGGAACAGGCTCAAGGTGGGTTGGCTGTGGTGGGTTGGCTGTGGTGGAACAGGCTCAAGGTGGGTTGGCTGTGGTGGGTTGGCTGTGGTGGAACAGGCTCAAGGTGGGTTGGCTGTGGTGGGTTGGCTGTGGTGGAACAGGCTCAAGGTGGGTTGGCTGTGGTGGGTTGGCTGTGGTGGAACAGGCTCAAGGTGGGTTGGCTGTGGGGGGTTGGCTGTGGTGGAACAGGCTCAAGGTGGGTTGGCTGTGGGGGGTTGGCTGTGGTGGGTTGGCTGTGGTGGAACAGGCTCAAGGTGGGTTGGCTGTGGGGGGTTGGCTGTGGGGGGTTGGCTGTGGGGGGTTGGCTGTGGTGGAACAGGCTCAAGGTGGGTTGGCTGTGGTGGGTTGGCTGTGGTGGAACAGGCTCAAGGTGGGTTGGCTGTGGTGGGTTGGCTGTGGTGGAACAGGCTCAAGGTGGGTTGGCTGTGGTGGGTTGGCTGTGGTGGAACAGGCTCAAGGTGGGTTGGCTGTGGTGGGTTGGCTGTGGTGGAACAGGCTCAAGGTGGGTTGGCTGTGGTGGGTTGGCTGTGGTGGAACAGGCTCAAGGTGGGTTGGCTGTGGGGGGTTGGCTGTGGTGGAACAGGCTCAAGGTGGGTTGGCTGTGGGGGGTTGGCTGTGGTGGGTTGGCTGTGGTGGAACAGGCTCAAGGTGGGTTGGCTGTGGGGGGTTGGCTGTGGTGGAACAGGCTCAAGGTGGGTTGGCTGTGGGGGGTTGGCTGTGGTGGAACAGGCTCAAGGTGGGTTGGCTGTGGGGGGTTGGCTGTGGTGGGTTGGCTGTGGTGGAACAGGCTCAAGGTGGGTTGGCTGTGGGGGGTTGGCTGTGGTGGAACAGGCGCAAGGTGGGTTGGCTGTGGGGGGTTGGCTGTGGTGGGTTGGCTGTGGTGGAACAGGCTCAAGGTGGGTTGGCTGTGGTGGGTTGGCTGTGGTGGGTTGGCTGTGGTGGGTTGGCTGTGGTGGGTTGGCTGTGGTGGGTTGGCTGTGGGGGGGTTGGCTGTGGGGGGTTGGCTGTGGTGGAACAGGCTCAAGGTGGGTTGGCTGTGGTGGGTTGGCTGTGGTGGGTTGGCTGTGGTGGGTTGGCTGTGGTGGGTTGGCTGTGGTTGGTTGGCTGTGGTGGGTTGGCTGTGGTGGGTTGGCTGTGGTGGGTTGGCTGTGGGGGGTTGGCTGTGGTGGGTTGGCTGTTGTGGGTTGGCTGTGGTGGAACAGGCTCAAGGTGGGTTGGCTGTGGTGGAACAGGCTCAAGGTGGGTTGGCTGTGGTGGGTTGGCTGTGGTGGGTTGGCTATGGTGGGTTGGCTGTGGTGGGTTGGCTGTGGTGGGTTGGCTGTGGTGGGTTGGCTGTGGTGGGTTGGCTGTGGTGGGTTGGCTGTGGTGGGTTGGCTGTTGTTGGTTGGCTGTGGTGGAACAGGCTCAAGGTGGGTTGGCTGTGGTGGGTTCGCTGTGGTGGGTTGGTTGTGGTGGGTTGGCTGTGGTGGGTTGGCTGTGGTGGTTTGGCTGTGGTGGTTTGGCTGTGGTGGGTTGGCTGCTCAAGGTGGGTTGGCTGCTCAAGGTTGGTTGGCTGTGGTGGAACAGGCTCAAGGTCGGTCAAAGTTCATGGGATTAAGGTTAATTAGTAGGTGGGTTGGTTGCTGAATGTGATTAAGAGCTGACAAGCTCCTTGTGAAATAACTTCCATGAATAAAGAAATGAAAAGTGGCCTGCGTGTTTATCCAAAGTTAAATGAAATGTTGTGGCCTGCGTGTTTGACCAAAGTTAAATGAAATGTTGTGGCCTGCGTGTTTGACCAAAGTTAAATGAAATGTTGTGGCCTGCGTGTTTGACCAAAGTTAAATGAAATGTTGTGACCTGCGTATTTGACCAAAGTTAAATGAAATGTTGTGACCTGCGTGTTTGACCAAAGTTAAATGAAATGTTGTGACCTGCGTGTTTGACCAAAGTTAAATGAAATGTTGTGGCCTGCGTGTTTGACCAAAGTTAAATGAAATGTTGTGACCTGCGTATTTGACCAAAGTTAAATGAAATGTTGTGACCTGCGTGTTTGACCAAAGTTAAATGAAATGTTGTGACCTGCGTGTTTGACCAAAGTTGAATGAAATGTTGTGACCTGCGTGTTTGACCAAAGTTAAATGAAATGTTGTGACCTGCGTGTTTGACCAAAGTTAAATGAAATGTTGTGACCTGCGTGTTTGACCAAAGTTAAATGAAATGTTGTGACCTGCGTGTTTGACCAAAGTTGTTTTGACCAGGGCTGTCAACGTGTGGTGGAAGATTGGCAGAAGATCCTGCAGGTCAGGTCTCTGGTCATCTCACCAGAGGAGGACATGGATGCCTGGCTCAAGTTTGCCAGTCTGTGCCGCAAGAATGAGAGACTGGTCAGTCAACACTAACTTGTCAATCTAACTTGTCAACACTAACTTGTCAATCTAACTTGTCAATCTAACTTGTCAACACTAACTTGTCAATCTAACTTGTCAATCTAACTTGTCAATCTAACTTGTCAATCTAACTTGTCAACACTAACTTGTCAATCTACCAATCTAACTTGTCATTCTACCAACCTAACTTGTCAATCTACCAATCTAACTTGTCAATCTAACTTGTCAATCTACCAATCTAACTTGTCAATCTACCAATCTAACTTGTCAATCTACCAATCTAACTTGTCAATCTACCAACCTAACTTGTCAATCTAACTTGTCAATCTAACAATCTAACTTGTCAATTCAACTTGTCAATCTACCAATCTAACTTGTCAATCTACCAATCTAACTTGTCAATCTACCAATCTAACTAGTCAATCTACCAACCTAACTTGTCAATCTACCAATCTAACTTGTCAATCTACCAATCTAACTTGTCAATTCAACTTGTCAATCTACCAATCTAACTTGTCAATCTAACTTATCAATCTACCAATCTAACTTGTCAATCTACCAACCTAACTTGTCAATCTACCAATATAACTTGTCAATCTAACTTGTCAATCTACCAATTCAACTTGTCAATCTACCAATCTATTTGAACCAACTCAACTGTCCCCCCCCCCAGGCCCTGTCCCACAAGACGCTGGTCACTCTGCTGGGCACTGACCCCTCCAAGAACCCGGAGCATTTCATCCCCAACACCCACCCTAAGGTGACCTTTGCCTACATGAAGCACATGTGGAAGGACAAACACCAACAGGTGAGTTGTCAGTCAGGACAAACACCAACAGGTGAGTTGTCAGTCAGGACAAACACCAACAGGTGAGTTGTCAGTCAGGACAAACACCAACAGGTGAGTTGTCAGTCAGGACAAACACCAACAGTTGAGTTGTCAGTCAGGACAAACACCAACAGGTGAGTTGTCAGTCAGGACAAACACCAACAGGTGAGTTGTCAGTCAGGACAAACACCAACAGGTGAGTTGTCAGTCGGTCAAAAGTATTGACAAAAATGTTTTGACAAAATTGTTTGGACTAAAATGTTTGGACTAAAATGTTTGGACTAAAATGTTTGGACTAAAATGTTTGGACAAAAATGTATTGAATAAAGTGTTATGACAAAAATGATTTGACTAAAATGATTTGAGTAAAATGACTTGACAAAAATGACTTGACTAAAATGATTTGACTAAAATGACTTGACAAAAATGATTTGACTAAAATGTCTTGAGTGTATTTCCAGAAGGAAGCGTACCAAAAGCTCCAGCACTTTGTCAAACATTCCCTCCAGACCAAATCCTTGATCCTCATGGGACCTGACGAGGTAGCACAGCGAGCCAAACTAAACCAGCTGACTGCCAGGTGGGTCAGTGGCTTGTGTCACATGGTGTCACAGGCTGTCACATGGTGTCACAGGCTGTCTCATGGTGTCAGTAGATGTCATTAGATGTCAGTAGAGTGTTACATGTGTTAGAAGAGCCACTGTTTTGTTTGAGATGTGCAGGCTGGTGTTTGAACATTTCAGATGCTACCTGCGGCTGGGCCAGTGGTCAGAAGAGTTGCTGGGTGTGTCAGAGGAGTCCATTCCACAGATCCTGGACAACTATAGCCTGGCTAAGGAACATGATGACTCTTGGTACAAGGTAAATAGCTGACAGCCTGGCTAAGGAGCATGATGACTCTTGGTACAAGGTAAATAGCTGACAGCCTGGCTAAGGAGCATGATGACTCTTGGTACAAGGTAAATAGCTGACTCATGTTTATCAAGTGACTCTATGTTGATGACTCTTGGTACAAGGTAAATAGCTGACAGCCTGGCTAAGGAGCATGATGACTCTTGGTACAAGGTAAATAGCTGACTCCTGTTAATCAAGTGACTCTATGTTGATGACTCTTGGTACAAGGTAAATAGCTGACAGCCTGGCTAAGGAGCATGATGACTCTTGGTACAAGGTAAATAGCTGACTCCTGTTAATCAAGTGACTCTATGTTGATGACTCTTGGTACAAGGTAAATAGCTGACAGCCTGGCTAAGGAGCATGATGACTCTTGGTACAAGGTAAATAGCTGACAGCCTGGCTAAGGAGCATGATGACTCTTGGTACAAGGTAAATAGCTGACAGCCTGGCTAAGGAGCATGATGACTCTTGGTACAAGGTAAATAGCTGACAGCCTGGCTAAGGAGCATGATGACTCTTGGTACAAGGTAAATAGCTGACAGCCTGGCTAAGGAGCATGATGACTCTTGGTACAAGGTAAATAGCTGACAGCCTGGCTAAGGAGCATGATGACTCTTGGTACAAGGTAAATAGCTGACAGCCTGGCTAAGGAGCATGATGACTCTTGGTACAAGGTAAATAGCTGACTCATGTTTATCAAGTGACTCTATGTTGATGACTCTTGGTACAAGGTAAAATAGCTGACTCATGTTTATCAAGTGACTCTATGTTGATGACTCTTGGTACAAGGTAAAATAGCTGACAGCCTGGCTAAGGAACATGATGACTCTTGGTACAAGGTAAATAGCTGACTCATGTTTATCAAGTGACTCTATGTTGATGACTCTTGGTACAAGGTAAAATAGCTGACAGCCTGGCTAAGGAGCATGATGACTCTTGGTACAAGGTAAATAGCTGACAGCCTGGCTAAGGAGCATGATGACTCTTGGTACAAGGTAAATAGCTGACTCCTGTTAATCAAGTGACTCTATGTTGATGACTCTTGGTACAAGGTAAAATAGCTGACAGCCTGGCTAGGAGCATGATGACTCTTGGTACAAGGTAAATAGCTGACAGCCTGGCTAAGGAGCATGATGACTCTTGGTACAAGGTAAATAGCTGACTCCTGTTAATCAAGTGACTCTATGTTGATGACTCTTGGTACAAGGTAAAATAGCTGACAGCCTGGCTAAGGAGCATGATGACTCTTGGTACAAGGTAAATAGCTGACAGCCTGGCTAAGGAGCATGATGACTCTTGGTACAAGGTAAATAGCTGACAGCCTGGCTAAGGAGCATGATGACTCTTGGTACAAGGTAAATAGCTGACTCATGTTTATCAAGTGACTCTATGTTGATGACTCTTGGTACAAGGTAAAATAGCTGACAGCCTGGCTAAGGAGCATGATGACTCTTGGTACAAGGTAAATAGCTGACTCCTGTTAATCAAGTGACTCTATGTTGATGACTCTTGGTACAAGGTAAAATAGCTGACAGCCTGGCTAAGGAGCATGATGACTCTTGGTACAAGGTAAAATAGCTGACTCCTGTTAATCAAGTGACTCTATGTTGATGACTACAGTTAAGGAAGTGACTCCTGTTAAGGAAGTGACTCCTGTTAATGATGTGACTCCTGTTAATGACGTGACTCCTGTCAATGAAGTGACTCCTGTTAATGACGTGACTCCTGTTAATGAAGTGACTCCTGTTAATGACGTGACTCCTGTTAATGACGTGACTCCTGTTAATGACATGACTCCTGTTAATGACATGACTCCTGTTAATGAAGTGACTCCTGTTAATGAAGTGACTCCTGTTAATGAAGTGACTCCTGTTAATGAAGTGACTCCTGTTAATGACGTGACTCCTGTTAATGACGTGACTCCTGTTAATGAAGTGACTCCTGTTAATGAAGTGACTCCTGTTAATGACATGACTCCTGTTTATCAAGTGACTCCTGTTTATCAAGTGACTCCTGTTAATGACGTGACTCCTGTTAATGACGTGACTCCTGTTAATGAAGTCTCCATCTTTTCTTGCAGGCCTGGCATTCCCTGGCCCTGATGAACTACCAGGCCGTCCTGTTCTACAAGCAGAAAGAGCAGGCGGCCACAGCTGCGGCCACATCAGATGGCCTGCTTGACCTGCCTCGGCTGGACATGGCCATCTCACCCCGGCCAGAGTCTGTGAGTAGCTTCCAGGTTGTCTGACGTCAGTAGTGTCAGTGACATCAGTAGATGGTGTCAGTCATTCTTTTCTTCCAATGTTCCCTGTCCCTAAAATGTTGTATAGTTCCAATGTTCCCTGTCCCTCTAATGTTGTATAGTTCACATGTTCCCTGTCCCTCTAATGTATAGTTCACATGTTCCCTGTCCCTCTAATGTTGTATAGTTCACATGTTCCCTGTCCCTCTAATGTTGTATAGTTCACATGTTCCCTGTCCCTCTAATGTTGTATAGTTCACATGTTCCCTGTCCCTCTAATGTTGTATAGTTCACATGTTCCCTGACCCTCTTATGTTGTATAGTTCACATGTTCCCTGACCCTCTAATGTTGTATAGTTCACATGTTCCCTGTCCCTCTAATGTTGTATAGTTCACATGTTCCCTGACCCTCTAATGTTGTATAGATCACATGTTCCCTGACCCTCTAATGTTGTATAGTTCACATGTTCCCTGTCCCTCTAATGTTGTATAGTTCACATGTTCCCTGACCCTCTAATGTTGTATAGTTTCGTTCCCTGTCCCTAAAATGTTGTATAGTTTCGTTCCCTGTCCCTCTAATGTTGTATAGTTCACATGTTCCCTGACCCTCTAGATCCCCGGAGATTTAGAGGGTACAGGAGCAAAGAGTAAGTGATTCTAATCCTGCCCTAAAGTTTTATCACTTTGCTAAACTCTACCAGATCTCTGCCAAAATACAGAAGTATTGTATCCCAGCTGTTCACGGCTTCTTCAAGTCCATCTCCCTCTCCACACAGAACAGTCTACAGGACACACTCAGGTAAAATAAGTCGAGGACACTATCAGGTAAAATAGGCATCGGACACATTCAGGTAAAATAGGTCAAAGACACACCCAGGTAAAATAGGGCGAGGACACTATCTGGTAAAATAGGCATCGGACACATTCAGGTAAAATAGGTCAAGGACACACTCAGATAAAATAAGTCAAGGACAGGCTCATGTAAAATAGGTCAAGGGCACACTCAGGTAAAATAGGTCTAGGACAGGCTCATGTAAAATAGGTCAAGGGCACACTCAGGTAAAATAGGTCTAGGACACAGCAAGTTGACTTGAATGTCACTTCTCCTGTAACAAGTTGACTTGAATGTCACTTCTCCTATAGCAAGTTGACTGTCGTCCACACAGGTTGTTGACCTTGTGGTTTGACTATGGTCAGTGGCCTGAGGTGTTTGAGATGATGAGCGATGGCATCAAGAGCATACAGATAGACAACTGGCTGCAGGTCATTCCACAGCTGATTGCCCGCATCGACACGCCACGGTCTCTGGTGCAGAGGCTGGTCCACCAACTGCTCATAGAGATAGGCAAGGCACATCCCCAGGTACATGACCATTTTATTAAGACAAGGCACATCCCCAGGTACATGACCATTTTATTAAGACAAGGCACATCCCCAGGTACATGACCATTTTATTAAGACAAGGCACATCCCCAGGTACATGACCATTTTATTAAGACAAGGCACATCCCCAGGTACATGACCATTTTATTAGGCACATCCCCAGGTACATGACCATTTTATTAAGACAAGGCACATCCCCAGGTACATGACCATTTTATTAAGACAAGGCACATCCCCAGGTACATGAGCATTTTATTAAGGCACATCCTCAGGTACATGACCATTTTATTAAGACAAGGCACATCCCCAGGTACATGACCATTTTATTAAGACAAGGCACATCCCCAGGTACATGACCATTTTATTAAGACAAGGCACATCCCCAGGTACATGACTATTTTATTAAGACAAGGCACATCCGCAGGTACATGACCATTTTATTAAGTCAAGGCACATCCCCAGGTACATGACCATTTTATTAAGACAAGGCACATCCCCAGATACATGACCATTTTATTAAGACAAGGCACATCCCCAGGTACATGACCATTTTATTAAGACAAGGCACATCCCCAGGTATATGACCATTTTATTAAGACAAGGCACATCCCCAGGTACATGACCATTTTATTAAGACAAGGCACATCCCCAGGTACATGACCATTTTATTAAGACAAGGCACATCCCCAGGTACATGACCATTTTATTAAGACAAGGCACATCCCCAGGTACATGACCATTTTATTAAGACAAGGCACATCCCCAGGTACATGACCATTTTATTAAGACAAGGCACATCCCCAGGCCTTGATCTACCCCGTATGTTTTGTATGTAGGCCTTGATCTACCCCATATGTTTTGTACGCAGGCCTTGATCTACCCCATATGTTTTGTATGCAGGCCTTGATCTACCCCATATGTTTTGTATGCAGGCCTTGATCTACCCCATATGTTTTGTACGCAGGCCTTGATCTACCCCATATGTTTTGTACGCAGGCCTTGATCTACCCCATATGTTTTGTATGCAGGCCTTGATCTACCCCATATGTTTTGTACGCAGGCCTTGATCTACCCCATATGTTTTGTATGCAGGCCTTGATCTACCCCATATGTTTTGTACGCAGGCCTTGATCTACCCCATATGTTTTGTACGCAGGCCTTGATCTACCCCATATGTTTTGTATGTAGGCCTTGATCTACCCCGTATGTTTTGTATGCAGGCCTTGATCTACCCTCTGACCGTGGCATCCAAGTCTAACGCCACTCTCCGCCAGGCTGCCGCCAACAAAATTCTCAAGTGTATGTGTGAGAGGAGCCAAAATCTGGTGGCCCAGGCTATGCTGGTCAGTCAAGTTTTTTATACTGTTGGTCAGACATTAGTCAGGCTATGCTGGTCAGTCAAGTTTTTTTATACTGTTGGTCTGACATTAGTCAGGCTATGCTGGTCAGTCAAGTTTTTTATACTGTTGGTCAGACATTAGTCAGGCTATGCTGGTCAGGCTATACTGGTCAGGCTATGCTGGTCAGTCTATGTTGGTTATTTTTGGTACTGACATTTGTATGACATTTGGTAGTGTTGTATGACATTCGGTAGTGTTGTATGACATTTGGTAGTGTTGTATGACATTTGGTAGTGTTGTATGACATTTGGTAGCGTTGTATGACATTTGATAGTGTCGTATGACATTTGGTAGTGTTGTATGACATTTGGTAGTGTTATATGACATTTGGTAGTGTTGTATGACATTTGGTAGCGTTGTATGACATTTGATAGTGTCGTATGACATTTGGTAGCGTTGTATGGCATTTGGTAGTGTTGTATGACATTTGGTAGTGTTGTATGACATTTGGTAGTGTCGTATGACATTTGGTAGTGTTGTATGACATTTGGTAGTGTTATATGACATTTGGTTGTGTTATATGACATTTGGTAGTGTTGTATGACATTTGGTAGTGTTGTATGACATTTGGTAGTGTTGTATGACATTTGGTAGTGTTGTATGACATTTGGTAGTGTTGTATGACATTTGGTAGTGTTGTATGACATTTGGTAGTGTTGTATGACATTTGGTAGTGTTGTATGACATTTGGTAGTGTTGTATGACATTTGGTAGTGTTGTATGACATTTGGTAGTGTTGTATAACATTTGGCCAGGTGTCAGAAGAGCTGATCCGTGTGGCCATCTTGTGGCATGAGCTGTGGCACGAGGGGCTGGAGGAAGCTTCTAGACTCTACTTTGGTGACCGCAACGTGCGCGGCATGTTCAGCACCCTGGAGCCTCTCCACGCCATGATGGAGCGCGGCCCGCAGACTTTGAAGGAAACATCTTTTACACAGGTGAAACTCTTTCAAACATCGGCCATGGTCTTAGCACTTGCGTTAGCACTGACATTAGCACTGACATTAGCACTGACATTAGCACTGACATTAGCACTGACATTAGCACTGACATTAGCACTGACATTAGCACTGACGTTAGCACTGACATTAGCACTGACATTAGCACTGACATTAGCACTGACATTAGCACTGACATTAGCACTGACATTAGCACTGATGCTAGCACTGATGTTAGCATTGACGTTGCCACTGACATTAGCACTGACATTAGCACTGACATTAGCAGTTTTAAAAAATAAACACTGCCCTCAGCCACAAAGTGGTCTTTGCTCAATTGTTGCTCAAAAACTTTTTGGAGTAGCCATAGCTTTTAGTCTACTATTAAGTGAAGTAGTGAAACATTCTGTCAAATTGCTGTGTAATGTCCAGTCAAAGGAAAGCACAAAGCTACTCTCATTATTTCAGGCTTATGGGCGGGACTTGATGGAAGCTCAGGAGTGGTGTCGCAAGTACCAAAGGTCAGGCAATGTCAAGGACTTGACCCAAGCTTGGGACTTGTACTACCACGTCTTCAGGAGGATTTCAAAACAGTTGCCTCAGGTCAGTGAACCTCGGGGGAGTTTTGTTGACTCCACCTCTTTTGTTGTATGACCCCACCTCTTTTGTTGTTTGACCCCACCTCTTTTGTTGTTTGACCCCACCTCTTTTGTTGTTTGACTCCACCCCTTTTGTTGTCAGCTGACATCTCTGGAGCTGCAGTATGTCTCACCCAAACTCTTGCACTGCCGGGACCTGGAATTGGCTGTTCCTGGCTCTTACGAGCCTAATCAACCCGTTATAAGGATCAAGAGAGTTCAAAGTTCACTGCAAGTCATCACTTCCAAACAGAGGCCCAGGAAGCTGAGCATTTTTGGTCAGACATGTGTACTTGTGGGGGGGGGGGGGGGGGGTGGGTCAGACATTTGTACTTGTGGGGGTGGGGGGGGAGGGGTCAGACATGTGTACTTGTGGGGGGGGGGTGGGTCAGACATTTGTACTTGTGGGGGGGGGGGGGGGGGGTCAGACATGTGTACTTGTGGGGGGGGGGAGGGGTCAGACATTTGTACTTGTGGGGGGGGGGGGGGGTCAGAGACATTTGTACTTGTGGGGGTGGGGGGTTAGACATTTGTACTTGTGGGGGGGGGGGGGTCAGAGACATTTGTACTTGTGGGGGTGGGGGGTCAGACATTTGTACTTGTGGGGGGGGGGGGGGGGTCAGAGACATTTGTACTTGTGGGGGTGGGGGGTCAGACATTTGTACTTGTGGGGGGGGGGGGGGGGTCAGAGACATTTGTACTTTTGTACTTGGGGTGTGGGGTCAGACATTTGTACTTGTAGGGGTGGGGGGGTCAGAGACATTTGTACTTGGGGGGGGGGGTCAGACATTTGTACTTGTAGGGGTGGGGGGGTCAGAGACATTTGTACTTGGGGGGGGGGGTCAGACATTTGTACTTGGGGGGGGGGGGGGGGTCAGACATTTGTACTTGGGGGGGGGTTCAGACATTTGTACTTGGGGGGGGGGGGGTCAGACATTTGTACTTATGTGTGTGTAGAAAGGGGGGGGGGTCAGAGACATTTCAACTTGTGTGTGGGGGGTCAGACATTTTTACTTGTGGGGGGGGGGGGGGGGGGGGTCAGAGACATTTGAACTTGTGTGGGGGGGGGGTCAGTCCTGGGTCTTGCTATGTAGTCCTTGTGTGCTGTGTGTAGTCCTTGTGTGGTGTACCTGTGTAGTCCTTGTGTGCTGTAGCTGTGTGGTCTTTGTGTGGTGTGTGTAGTCCTTGTGTGCTGTGTGTAGTCCTTGTGTGCTGTGTGTAGTCCTTGTGTGCTGTGTGTAGTCCTTGTGTGCTGTGTGTAGTCCTTGTGTGGTGTAACTGTGTAGTCCTTGTGTGCTGTAGCTGTGTGGTCTTTGTGTGGTGTGTGTAGTCCTTGTGTGCTGTGTGTAGTCCTTGTGTGCTGTGTGTAGTCCTTGTGTGCTGTAACTGTGTAGTCCTTGTGTGCTGTAACTGTGTAGTCCTTGTGTGCTGTGTGTAGTCCTTGTGTGCTGTAACTGTGTAGTCCTTGTGTGCTGTAACTGTGTAGTCCTTGTGTGCTGTAGCTGTGTAGTCCTTGTGTGCTGTAACTGTGTAGTCCTTGTGTGCTGTGTGTAGTCCTTGTGTGCTGTGTGTAGTCCTTGTGTGCTGTAACTGTGTAGTCCTTGTGTGCTGTAACTGTGTAGTCCTTGTGTGCTGTGTGTAGTCCTTGTGTGCTGTAACTGTGTAGTCCTTGTGTGCTGTAACTGTGTAGTCCTTGTGTGCTGTAACTGTGTAGTCCTTGTGTGCTGTGTGTAGTCCTTGTGTGCTGTAACTGTGTAGTCCTTGTGTGCTGTAACTGTGTAGTCCTTGTGTACTGTAACTGTGTAGTCCTTGTGTGCTGTAACTGTGTAGTCCTTGTGTGCTGTGTGTAGTCCTTGTGTGCTGTAACTGTGTAGTCCTTGTGTGCTGTAGCTGTGTAGTCCTTGTGTGCTGTAACTGTGTAGTCCTTGTGTGCTGTGTGTAGTCCTTGTGTACTGTAACTGTGTAGTCCTTGTGTGCTGTAACTGTGTAGTCCTTGTGTGCTGTAACTGTGTAGTCCTTGTGTGCTGTGTGTAGTCCTTGTGTGCTGTAACTGTGTAGTTCTTGTGTGCTGTGTGTAGTCCTTGTGTGCTGTGTGTAGTCCTTGTGTGCTGTGTGTAGTCCTTGTGTGCTGTACCTGTGTAGTCCTTGTGTGCTGTGTGTAGTCCTTGTGTGCTGTGTGTAGTCCTTGTGTGCTGTACCTGTGTAGTGTGCTGTAGCTGTGTAGTCCTTGTGTGCTGTGTGTAGTCCTTGTGTGCTGACTAAAGTTTCCCTCTCCAGGAAGTGATGGAGAAGAGTACCAGTTTTTGTTGAAAGGTCACGAGGACCTACGTCAGGACGAGAGGGTCATGCAGCTCTTTGGTCTAGTCAATTCTTTGCTGCGTAATAACCCAGACACTTTCAGGAGAAATCTTACGTAAGTTTCCTCGTACAGGATGTGTCATTTAGTTATTTGTCATTTAGTTATTTGTGTCATTTAGTTAGTGTCATTTAGTTATTTGTGTCATTTAGTTATTAGTCATTTAGTTTTTTGTGTCATTTAGTTCTTTGTGTCATTTAGTAATATTTGTCATTTAGTTATTTGTGTCATTTAGTTATTTCTGTCATTTAGTTATTTCTGTCATTTAGTTATTTCTGTCATTTAGTTATTTCTGTCATTTAGTTATTTGTGTCATTTAGTTACTTCTATCATTAAATTATTTCTGTCATTTAGTTATTTCTGTCATTTAGTTATTTCTGTCATTTAGTTATTTCTGTCATTTAGTTATTTCTGTCGTTTAGTTATTTCTGTCGTTTAGTTATTTCTGTCGTTTAGTTCTATTTTGTGGGTGTTAAAAAGGTTGGCCTAATGTTGAAAAATTTGTTGGCCTGATGTCAATCATTGGCCTGATGTCAACTTGTTGGCCTGATGTCAATCACTGGCCTGATGTCAACTTGTTGGCCCGATGTCAACTTGTTGGCCCGATGTCAACTTGTTGGCCCGATGTCAACTTGTTGGCCCGATGTCAACTTGTTGGCCCGATGTCAACTTGTTGGCCCGATGTCAACTTGTTGGCCTGATGTCAACTTGTTGGCCTGATGTCAACTTGTCAGCTTGATGTCAACTTGTCGGCCTGATGTCAACTTGTCAGCTTGATGTCAACTTGTCGGCCTTATGTCAACTTGTCGGCCTGATGTCAACTTGTCGGCCTGATGTCAACTTTTTGGCCTGATGTCAACTTGTTGTCCTGATGTCAACGTGTTGGCCAAATGTCAACTTGTTCTGTCCCCAGCATCACCAGGTTTGCAGCCATCCCATTGTCCACCAACTCCGGTCTGATTGGCTGGGTGAGAAACTGTGACACCATCCACGCACTCATCCGGGACTACCGCGAGAAAAGGAAGATTCTCCTCAACATTGAGCACAGAGTGATGTTACGGGTGAGATTCTGTTGACCAGTGGTGTGATTGACCATTGGTGTGATTGACCATTGGTGTGATTGAGTTGACCATTGGTGTGATTGAGTTGACCATTGGTGTGATTGACCATTGGTGTGATTGTGTTGACCATTGGTGTGATTGTGTTGACCATTGGTGTGATTGTGTTGACCATTGGTGTGATTGTGTTGACCATTGGTGTGATTGACCATTGGTGTGATTGACCATTGGTGTGATTGACCATTGGTGTGATTGTGTTGACCATTGGTGTGATTGAGTTGACCATTGGTGTGATTGCCCATTGGTGTGATTGAGTCGACCATTGGTGTGATTGAGTTGACCATTGGTGTGATTGAGTTGACCATTGGTGTGATTGACCATTGGTGTGATTGACCATTGGTGTGATTGAGTTGACCATTGGTGTGGTTGAGTTGATCATTGGTGTGATTCAGTTGACCATTGGTGTGATTGACCATTGGTGTGATTGACCATTGGTGTGATTGAGTTGACCATTGGTGTGATTGAGTTGACCATTGGTGTGATTGAATTGACCATTGGTGTGATTGTGTTGACCATTGGTGTGATTGACCATTGGTGTGATTGAGTTGACCATTGGTGTGATTGACCATTGGTGTGATTGACCATTGGTGTGATTGAGTTGACCATTGGTGTGATTGACCATTGGTGTGACTGAGTTGACCATTGGTGTGATTGTGTTGACCATTGGTGTGATTGAGTTGACCATTGGTGTGATTGAGTTGACCATTGGTGTGATTGAGTTGACCATTGGTGTGATTGTGTTGACCATTGGTGTGATTGAGTTGACCATTGGTGTGATTGACCATTGGTGTTTGTCCATTGGTGTGATTGAGTTGACCATTGGTGTGATTGAGTTGACCATTGGTGTGGTGATTGAGTTGACCATTGGTGTGATTGTGTTGACCATTGGTGTGATTGAGTTGACCATTTGTGTGATTGAGTTGACCATTGGTGTGATTGAGTTGACCATTGGTGTGATTGTGTTGACCATTGGTGTGATTGTGTTGACCATTGGTGTGATTGAATTGACCATTGGTTTTATTGTGTTGACCATTGGTGTGATTGACCATTGGTGTGATTGAGTTGACCATTGGTGTGATTGACCATTGGTGTGATTGAGTTGACCATTGGTGTGATTGACCATTGGTGTGATTGACCATTGGTGTGACTGAGTTGACCATTGGTGTGATTGAGTTGACCATTGGTGTGATTGTGTTGACCATTGGTGTGATTGTGTTGACCATTGGTGTGATTGTGTTGACCATTGGTGTGATTGTGTTGACCATTGGTGTGATTGTGTTGACCATTGGTGTGATTGTGTTGACCATTGGTGTGATTGAGTTGTGACCATTGGTGTGATTGACCATTGGTGTGGTTGTGTTGACCATTGGTGTGATTGTGTTGACCATTGGTGTGACTGAGTTGACCATTTGTGTGATTGAGTTGACCATTGGTGTCATTGTGTTGACCATTGGTGTGATTGACCATTGGTGTGATTGACCATTGGTGTGATTGACCATTGGTGTGATTGACCATTGGTGTGATTGAGTTGACCATTGGTGTGATTGACCATTGGTGTGACTGAGTTGACCATTGGTGTGATTGAGTTGACCATTGGTGTGATTGACCATTGGTGTGATTGTGTTGACCATTGGTGTGATTGAGTCGACCATTGGTGTGATTGAGTTGACCATTGGTGTGATTGAATTGTGACCATTGGTGTGATTGACCATTGGTGTGGTTGTGTTGACCATTGGTGTGATTGTGTTGACCATTGGTGTGACTGAGTTGACCATTTGTGTGATTGACCATTGGTGTGATTGACCATTGGTGTGATTGACCATTGGTGTGATTGAGTTGACCATTTGTGTGATTGAGTTGACCATTGGTGTCATTGTGTTGACCATTGGTGTGATTGACCATTGGTGTGATTGACCATTGGTGTGATTGACCATTGGTGTGATTGACCATTGGTGTGATTGAGTTGACCATTGGTGTGATTGACCATTGGTGTGACTGAGTTGACCATTGGTGTGATTGAGTTGACCATTTTTGTGATTGACCATTGGTGTGATTGTGTTGACCATTGGTGTGATTGAGTCGACCATTGGTGTGATTGAGTTGACCATTGGTGTGATTGAATTGTGACCATTGGTGTGATTGACCATTGGTGTGGTTGTGTTGACCATTGGTGTGATTGTGTTGACCATTGGTGTGACTGAGTTGACCATTTGTGTGATTGACCATTGGTGTGATTGACCATTGGTGTGATTGACCATTGGTGTGATTGAGTTGACCATTTGTGTGATTGAGTTGACCATTGGTGTCATTGTGTTGACCATTGGTGTGATTGACCATTGGTGTGATTGACCATTGGTGTGATTGACCATTGGTGTGATTGACCATTGGTGTGATTGAGTTGACCATTGGTGTGATTGACCATTGGTGTGACTGAGTTGACCATTGGTGTGATTGAGTTGACCATTTTTGTGATTGACCATTGGTGTGATTGTGTTGACCATTGGTGTGATTGAGTTGACCATTGGTGTGATTGTGTTGACCATTGGTGTGATTGTGTTGACCATTGGTGTGATTGAATTGACCATTGGTGTGATTGAGTTGACCATTGGTGTGATTGAGTTGACCATTGGTGTGATTGACCATTGGTGTGACTGAGTTGACCATTGGTGTGATTGACCATTGGTGTGATTGTGTTGACCATTGGTGTGATTGAGTTGACCATTGGTGTGATTGAGTTGACCATTGGTGTGATTGAGTTGACCATTGGTGTGATTGACCATTGGTGTGATTGAATTGACCATTGGTGTGATTGAGTTGACCATTGGTGTGATTAACCATTGGTGTGATTGAGTTGACCATTGGTGTGATTGACCATTGGTGTGATTGACCATTGGTGTGATTGAGTTGACCATTGGTGTGATTGAGTTGACCATTGGTGTGATTGACCATTGGTGTGATTGAGTTGACCATTGGTGTGATTGAGTTGACCATTGGTGTGATTGAGTTGACCATTGGTGTGATTGAGTTGACCATTGGTGTGATTGAATTGACCATTGGTGTGATTGAGTTGACCATTGGTGTGATTGACCATTGGTGTGATTGAGTTGACCATTGGTGTGATTGACCATTGGTGTGATTGACCATTGGTGTGATTGAGTTGACCATTGGTGTGATTGAGTTGACCATTGGTGTGATTGTTTGATGTTGCCAGATGGCGCCAGACTACGACCACCTGACCTTGATGCAGAAAGTTGAAGTCTTTGAGCACGCTCTAGAACACACTCAGGGCGATGACCTGGCCAGAATTTTATGGTACAAATCTCCCAGTTCTGAGGTAGGTTACATCACAAATCTCCCAGTTCTGAGGTAGGTTACATCACAAATCTCCCAGTTCTGAGGTAGGTTCCATCACAAATCTCCCAGTTCTGAGGTAGGTTACATCACAAATCTCCCAGTTCTGAGGTAGGTTCCATCACAAATCTCCCAGTTCTGAGGTAGGTTACATCACAAATCTCCCAGTTCTGAGGTAGGTTCCATCACAAATCTCCCAGTTCTGAGGTAGGTTACATCACAAATCTCCCAGTTCTGAGGTAGGTTCCATCACAAATCTCCCAGTTCTGAGGTAGGTTCCATCACAAATCTCCCAGTTCTGAGGTAGGTTCCATCACAAATCTCCCAGTTCTGAGGTAGGTTCCACCACAAATCCCCCAGTTCTGAGGTAGGTTACATCACAACCAAATTTTTACTTTTAGAAAAAAGTCTCCACTATTAAATTGTCTGTGTGAGGGCCATGAGTTGTTTCCAGAGAGGCATTTAATTTTGTATGTGCTAGCTGAGAGCATCTCCTACAAACAGTTTTACACATAAATTTGATTTGACTTTTGACCCCTGTGATTTTAGGTGTGGTTTGATCGCCGTACTAATTACACTCGCTCGTTGGCTGTGATGTCCATGGTGGGCTACGTGCTGGGTCTTGGAGACAGGTGGGTTGATTTAATCATAGCTGACATACACAGCTAGACAATTTAAGCAATAATGACTGACATACACAGCTAGACAATTTAAGCAATAATGGCTGACTAGACACAATGATCTCATGATCTGTCCACAATGACCTCATCCAGGCATCCGTCCAACCTGATGCTTGACCGGATCAGTGGAAAAATTATCCACATTGACTTTGGTGACTGCTTCGAAGTGGCCATGGTGAGAGAGAAATATCCGGAGAAGATTCCTTTCCGGCTGACACGGATGCTCATCAACGCCATGGAGGTCAGTGTTGGGGGGGGGGGGGTTGCAGGGGTCAGTGCTGGGTGTTGTGGTGTGTGTGGATGTGGGGTGTGTGGATGTGGGGTTGGAGGGGTCAGTGCTGGGTGTTGTGGCTGTGGGGTTGCAGTGGGGTTGGAAAATTTTTTGGAGTATTTGATGAAAGATTTAGTTGAAAGTTAAGTTGACAGATTTGATGAAATATTTAGCTGCTAGATTGTTCTAAAATGTTTGTCTCTGTCAGGTGACTGGTATAGACGGCAACTACAGGATGACCTGTGAGAAGGTCATGGCCGTCCTGCGAGACAACAAAGAGTCCCTGATGGCCGTGCTGGAAGCTTTTGTCTACGATCCACTGCTCAGCTGGCGCTTGGTGGATGCACACAAAACTAAAGTGGGTGGAGCTGGTGGGAAAGGTGGAAAATCTGGTGGATCCATCAATGACAGTCACGACAGCTCAAGTAAGTTTGGACAGCTTCTACAGATCCCACTCTCACCTACTACAGATCCCACTCTCACCTACTACAGATCCCACTCTCACCTACTACAGATCCCACTCTCACCTACAGATCCCACTCTCACCTACTACAGATCCCACTCTCACCTACAGATCCCACTCTCACCTACAGATCCCACTCCCACCTACTACAGATCCCACTCCCACCTACTACAGATCCCACTCCCACCTACTACAGATCCCACTCCCACCTACTACAGATCCCACTCCCACCTACTACAGATCCCACTCCCACCTACTACAGATCCCACTCCCACCTACTACAGATCCCACTCCCACCTACTACAGATCCCACTCCCACCTACTACATATCCCACTCTCAGCTTCTATAGATCCCACTATTAGCTTCTACAGATACTACTATTAGCTTCTATTCTAAAAATAAAATATAAAACACTAGGTACTCTGCATATATTGTGTAAATGTCATCCTTATTGACCTTGGATAAGTGACCATTTGATAAGTGACCTCAAGTTAATTACTTTGTGCGACCTTCTGTTAATTATTTGTGACTTAAACCAGTGAATTAACTAAGTGACCTTGGGTAAGTGACCTTGGGTAATTGACCTTGGGTAAGTGACATTGGGTAAGTGACCTTGTTTGCCCTTGTCTCAACAGCCTCAGGTGACCTACTAGACAACATAGAGAGCTCCCAGCCCAGTGGGGCGGGCAAGAAACCAGAGGCAGGGGACCCAGGGGAAGAGGTCAGCGTGGCCCCAGAGGTCACAAGCAAGAAGGCAATCAGCATTGTCAACAGGGTCAGAGACAAATTGACCGGTAGGTTGACCCACATTTGATATTAGGTTGACCCACATTTGATATTAGGTTGACCCACATTTGATATTAGGTTGACCCACTTTTGATATTAGGTTGACCCACATTTGATATTAGGTTGACCCACATTTGATAGCTAGTCTTCTAGTTTTTGTAGGCCACATGATTCATTGAAGTCAGGTGTGCATTAAGTCAGGTGTGCATTAAGTCAATTGTGTTAAGTCAGGTGTGTGTTAAGTCAGGTGTGTGTGTTAAGTCAGGTGTTAAGTCAGGTGTGTGTTAAGTCAGGTGTGCATTAAGTCAATTGTGTTAAGTCAGGTGTGTGTTAAGTCAGGTGTGTGTGTTAAGTCAGGTGTTAAGTCAGGTGTGTGTTAAGTCAGGTGTGCATTAAGTCAATTGTGTTAAGTCAGGTGTGTGTTAAGTCAGGTGTGTGTGTTAAGTCAGGTGTTAAGTCAGGTGTGTGTTAAGTCAGGTGTGTGTGTTAAGTCAGGTGTGTGTTAAGTCAGGTGTGTGTGTTAAGTCAGGTGTTAAGTCAGGTGTGTGTTAAGTCAGGTGTGCATTAAGTCAATTGTGTTAAGTCAGGTGTGTGTTAAGTCAGGTGTGTGTGTTAAGTCAGGTGTTAAGTCAGGTGTGTGTTAAGTCAGGTGTGCATTAAGTCAATTGTGTTAAGTCAGGTGTGTGTTAAGTCAGGTGTGTGTGTTAAGTCAGGTGTGTGTGTTAAGTCAGGTGTTACGTCAGGTGTGTGTTAAGTCAGGTGTGTGTGTTAAGTCAGGTGTGTGTGTTAAGTCAGGTGTTAAGTCAGGTGTGTGTTAAGTCAGGTGTGTGTTAAGTCAGGTGTGTGTGTTAAGTCAGGTGTGTGTTAAGTCAGGTGTGTGTTAAGTCATGTGTGTGTTAAGTCAGGTGTTAAGTCAGGTGTGTGTTAAGTCAGGTGTGTGTTAAGTCAGGTGTGTGTGTTAAGTCAGGTGTGTGTTAAGTCAGGTGTGTGTTAAGTCAGGTGTGTGTGTTAAGTCAGGTGTGTGTTAAGTCAGGTGTGTGTTAAGTCAGGTGTGTGTGTTAAGTCAGGTGTGTGTGTTAAGTCAGGTGTGTGTTAAGTCAGGTGTGTGTGTTAAGTCAGGTGTGTGTGTTAAGTCAGGTGTGTGTTAAGTCAGGTGTGTGTTAAGTCAGGTGTGTGTTTAGTTTGAGCTTAGTTAAACATAGATGCTGTAACACTGTAACGATTGTTGACTTGTTGTAATTGTTGCTGTAACAATTGTTGACTTGATGTAATTGTTGCTGTAAGTTTTGAGTTGACACTGTAACGATTGTTGACTTGTAATTGTTGCTGTAAGTTTTGAGTTGACGCTGTAACAATTGTTGACTTGTAATTGTTGCTGTAACAATTGTTGACTTGTTGTAATTGTTGCTGTAAGTTTTGAGTTGACACTGTAACAATTGTTGACTTGTAATTGTTGCTGTAAGTTTTGAGTTGACACTGTAACAATTGTTGACTTGTTGTAATTGTTGCTGTAAGTTTTGAGTTGACGCTGTAACAATTGTTGACTTGTAATTGTTGCTGTAAGTTTTGAGTTGACACTGTAACAATTGTTGACTTGATGTAGTTAATGCTGTAACAATTGTTGACTTGTTGTAATTGTTGCTGTAAGTTTTGAGTTGACGCTGTAACAATTGTTGACTTGTAATTGGTGCTGTAAGTTTTGAGTTGACGCTGTAACAATTGTTGACTTGATGTAATTGTTGCTGTAAGTTTTGAGTTGACGCTGTAACAATTGTTGACTTGTTGTAATTGTTGCTGTAAGTTTTGAGTTGACACTGTAACAATTGTTGACTTGTAATTGTTGCTGTAAGTTTTGAGTTGACGCTGTAACAATTGTTGACTTGTTGTAATTGTTGCTGTAAGTTTTGAGTTGATGCTGTAACAATTGTTGACTTGTTGTAATTGTTGCTGTAACAATTGTTGACTTGTTGTAATTGTTGCTGTAAGTTTTGAGTTGACGCTGTAACAATTGTTGACTTGTAATTGTTGCTGTAAGTTTTGAGTTGACGCTGTAACAATTGTTGACTTGTTGTAATTGTTGCTGTAAGTTTTGAGTTGACGCTGTAACAATTGTTGACTTGTTGTAATTGTTGCTGTAACAATTGTTGACTTGTTGTAATTGTTGCTGTAAGTTTTGAGTTGACGCTGTAACAATTGTTGACTTGTAATTGTTGCTGTAAGTTTTGAGTTGACGCTGTAACAATTGTTGACTTGTTGTAATTGTTGCTGTAAGTTTTGAGTTGACGCTGTAACAATTGTTGACTTGTTGTAATTGTTGCTGTAACAATTGTTGATTTGTTGTAATTGTTGCTGTAAGTTTTGAGTTGACGCTGTAACAATTGTTGACTTGTTGTAATTGTTGTTGTAACAATTGTTGACTTGTTGTAATTGTTGCTGTAAGTTTTGAGTTGACGCTGTAACAATTGTTGACTTGTAATTGTTGCTGTAAGTTTTGAGTTGACGCTGTAACAATTGTTGACTTGTTGTAATTGTTGCTGTAAGTTTTGAGTTGACGCTGTAACAATTGTTGACTTGTAATTGTTGCTGTAAGTTTTGAGTTGACGCTGTAACAATTGTTGACTTGTAATTGTTGCTGTAAGTTTTGAGTTGACGCTGTAACAATTGTTGACTTGTTGTAATTGTTGCTGTAAGTTTTGAGTTGACGCTGTAACAATTGTTGACTTGTTGTAATTGTTGCTGTAACAATTGTTGACTTGTTGTAATTGTTGCTGTAAGTTTTGAGTTGACGCTGTAACAATTGTTGACTTGTAATTGTTGCTGTAAGTTTTGAGTTGACGCTGTAACAATTGTTGACTTGTTGTAATTGTTGCTGTAACAATTGTTGACTTGTTGTAATTGTTGCTGTAAGTTTTGAGTTGACGCTGTAACAATTGTTGACTTGTAATTGTTGCTGTAAGTTTTGAGTTGACGCTGTAACGATTGTTGACTTGTAATTGTTGCTGTAAGTTTTGAGTTGACGCTGTAGCAATTGTTGTTGTCAGGACGAGACTTTGGACAAGAAGAGCCGGTGGACGTCAAGAGACAAGTGGACCTTCTCATCCAGCAAGCCACCTCACATGAAAATCTTTGTCAGTGTTATATAGGCTGGTGTCCCTTTTGGTAGGTGCTCTCCCGCGTTGAAGCTGGATTCTGTCCCTTGCTGGACCTGGATTCTGCCCCTTGTATTAACTGGATTCTGCCCCTTGTATTAACTGGGTGCTGCCCCTTGTATTAACTGGGTGCTGTCACTTGTATTAACTGGGTGCTGCCCCTTGTATTAACTGGGTGCTGTCACTTGTATTAACTGGGTGCTGTCACTTGTATTAACTGGGTGCTGTCACTTGTATTAACTGGGTGCTGTCCCTTGCAAGGATAAACTTCTGTCCCTAGTATTGTTTGTTAAAGCATTTAGTGAATTAATTGTGATGTCAATAGAGCAACTGTACTCTACAGAAAATTTGATGTTTTAAAATTTTGTCTTACTAACGACAGCAGTGTCATGTGAAGTCATGTGACAAGGCATCTGTCATGTCATGTAAATAAATACCGTTCACTTTTTACACATACCTGTATATATCCGTTAATTACCTGTACTTTGATTGACACTAATTGTATTTTATCATGCTGGAAATTGTTTACACATTTTGGTTTTGTGCTGTTCAGATTTTGTGTGTGTCAGTATCAGATTTATTTCAATGTGTATCAGATTTTGTGGGCATCAGATTTTTAACAAATTTGTAAATTGCCAAATGTTCACAGTCACACACTATTTTTGTGTAGCTGGTTAATTACAGATGAGTTGTCACCCATAGTTTTTTTTTACTTGAGGAATGTTTCCCATATTTGATACAAACTTTTGTGATTGGTCTTTCAAGGTTCATGTCTAGTTCCCTTAGAATTTGGCCACATGGCCCATGTCTAGTTCCCTTAGAATTTGGCCACATGGCCCATGTCTAGTTCCCTTAGAATTTGGCCACATGGCCCATGTCTAGTTCCCTTAGAATTTGGCCACATGGCCCATGTCTAGTTCCCTTAGAATTTGGCCACATGGCCCATGTCTAGTTCCCTTAGAATTTGGCCACATGGCCCATGTCTAGTTCCCTTAGAATTTGGCCACATGGCCCATGTCAGGATCACGGGGACTGGCCAAATGTCAGAGGGAATTTTTTTTGTTTACTTGTTTATTTTTCATTCCAGATTTTCATGGTTTTTCTAGAATGTCATGTCATGCATGTCATGAGTGTAGGTCTCCAGAGAAATGTGTAAAAGATGTGAGACAAGTTGGCCAGTGAGTGTGTTAGGATGTGTGGCGTCTGGGTGTCTGTAATGCAGTGGTCAGTGTCATGGTCAGTGACATGGTCAGTGCCACTGGTTGATGCCACATGTCAGTTGATGGTGTCAGTAACCTGTTGTCATGACTTGATGTCAGTGATGGAGCAGCTAGATTTGTCATGTCAGCTCCTGTGTGTTCTTGTTGACAATTAGACTGACGTCAGCGTGTTTGATTAAAGAGATTTCAATGGTTTTCACCTTATTGTTATCACTGGCATGTGTAAAAATGTTGACGGTGCCAATGTTAGAGAAAAACCTGCAGACTGGCAGAGGAAGAAGCAAGACTTGAAACTCTGGAACAATTTATTCGGACACACGCACCATACATGTTTCACATCCTCACACAACTCACATGAAGAACATCAACAGGTGCTAGCATTGGAGCTAAATGTCAGGTGCTAAGGGAGAGCATTGGAGCTAAATGTCAGGTGCTAAGGGAGAGCATTGGAGCTAAATGTCAGGTGCTATGGGAGAGCATTGGAGCTAAATGTCAGGTGCTAAGGTAGAGGATTGGAGCTAAATGTCAGGGGCTAAGGGAGAGCATTGGAGCTAAATGTCAGGTGCTAAGGGAGAGCATTGGAGCTAAATGTCAGGTGCTAAGGGAGAGCATTGGAGCTAAATGTCAGGTGCTAAGGGAGAGCATTGGAGCTAAATGTCAGGTGCTAAGGGAGAGCATTGGAGCTAAATGTCAGGTGCTATGGGAGAGCATTGGAGCTAAATGTCAGGTGCTAAGGTAGAGGATTGGAGCTAAATGTCAGGGGCTAAGGGAGAGCATTGGAGCTAAATGTCAGGTGCTAAGGGAGAGGATTGGAGCTAAATGTCAGGGGCTAAGGGAGAGCATTGGAGCTAAATGTCAGGTGCTAAGGGAGAGGATTGGAGCTAAATGTCAGGTGCTAAGGGAGAGGATTGGAGCTAAATGTCAGGTGCTAAGGTAGAGGATTGGAGCTAAATGTCAGGTGCTAAGGGAGAGCATTGGAGCTAAATGTCAGGTGCTAAGGTAGAGGATTGGAGCTAAATGTCAGGGGCTAAGGGAGAGCATTGGAGCTAAATGTCAGGTGCTAAGGTAGAGGATTGGAGCTAAATGTCAGGTGCTAAGGGAGAGCATTGGAGCTAAATGTCAGGTGCTAAGGGAGAGCATTGGAGCTAAATGTCAGGTGCTAAGGGAGAGCATTGGAGCTAAATGTCAGGTGCTAAGGGAGAGCATTGGAGCTAAATGTCAGGTGCTAAGGGAGAGCATTGGAGCTAAATGTCAGGTGCTAAGGGAGAGCATTGGAGCTAAATGTCAGGGGCTAAGGGAGAGCATTGGAGCTAAATGTCAGGTGCTAAGGGAGAGCATTGGAGCTAAATGTCAGGTGCTAAGGGAGAGCATTGGAGCTAAATGTCAGGTGCTAAGGGAGAGCATTGGAGCTAAATGTCAGGTGCTAAGGGAGAGCATTGGAGCTAAATGTCAGGTGCTAAGGGAGAGCATTGGAGCTAAATGTCAGGTGCTAAGGGAGAGCATTGGAGCTAAATGTCAGGTGCTAAGGGAGAGCATTGGAGCTAAATGTCAGGTGCTAAGGGAGAGCATTGGAGCTAAATGTCAGGTGCTAAGGGAGAGCATGGGAGCTAAATGTCAGGTGCTAAGGGAGAGCATTGAAGCTTAATGTCAGGTGCTAAGGGAGAGGATTGGAGCTAAATGTCAGGTGCTAAGGGAGAGCATTGGAGCTAAATGTCAGGTGCTAAGGGAGAGCATGGGAGCTAAATGTCAGGTGCTAAGGGAGAGCATTGAAGCTAAATGTCAGGTGCTAAGGGAGAGGATTGGAGCTAAATGTCAGGTGCTAAGGGAGAGCATTGGAGCTAAATGTCAGGTGCTAAGGGAGAGCATGGGAGCTAAATGTCAGGTGCTAAGGTAGTGACACCCCCCTAACAGAAGTTGTAAAATGTGGAGCAGGGCTGTGATTGGATGACTCTAGATGCTAGCCGGTGTTTCTGTCGAGTTCTTGCCCTTGCCCTCATTCTCCTCTGACGTCAGAAAATTCAACAAATTCTGGAGCTGGGTCACGGCCAGTCCCTCCTGACCTTGATGCTGACCTTGACCTCGACTTGAACTTTGACGTCTTTGGGGGTGGGGGCTGCGAGGAGATTCTCCTTGAAAGTTACCTTGACCTTGCTGGGGCTGCTAAAGAAAAAATGTATCTATTTTTAGAATCTGTTACTTGGGTCACTAAATTAGCGGGTTTGTGGCGAATTTTGTTACTCACTCTTAATTCACCCATTCCAGAAACAAACGACACACTGGAAATTTAAAAATTGAAGTAACGTACACGTCATAAACACACGACACACTGAGTGGAAGACATCGTGTAGGGGCGGGCCAAGTGTGTGGAAGTAGCCCCCCCACTAAAGATGCTTGCAACAAACATGGTGGTGTGTTGATGGTTGTGGTGTACATGTGTGTGTGTGTGGGTGTTGATGGTTGCGGTGTGCATATGTGTGTGTGTGTGTTGATGACTATGGTATGCGTGTGTGTTAATGATTGTGATGTGCATGCGTGTGTGTGTTGATAGCACTAGAGTGTATGTCAATCGGCCGTAAAAAAAACGTCCGCGTCGCCCAAATATAGTAGCTTTTGACTTCATAGTTTTGATAACAAAAAGGGCTCGTATAGTAATAACCTTGGCACCATTAAAAAGTAAATTTTAAGCCCTCTAACTCGTCGTAGTTTTTATAGTTTACACAATACATCTCATTTATCGATTGAAAACTATCACGCAGATGATTTTTTAACGGCAGTGGGGTAACGGATTTTGACCCCTCCCCATTCAATTCGCGGGCCTTTTTTGACCGTTCAACGTATTTCTTTACAATCCTGTAAAATGTACAGAATTGAATAGCCTTTCGTGGGAAACTAAAAAAAAAATGCAAAATAGACTAAATATTTTAAATGTTAAAAAAACTAAGCGATTTGAAAATTAGTATGTAATTCTGACATCGTATAATTTTTTTATTAGCATTTTCAGAAAAGTGGTCCTTTTTCTGTTAAAACACTTATTTTGTTTATCATTTCTGAGCATGTTAAAAAAAGACCGAGCTCGACAAAACACACTATAGCGATAATTAAAATAGCTTTAGGCCCAGTCGAAGAAAATGGCCGTTTTCATCGTTAACAACGCACCACCAAGCTTTTCTAAATTGATGTTTGCAAGTCTGAGAGGCTTTATAGTTTAGTGAGATAACTAAAAACATTTAGGTGGATACTGGTCAGTGGATGTTGGGGGTCATCCATAAATGACGTCACGCTTTTTTTACGATTTTTGCCTCCCCCCCTCCGTCACACTTCGTCCCAAAATGCCACCCCCCCCCCCCACTAAAATGACGTCACTCCTCAGCCTACACCCCCCCCCTCAAAATTGCAGTTGAATTTTTTTTAAAACATCGATATTTTTCTAAAATCTTGTCTGAACTCTGTCAAAATAGAGTATTTTAATCAATTCCTATTACAATTTATTTAAACTGTTTTCTAACGTCTAAAATTCGTTTCCTTCCATTGCTTTTTTATAATGCAAAAGTGTGATATCGCACCATGTTGGTGAGCTTAAGTGGATGTTGGTGAGTGGATGTTGGTGAGCTTAAGTGGATGTTGGTGAGCTTAAGTGGATGTTAGTGAGCTTAAGTGGATGTTGGTGAGCTTAAGTGGATGTTAGTGAGCTTAAGTGGATGTTGGTGAGCTTAAGTGGATGTTGGTGAGCTTAAGTGGATGTTGGTGAGTGGATGTTGGTGAGCTTAAGTGGATGTTGGTGAGCTTAAGTGGATGTTAGTGAGCTTAAGTGGATGTTGGTGAGCTTAAGTGGATGTTGGTGAGCTTAAGTGGATGTTGGTGAGCTTAAGTGGATGTTGGTGAGCTTAAGTGGATGTTGGTGAGCTTAAGTGGATGTTGGTGAGCTTAAGTGGATGTTGATAAGTGGATGTTGGTGAGCTTAAGTGGATGTTGGTGAGCTTAAGTGGATGTTGGTGAGCTTAAGTGGATCATGAGCTAAGCTCTACAGCAACTGACCTGGGGTACCACGACAAAAGTGCGCCCGTCTTGGGTGGTGAAGGGCGTGCCGGGAGAGATGAGCGCCCCATGGGTGGCGGGCTGTTGGTACTGAGGGGGCGCAGGCTGGGGAGCCGCAGGCTGGGGAGCTAGAACTTGCCTAGCAAAGGGAGCCGCTCCTTGATTGGCTGCGTTCTGTTGTCATGGAGAAAAAAAACACCACTTTAATTGTCACCGCCTTAGTAATCAAAGTCACGTGATGAGACAAAGTCACGTGATGAGACCCAACCGGTTAAAATAACCAGACCCAGCGTGGTGAACAGACCGGCTAAATTAGCCACTCATCACGTGATATGAACAGACCGGCTAAATTAGCCACTCATCACGTGATATGAACAGACCGGTTAAATTAGCCAAACCAAATTTTGTGAACAGACCGGTTAAATTAGCCAAACCAAATGTTGTGAACAGACCGGCTAAATTAGCCACTCATCACGTGATATGAACAGACCGGCTAAATTAGCCACTCATCACGTGATATGAACAGACCGGCTACATTAGCCACTCATCACGTGATATGAACAGACCGGCTAAATTAGCCACTCATCACGTGATATGAACAGACCGGTTAAATTAGCCAAACCAAATGTTGTGAACAGACCGGTTAAATTAGCCAAACCAAATGTTGTGAACAGACCGGCTAAATTAGCCATTCATCACGTGATATGAACAGACCGGCTAAATTAGCCACTCATCACGTGATATGAACAGACCGGCTAAATTAGCCACTCATCACGTGATATGAACAGACCGGCTAAATTAGCCACTCATCACGTGATATGAACAGACCGGCTAAATTAGCCACTCATCACGTGATATGAACAGACCGGCTAAATTAGCCACTCATCGCGTGATATGAACAGACCGGCTAAATTAGCCACTCATCACGTGATATGAACAGACCGGCTAAATTAGCCACTCATCACGTGATATGAACAGACCGGCTAAATTAGCCACTCATCACGTGATATGAACAGACCGGCTAAATTAGCCACTCATCACGTGATATGAACAGATCGGTTAAATTAGCCAAACCAAATGTTGTGAACAGACCGGTTAAATTAGCCAAACCAAATGTTGTGAACAGACCGGCTAAATTAGCCATTCATCACGTGATATGAACAGACCGGCTAAATTAGCCACTCATCACGTGATATGAACAGACCGGCTAAATTAGCCACTCATCACGTGATATGAACAGACCGGCTAAATTAGCCACTCATCACGTGATATGAACAGACCGGCTAAATTAGCCACTCATCACGTGATATGAACAGACCGGCTAAATTAGCCACTCATCACGTGATATGAACAGACCGGCTAAATTAGCCACTCATCACGTGATATGAACAGACCGGCTAAATTAGCCACTCATCACGTGATATGAACAGACCGGCTAAATTAGCCACTCATCACGTGATATGAACAGACCGGCTAAATTAGCCACTCATCACGTGATATGAACAGACCGGCTAAATTAGCCACTCATCACGTGATATGAACAGACCGGCTAAATTAGCCACTCATCACGTGATATGAACAGACCGGCTAAATTAGCCACTCATCACGTGATATGAACAGACCGGCTAAATTAGCCACTCATCACGTGATATGAACAGACCGGCTACATTAGCCACTCATCACGTGATATGAACAGACCGGCTAAATTAGCCACTCATCACGTGATATGAACAGATCGGTTAAATTAGCCAAACCAAATTTTGTGAACAGACCGGTTAAATTAGCCAAACCAAATGTTGTGAACAGACCGGCTAAATTAGCCATTCATCACGTGATATGAACAGACCGGCTAAATTAGCCACTCATCACGTGATATGAACAGACCGGCTAAATTAGCCACTCATCACGTGATATGAACAGACCGGCTAAATTAGCCACTCATCACGTGATATGAACAGACCGGCTAAATTAGCCACTCATCACGTGATATGAACAGACCGGCTAAATTAGCCACTCATCACGTGATATGAACAGACCGGCTAAATTAGCCACTCATCACGTGATATGAACAGACCGGCTAAATTAGCCACTCATCACGTGATATGAACAGACCGGCTAAATTAGCCACTCATCACGTGATATGAACAGACCGGCTAAATTAGCCACTCATCACGTGATATGAACAGACCGGCTAAATTAGCCACTCATCACGTGATATGAACAGACCGGCTAAATTAGCCACTCATCACGTGATATGAACAGACCGGCTAAATTAGCCACTCACCCGCTGGTTCATGATGGTGGTTAGTGCCAGCATCGCCGCCAGACCGCCGCCATCTTGTCCGTCCCCGTCCCCGTCCAGCTGAGTCAACAGATTAATCAGGCCAGGATTACCAAGTCCCCCTCCTAACCCCCCTCCTAATCCCCCTCCTAGTCCCCCAGCTAATCCTCCTAATCCACCTCCTAATCCACCCCCTAACCCACCAGCTAGACCACCTAATCCCCCCGCTAATCCTCCTAACCCGCCTGCTAACCCACCTCCCAGTCCACCTGCTAATCCTCCTAATCCACCTAATCCACCCAATCCGGCTCCTAAACCAGCTCCACCAAGGCCGCCTGCTCCTGCGCCCCCAGCTCCACCAAAGCCAGGGAATCCACTTAAACCTGGCGCTCCACCCAATCCACCCAATCCACTAAAGCCTGGGGCCGGTGGAGGCGCGGCAAAAACTTCAAGTTGCCTGGAATATAAAAAAAAAACGTGATTTCATTCAGGAGAAACAGCTCACCATTGGCTGGACATTTGTGATTAGCATTAATTCTCAACATCAGTTAACTACAGTCATCAAGTTATATTAAAATCTACATTAAGAAGTCTTGAAAAATGTCGTTAATAAATTAAATTAAAAACACACCTGCTACACACACCTGTTACCTGTTACACACCTGGTACACACACCTGATAAACACACCTGGTACCCGGTACACACACCTGGTACCTGGTACACACCTGCTACACACACCTGTTACCTGTTACACACCTGGTACACACACCTGATAAATACACCTGGTACACACACCTGGTACCCGGTACACACACCTGGTACACATACCTGGAACACACACCTGGCACACACACCTGGTACACACACCTCGTACACACACCTGGTACACACACCTGGTACACACACCTCGTACACACACCTGGTACACACACCTGGTACACACACCTGGTACACACACCTGGTACACACACCTCGTACACACACCTCGTACACACACCTGGTACACACACCTCGTACACACACCTGGTACACACACCTGGTACCTGGCACACACCTGGTACCTGGCACACACCTGGTACACACACCTGGTACCTGGCACACACCTGGTACACACACCTGGTACACACACCTGGTACACACACCTGGTACCTGGTACACACACCTGGTACCTGGCACACACTTGGTACACTTACCTAGTACACTCGACCTGTGCCTGAGGCCGACACACCCTGAAGAGGAAATCAAAGCGCTGGTTGTTGGGGCACCTGAGGAGGGTGGGGCTGCCCTGGATGCACCTGAAGAAGGTGGTGCACAGCTCACTGCTGGGGTTCGGGAAATCCCCATTTGGTGCGGCACAGAATCCCGCCTGGCCCGACACGACGCCGACCACACACGCTGAAATATATGAGGGTAGGAATGTAATGGGCCCTAACGTGTAGGCAACTGTAATGGGCCCTAACGTGTAGGCAATTGTAATGTGCCCTAACATGTAGGCAACTGTAATGGGCCCTAACGTGTAGGCAACTGTAATGTGCCCTAACATTTAGGCAACTGTAATGTGCCCTAACATGTAGGCAACTGTAATGGGCCCTAACATGTAGGCAACTGTAATGGGCCCTAACATGTAGGCAACTGTAATGGGCCCTAACGTGTAGGCAATTGTAATGTGCCCTAACATGTAGGCAACTGTAATGGGCCCTAACATGTAGGCAACTGTAATGTGCCCTAACATGTAGGCAACTGTAATGGGCCCTAACATGTAGGCAACTGTAATGGGCCCTAACATGTAGGCAACTGTAATGGGCCCTAACATGTAGGCAACTGTAATGTGCCCTAACATGTAGGCAACTGTAATGTGCCCTAACATGTAGGCAACTGTAATGTGCCCTAACATGTAGGCAACTGTAATGGGCCCTAACATGTAGGCAACTGTAATGGGCCCTAACATGTAGGCAACTGTAATGTGCCCTAACATGTAGGCAACTGTAATGTGCCCTAACATGTAGGCAACTGTAATGTGCCCTAACGTTATAAGTTAATTTAAAAAAATCATGTGCGATATTATTAAAAGAAATATCGTTGTTAAACTTGACGGTGTGAATTTTGTCGGGCTAAACTAAATATTTGATGTATTTGACTTTTGTTTAGTAATTTCTGTAATTTAGCAAATTATTTTTTCTTCTGTCTTAAAATGGAACTAGTGACATAAACTAATACATCCTGCAGTTCAATAGGCTATCACAGTGGCGTAGCGAGGTCGGGTGTCACCCGGTGCGGCACTTAATGGTATCATCCCCCAGAGGCGTAGCGACCCTTCCCGGGGACAAACTTTCAATTTTCGATTTGCACCACTCCCCTCAAACTTTCGATTTGCACCTCTTAACAGACTCTTTAACACTCGAATTAATCACTTAGTTAAGTGGAATTATCATTTTTTCTCTATATATTTTGCTATGTTTTGCCATAAATGGTGTCACCCGGTGCGGTCCGCACCCTCCGCCCCCCCCCCCTCGCTACGCCACTGGGCTATCATAAGGGAAATACCGCACATGCGCACTAAAGTAGTATTGTTTTTTTAAATATAATTTTTTGTCCGACTCTAAATATATTAGCCGTTGCAGACGGATACTTTAAAAATATATTGACCGGAAAAATTTAGGTTGAATAAAAAAATAATTAAAATATGGTTTACTACTGAAATGTATTAGTTTACTGAAATGTATTCTCAATTATTTTTTCACGTGCTCTGGGGGGGGGGGGGGGGGGGGGGGGGGGACAAAAATTTCCGGGGAGGGGCATTTGTAACTTGTATGTAATGAACGCAGCTGTGAATAGATTTTTCGATTGGTTTATAACATTTTAAAAATCGTTTGCGCTGTTATAAAAATAAATAAAGTTATAAAAACTTTATATTGAGGTTTTTGTCAAACTTCACTTAAGATTGGGGTTTTTTCATTTTATCACAAAAAATATAAACAAAAATGGCAGATGTAATGTGGTTTAAAATATCTTTTGTTAAAATTTTATCAGCAAAGGTTTGTGAACAAATTAAAGTGGGGTTTTTAGAAGATCGATCACGGAGTTCCTGTACAGCCAATCGTTGTTTGTCTTACGAAAGTGAAACATCGGGTTATAACTGTGGCTTGTTAAAAATAAATAAAAATGCAGACTTATACTCCAAAAATATTTTCGAATTTTGATTTTAAAAATGTTTCATTTTCAATTATTTTTAGGCTTAGGATTGTTATCATTATTATTTTACTGCCGCTTTGGTGGCAAAAACCTAAAAAAAAACAACAGTAAAACGTTTTTATATACTCGTATACAGAGTATACAAGTAGCATTGTTAGAGTGCAAAAAAACACAAATCTCGACGTTTTACACTTCCTCTAGTCGGAATTTCAAATTTTGTCTGCATATCTGTTTGTCTGTGAACACGATAACTTGAGTTGAGTTTCAATTAAGTTGATCAAATTTTATATATAACTATAATATAAAATGTGTTGTTCTGTATCAACTTTTGAGGACTTTCTGAAAAACGGAAGTCGTACTTACTTTAATTCTTGTTTCTCAACAGACTAATAACTTGACAATTGTTCAGGTTTTACATATAAGTATTACATTGTATGGTCAAGTTTATATCAACTTTTGAACTATTTTCAGTAACCGAAAGTGTTATTTTACTGTATTTTCGTGGAAACTAACTTGAGTACTTTATCAGTTAGGAAAACAAATTTTATTATATAAATAATCTTATACATAACTTGATTACTGTGACTTAAATCTATTTCTGATTTCTAAAACACTGATAATTTGAGTACTATTTTATACCGGAGTTTAAGATCTTCTTTTTCCTGATTCTGTCAAATTTTAAGAGATTTCCGGTGATCGAAAGTAGTACTTTTAGTAATTTCCGATTTCTCAAATTAGGTAATCAGTTTCCTTTATAAAGTCCTCATTCTTCACACCACCATACACCAATTGTTTACGTTCACTTGGAGCGCAATTCTTTTCTCTACACGATTCTATTTTAAAAAGTTGAGTATAAAAAAATATTTTCTGCTGCACAATTGCACTGGAAATACAATCCTTCCTACTGTTATATACGATTATACGAGAAAGTTTTATTTATATTTGTCAACAATAACGATAGAAAATATTTTGTCAAACTTGCTGTTAACCGATAGACATTTTTAGTTGCTACGTCATTTAGCGCGTCAGCAATCACGGCTAATTAGTTCTAGGAGCGGTTGGTGACCTTTGATCTTTGCACTTGTTTCGTCACTCCGGCAGACGACCCGGGCAGTTTTCTCGCCGGGCAGACGGCAACACGAAGTAGCCTCTAACATTCTACTAACACTAACTCACTTAGACCCTCATAAGGACCTCTACCTTTCAAGTGTCGACAGTGTGGGCCAACAGAGGAGGCCCGCTTCAGGATTCAGACTTTCTCGACATTTTAATTTCAAAAGTACTGATCTATCAAGCTTTTTCAAGTCTGAAATTTACTTTTTAAAATTCCAGAATTTTTCGATACTTTCCAAATCACTAAAGAGCTTTTTCTACTAAACGAGATGCAATTTATATTGAGTACAATTATAAATTAGGGACATTTATTCTAGAGCTGTTTCTATTAAATAATTTTGACATAAGTTTTTTGTTAGGCCTATTGAAGTTAACTCGTGTATTAATGTGGTCTATTGCAGCGGGCTATTTTTAACTAAAACAAAACACAAAAAATATCATTGAACAGTTGACGTCACATCCGATTCACTATCCTAATGTTGTGCCGTCAAAGAAGGGCCTTCCACTACTGCCTGGTTAGCCCCTCTAAAAGTCGGCGCCGTGACAGACTATCATGACTCACCTGCTAGCGCTAATAAAAACATGTTGTGTGACCGACACAAGCAGCGACTGATGAACTGATGGACAACACACAGGGTAGATCTTCACAGGACGGCAACTTGTTCTTTACCACCTGGAGAGGGCCACACAAAAAAAACTGGTCTTAACAAAACCTTTTTCAAGTTTTGTACGTCCATGTTGTCAAAGTTTGAGAGGTCGCGGCCCAGCATGCCCGGCTCCGTGCGGCTCACAGCTTGACAACTTCTGAACAAACAACGGCACGTGACCGGCGCGGCTGGACAGGGGATTCAAGGGGACATAGGTCACAGCCTTGACCTTCATGTCATGGGTTGTCTGATCCATGACATAAACACATCGAATCACTGACACGCCATGAACACACACACACCTACACACACATACACGCACCTACACACATACGCGCAACTACACACACATACACGCACCTACACACACGTTCAGTGACGGCTGGTGACAGTAAATCAGGTGGGGGGGGGAAGGGAGGGCCAGGGCTAACCAATAACAATTTCCGTGTAAACAAGATAACTCTAATACTGTTTTAATTAAGTAGACGAAATTACAAATATTAGATACTACAATTAGCTTTCTTTACATTTATTTCCGATATACGGAAGCGGTCTTTCAATCTGTATCTAATTACAAAGATAACTTAACTTGGACGAAATTTTATAGAAATATTAGCCTCGATACCCGTTACACGTGAATTATAGGCCTATCTATATAATTCTAAGAATTCTCTTCATGTGGACCATGCGAGACACCACCAAGACGTAATCTCAACATACCATATCGCGACCACCACCCCCACCAGTACGTGGGTTTTTTAAAACTTTTTTAATGATAATTATTTTCTACTTTTTAGTCTTTGTCTGTTTGTTTGCATTCAAATCTTGCTATCGATTTTATCTTCTCGCATTCACTTTTTTTTTGGGTAAACGAAGACAACTCGTAAAAAACACGTGCCTTTTCCAATCGACGTTTCTTCTGTGTTGCTGTTTCTTTCACCATTTTGCCCTCGCGTGCAAACCATTCGACCATCAACATTGTACTTCCTGATCAGTCAGATTTGCATAGGTTTGTACACAAACACCGCGTGACCACTACTCAGCCAATCGCGTGCTCGCTCCTTCAGTAAGCCTGAAGAGGGAAAGTACCGAACCTTGTTTTCATCAAATTACAATTACTGGGTTATTTCCCTTTTTTGGGTACAAATCAATAGGAGTCTAAAATGATCAATAAAAGTTTTCCATGGATCAATTTAGTAATAATAATTATTGAATATTGTATTGTCATCGGAAACAAAGCTTCCCTGAAAATTTCAGCGCGCTAGCTAACTGAGAAGTGCCCGAAATTTCGATCGCAAGATTTGGTTGGAAAAACAAACAAACAAACAAACAAACAGACGCGAAAGCAAGTTAAAGAAAACGTGGGAAAAACACGTTAAATTATTGAGTTTCTTTATTAAACTATTTTAGTCCTTAAATATCTGATATAAATCTTTGCTTTTTAGCTTCAAGGATCATCTAATTCGAGAATACAAGAAATTTATGTAGGCCTAATTAATATATTCTAGATCTAGAGCTACTGAAAAACTAGACTTAAGCCAGCCGTAGATTCTAGATCTAGATCTCTAGCTTTATCTAGATATGCCAATAGTGAGTTTCTGTACTAAACTATTTCAGACCTTTAATATTTCATATAAATATTTGTTTAGCTATGGAATTGGTTAATTTGGAATAAAATTTATTTAATTTGAAATACTACTGCTAGGGCCTATTCGTGTAAATCAAGTTTCTTACGCACTCTTAAGTAAAGTATACCACTAATGTTGCTCCTAATAGTAAAATCCTAGATAGCTGAGGTGTTAGTGTAATAGTTATCATGCGGGTGGAACGGGTTCGAAACACATCAGGTCAATGTTAATATTTTTTTTCAATTTTTTGTAGATGTGAATGAAAAAGTTGCCTATTGGAACTTGACGCGACACTGGGCATGTGAAGTAGAGTTCACCTGTTTCCGTGTCCTCATCATATGAAAGGATAGTGTGGTCAGAGCCATGCTCGGCCGAAACATTTTTTTTAATCGATAAAAACATTTTGTCTGATACTTGGCGGGACACTGAGCAGGTGAAGTAGAGTTGGGTAGGTGAAGAGTTCACCTGTGACGTCAGCATATGAAAGGATAGTGTGGTCAGACCCTGGCTCAGCCGAAATCGGTATTTTAAAAGACAAAACATGTCTGAGTTGGCGGGAACTGGGCAGGTGAAGTAAAGTTGACCTGTTTTCGTGACCTCAGCAAATAAAGGGATAATCTTGTCGGACCCATGCTCAGCCGAAATCAGTATTTTAAAAGACAAAAAGTCTGAGGTGTGACGTCTTTTTGAATGTGGGGGTCTGTTTTTTTTGTGTGACGATAAGTGACACACGTGATGTCATTTATGGATGACCCCCGAAACCCACAGTTATCCATGGATAACGGGTAGTCTAGTATCATATTATAAAGCAGCACTTTCAAAGGAATTTTTAGCCTGGGCGTGTTTTTCTTTAAAAAAAAAGCGGTTTTGTCTTTGTTTAAAAGTAAAGTTACCCTTTCGACAAGGGGCAGATGAAGTAGATCTCACTTGATTCTGTGGCATCGGATTATGAAGGGACACTGTGGTCAGTTCAATGTCCGCCCAGGTCTAATGAGTACTTCACTCACGCGAGGGAAAGCAAAAAAGGCTGGTCATAGTGCTGAATCAGGGGCGGAACTGCAGTGCCGTCAGGCCCCGCATTGGGGGGGGGGGGGGGGGGAGGGGGGGGCAGGCCGTTTAGGGGGCCCACAGCCGACTATAATTCATACTTTAAAATTTTTGAATTTTATTTATGTGCGTTTTTGCTTTGATATTTGGTTTGTAAAAAAAAAACTACTGTAGCTGCGATATGATTATCTTTATTTTACAGTCACTATACCACGCTCCTCCGAAAACGTTCAAATCCACACTCAAACTGTAGTGTAAAATATAGGCAAAACTTCAAATTCATAGCTCGAGAAGCCGCTAGACATTAGTGGGCTTTCATGATGTGCGGTATTTCTTTGCGGCATCGTTTAGGGGCCCGAAATCCATTGTACATTTTTCAAGTTAACGTTAAGGTTAGCTAAGAGGTCCTAAATGTTTTTACAATTTTTAAGTGGGCATCTTTTGTTAGTGGTGGTATGTTCAAATGAACACTTGCCCAAAGGCCGTTTGCCCAAAATTAAAAAAAAATTATATGATTAATTAGAATTTTAAAAACCTGAGAGAAACGAAAATGGTATTTTTGTTAAGAAAAGTCATGTCTGTACTCTTTTTATATAGCAAATATAAATTAATTCATAATGTCTGATTGGTTTTATATATATATATATATATATATATATATATATATATATATATATATATATATATATATATATATATATATATATATATAGGCCTATATATATATATATATATATATATATATATATATATATATATATATATATATATATATATATATATATATATATATATATATATATACATCTGTCACATTCGGGCAAGTGTCCATTCGTTCGGATATTTGTTGCATTCAGACAAGTGTCTTTCGGGAAAACGTCTTTGTGTATGTGTGTGTGTGTGTGTGTGTGTGTGTGTGTATATAATTGTATATATGTGTATTTGTGTCGGGGAGGGTGTGTGTATGAAGAACGACTGTTTAACACGTCTACAAACTATTGTCAGGAATATTTTGTTCTTGTTTGCGGAGGGATCTAATAAATTAAAACAACACATATGCTCAAGAAACATTTAAAACAAAGTTATATTCCAAATTTTAATTTTAATAACCAAAACAAAATGTAATGATAATTAAATGGAGCTGCGGAGGATTAAACATTTCAAAATAAGAAAATAAAATGTCCGTTTACAGAAGAAAAATACACAGCTAATGGGATGTAAACTAGATGGGGGTGTTGGTGTGGGGTGTGGGGTGAGGGTGTGAGGGTGTGGGGTGAGGATAATTTAAAGATGGGGAGAATCAGAATGTTCTGGACATTTGTCTTATTGCTCTCAAGTTATATATATATATATATATATATATATATATATATATATATATATATATATATATATATATATATATATATATATATATATATATATATATATATTATATATATATATATATATATATATATATATATATATAAAATCTATAACTGGTGGTGTGTTCGCCTGTACTTATAAAGTTGAAGCTAGATGTATCGTATTGAGCAACTGTAGCCATCAACTAGCCATCAACTAGCCATCACATATCTTTGCGCTAGAGTTGAAACATTCCCGAATTAACCTCAAAACTACCTCTTTAATTTTAAAATATACAAGAAATCTTCGTACTTATCAGAGTAACATATCCAACTATTGACATATTTACATGGAAACTATATATATATATATATATATATATATATATATATATATATATATATATATATATATATATATATATATATATATATATATATATATATATATGAAAAAAAGATGTAATTTATAAATGTAAATTGATACTGTGCAGTAAAACATTAACATTTGACCAAAGAATTGTGATACCACATTTTTTAAAGTAATTTTGTACATCCTTTGATGAGCTTTCAAAACTAAATAATTTCTCTATAAAAAACCTCTTAAAACCTTCGAAGCTGAAAAGTTTGCTAGACCTAGTCCCAAATGGCAGAAGAGTGCGGATGATGCTGTTAGAAGTTTCTAGAACAATTCTTTGGTTGTAAGAAAGAAAAAAAAACTGAAGACCAGAAAACCTCCAATGATAAAAACAAAAATTAACCCATTCGCTCCCATGTCCCATGGTGACGTCACTTATGCTACTTCGCTTGTTGTTGTCCATTTCGTGACGTCATAGTTTTGTGTGTCGCCGTTCCAAACGTTGGATTTACTGACGTCATCACTGCGTCCCGTGCCCCTCTGTGTTACCCTGGTAGGGGACGAACATCGGCACCCCTCCCTGAGTTTGAGTGGGCAGAGCTTGACCTTGGGCAGGGGCTGGTATCTGACCTTGAGGTAGGACTGGGGCCTGTGGGGCGGGGGGCGGCTGCTGAATGAAGACGGTCTGAGGCTGGTCTCTAGAGGCGAGGATCGTCTGGCGGCCCTGGGGGGGGAGATGCATTCAATTAGTGACCAAAAGCTGGGGGGGGGGGACAAGATGTCATTTAATTAGTGACTAACAGGGGGGGGCAAGATGCCATTCAATTATTGATTAAAGGTAGGGGGGGGGGACAAGATGCCATTTACATAGTTACAATTATAAGCTGACCGCAGCGCTGATAATGACCTAACTGTGATCAGCTCTGACCATGACCTAACTGTGATCAGGTCTGACCATGACCTACCTGTGACAATGACCTACCTGTGATCATGACCTACCTGTGACCATGACCTACCTGTGATCAGGTCTGACCATGACCTACCTGTGACCATGACCTACCTGTGTGACTAGATGTCTGGTGGCGGGGGCCCCTCTGGCTGGCGAGACGGGCAGGGTGTTGGGATCGACTCCATGTGGCACCTGCACTACACGGATCTCAATCTCTCTGTCCTGGTTGGGCTGGAGGGGGGGGGGGGGGCAGGGTCAAGGTTTGGGTTATGTGTCACTCAATGGGTTTCAGGTTATGTTAGTGTTAAAGTTAAAAAACTAAAGGCAACGTTAAAGTTATGTTCAGGGATAACAAATTTTGAATGATGACATGTGGGTGATGACATGTGGGTGTTGACATATGGGAGATGGCATGTGGGAGATGACATGTGAGTTATGACATGTGAGTTATGACATGTGGGTGATGACATGTGGGTGATGACATGTGGGTAATGACATGTGGGTGATGACATGTGGGTGATGACACGTGGGAGATGACATATGGGAGATGACATGTGAGGCTCACGGTCTTTAGCTTGAGGTATGAGGGGACTGCTGGCGCCTGGAACCTCTGGAGTTGTAGGGGACAGTCGACCTCGTTGTCGGCCCTGTGGGTCAGAGGTCAATGGTCAAAACACACGTGTCAAGATGACAAACTGTGACTTTTCAATTAAATCATTAACACGACAGACATGACCTAACATAACACGTGACCTAACATATCATGTGACCTAACACACCACGTGACCTAACATAACGCGTAACCTAACATAACACGTGACCTAACATAACACGTGACCTAACATAACACGTGACCTAACATACCATGTGACCTAACATACCATGTGACCTAACATAACACGTGACCTAACATACCACGTGACCTAACATACCACGTGACCTAACATACCACTTGACCTAACAGATCACGTGACCTAACATACCACGTGACCTAACATAGCACGTGACCTAACATACCACGTGACCTAACATAACACATGACCTAAAATACCACGTGACCTAACATACCACGTGACCTAACATACCACGTGACCTAACATACCACGTGACCTAACATACCACGTGACCTAACATACCACGTGACCTAACATACCACGTGACCTAACATACCACGTGACCTAACATACCACGTGACCTACCATACCACGTGACCTAACATAACACGTGACCTAACATAACACGTGACCTAACATACCACGTGACCTCAGAGAACCAAGATGTCACTGACCTGCATCTAGACCTGTCAAAGTCGAAGGCCTGACCCAGGGGACAGCGCAGGCTGTATTGACGGTTACGGTAACACCTGAAGAATGAGGTGCAGCTGTCGGAGGCGGGGTTGGGGATGTCCTCTAGGGCCGTGCCGCACCCCGTCCCGTAGGTCGCCTGACCCCAGGCTGACGAGAGCAGGAGGGTCATGCCTGTGGGGGTGGGGGGGGGGGGGTGTGTTAAATTTCAGATCAAACGTAACACAGCTTTCTGGTAAAGCGTAACACAGATTTATGGAATATTCAACTTATGATTGACAAAACTTGCTTACATAAATTGACAAAACTTGCTTACATGAATTACCCAGAACTGCTTACATAAATCGACAAAACATGCTTACATGAATTACATAAACTAAACGAGAACCCTACGACGCATAAATTAAAACACATGTAAGCACATACTCTACTTCATCTGCACTTTTGGACCTCTCTACTGTTTAAAATCAACTTGACCTCTCTACTGTTTAAAATCAACTTGACATCGACAAGAAAGTTTAAAATCAACTTGACATCGACAATAAAGTTTAAAGTCAACTTGACATCGACAAGAAAGTTTAAAGTCAACTTGACATCGACAAGAAAGTTTAAAATCAACTTGACATCGACAAGAAAGTTTAAAATTTGGACACGTTTCTACTCACCCAGAAAAGCTAAACGTAAAAATGCCATGTCTGTTTGGTGAAGGCGAGCAGACGAGTGCTCACACACATGCACGCTCGGGTTTTATACGACCATCAACAATGACGCAAGACTGACCGGACAATGGTCGTCTGCTGAACGTGTGGTCGTGCTCAAACATTGAAGGAGCAGACGACACGAGCCTTTACAAATTGTGTCCAACTTTGGATATTGTAAGCAAAGCCGAATAATGAGTTGACGCGAGGAAACAAAGAGATTTGGACTTGATTATATTTCATAGTGGGGCGGGACGCTCGCCTCACAATAGAGGTTAGGTGAGTAGAGAGGTCGAGACACGAAGGTCATGACCTTCACCATCAGACGTGACGCTAACACAGGGGATTCTTAGGGTCAAAAATAAATCAACAATCACAACAATCACAGTTACGATCACAGGAACAATCACCCATCATAAACAATCATTCGCTTGCACACAATTTAAAAAAAAAAGATATAATTGATCAGTTAATTAGTGAGTCATATTGCAATGATCATTAATTTAAGATTGAATTTTGTGTACGGTGTCGATAGTTTTTTGTAGGTTATTCATTCAACAAGAGCCCAAGTCACATGACCACCTGCCTAGTATGACGTCACACACAACTGAGCTCAAGGGAAGATAACTCCAAGTGTAGGGTTAATGAAGTTTTAAAAAGATTCAGTCAAAAACATTGTGTTCTAGAACTTGTTCTGGAACTTGTCTACAAAATACCATACAGTGCCCGGGCATTACGTTCATAAAACCAATTTACTTAACTGCGTATTCTATGTAGACAGATGATATCTAACACAATATTCTATGTAGACAGATGATATCTAACAAAATATTCTATGTATACAGATGATATCTAATAAAATATTCTATGTATACAGATGATATCTAACAACATATTCTATGTAGACAGATGATATCTAACAAAATATCCTATGTAGACAGATGATATCTAACAACGTATTCTATGTAGACAGATGATATCTAACAACATATTCTATTGCAGAACATACTCGATGCTTACGTCAGACAATAAGAACATTCTAGAGAACTTGACCGCTTGTTTATTTACATTTATGTTGGTGACCTGGTGACGTCATTGATTACATTGTAATTTAAATACGCTTTCATCTGCTATTGTGTAGCCTAATTATTTTAATTTTAATTAGGGTAACTTCCAGTGGTAGGGCTAGAGTAAGATTCAGGTGTAGGGTAAGATCTAGGGGTAGGGTAAGATCTAGGGGTAGGGTAAGATTCAGGTGTAGGGTAAGATTCAGGTGTAGGGTAAGATCTAGGGGTAGGGTAAGATCTAGGGGTAGGGTAAGATCTAGGGGTAGGGTAAGATCTAGGGATAGGGTAAGATCTAGGGGTAGGGTAAGATCTAGGGGTAGGGTAAGATCTAGGGGTAGGGTAAGATCTAGTGGTAGGGTAAGATCTAGTGGTAGGGTAAGATCTAGGGGTAGGGTAAGATCTAGGGGTAGGGTAAGATCTAGGGGTAGGGTAAGATCTAGGGGTAAGGTAAGATCTAGTGGTAGGGTAAGATCTAGGTGTAGGGTAAGATCTAGTGGTAAGGTAAGATCTAGGGGTAAGGTAAGATCTAGGGATAGGGTAAGATCTAGGGGTAGGGTAAGATCTAGGGGTAGGGTAAGATCTAGGGGTAGGGTAAGATCTAGTGGTAGGGTAAGATCTAGGGGTAGGGTAAGATCTAGGGGTAGGGTAAGATCTAGGGGTAGGGTAAGATCTAGGGGTAGGGTAAGATTCAGGTGTAGGGTAAGATCTAGTGGTAGGGTAAGATCTAGGGGTAGGGTAAGATCTAGGGGTAGGGTAAGATTCACGTGTAGGGTAAGATCTAGGGGTAGGGTAAGATCTAGGGGTAGGGTAAGATTCAGGTGTAGGGTAAGATCTAGGGGTAGGGTAAGATCTAGGGGTAGGGTAAGATTCAGGTGTAGGGTAAAATCTAGGGGTAGGGTAAGATTCAGGTGTAGTGTAAGATCTAGGGGTAGGGTAAGATTCAGGTGTAGGGTAAGATTCAGGTGTAGGGTAAGATCTAGGTGTAGGGTAAGATCTAGGTGTAGGGTAAGATCTAGGTGTAGGGTGTCACTGGTGTCATCTGGTGTCATTTTGAGCCACAGGTGTCATATGAGGTCATTGGGGTTCATCTGGTGTCACTTGGTGCCATTTGGTGTCATGTCACCTATTGTCATTTTGTTCATTTGATGTCATCTGGTGTCACCTGGTGTCATATGTGTGATGTGGTGTCATCTGGTGTCATTTTGTGCCACAGGTGTCATCTGGTGTCATCTGTGTCATCTGGTGTCATCTGGTGTCATTTTGTGCCACAGGTGTCATCTGGTGTCATCTGGTGTCATCTGGTGTCGAGCGACGTGGCCTTTACCTTGGCCAAGACATACCAACACTTTATTTTTGCAAACATTCCAATATAAAAAAATGTAAGAAAATATTTAGAGCTAGCCACCCTTCTCCTGCCTGCCTGAAGTTTTGGCTGTAAAAAAATTGCAGTACTTTGGCTAATAGGCCAGTCGGCAGGAATGTGGGGACTGTCTCCTAGAAAGCAAATGTTATGGACGTCAACTAAGGGCGGCTTTAAATAAAGTTCAAACGTTAGAACATTTTTACCTGAATTTTCTTACCTGTAGGGTAAATGTCAGAAGGTGAGCAGGGAGCAACAGCCTTAACTCATCCACCAACCGCCCCCCTCCCCACCCCACCACCCCACCCCCACACATGCACCCCAAACTTGTAAGAAATGTGTGGGGACCAAGTGAAGCAATGAGAACTAAGTAGGTGTTAATCTACTCAACCATTTACCTCAGCAGAAATATGTACCTGTGTTTACCGCCCGACCAGCCCCGGCCCATATAAGCGAAGGTCAGGCCTAGAGGTAATCCCAGGATTTGAGAGATAATCCGTGCGCATGAAACTCGGAGAAAAAAGTGACGGTGAAAAAAGTGACGGAAAATTTTAAGTAGAAATCAGAAGTTAGAGCGTCAAGAAAGTTTTAATCTAACGACGTGAATTTCTAGCAGAGGGAGTGAATCGAAGCCAAGATGACGTTACAATCTATTTACATTGTGCTTTTAATGACAGGTAAGTCGCCCATGCTAAAAATCAAAACTTCTGTCATTGAAACATTATCTCGATTGTTTTAGAACTTTGGACTTCAGATTTTAAAAAATAGAGACATGAATAAATATACAAAAAATAAACAAAAAAAAAATAATAATTTAAAAACATAATTTTTCGGCGACTCCACATTGCATAAGATTTAAACTTTGTAAAAAAATTGTTTGTCATAGCAAAAGATTCGATCAATATTTTTTATTACAAGCTTTTATTTAACTCACTTCCTCTCTCTGTCGTCAGTCGTCAGTTTGTCTGTCTAGATCGCAACGGCCGAGCGAAATTGCAGGCACTTCTAACCGACAGATACGGTTCGTAGTTGGTACGTGGGTCAAAACATGAAGACAATGCATCGTGACATTAAATTTGACTTAATTGGTCGCTTGATTAATTTTTTATGAATTAATTAAAATTTTGACCAAATTAGTAGGCAGTTCTATCCACACGCGTCATCACGGCAAAAGCGCGTAATCACGTTCAATGGTTTTAGTCATGTTACTCTATTGTAAATAAAAACATGTAAAGTACTAAACATTTTTTCATAAAAAACGTTTTAATAACAAGCTTTTATGTAATAATGCAAAAAAGGCGGAAAATAAATTGTACACTACTATTTAAATAACTATAAAGAAAAGCGTGGGTCACTTTAGTATCTATTGGATACTTTTACTAATATTTAGAAAGAGACCCACGCTTTTCTTTATAGTAATTTAAATAGTAGTGTATAATTTATTTTCTACTTTTTTGTGCATTCTTACAAAAAAGCATGTTATTAAAATGTTTTTTATGAAATTAAAAAAAATATTTTTGTCCAGTTCTTCCGTTGAAAAAAAACAACAACAAACAAACAACAAACAAACAACAAACAAACAACAAAAAGGAAACAACGACTTTTTTTCTTAGCTAAACACATCTAGGCGTATTTTTTAGAGCAATTTCCATTCTGGAGAATTGCGATTATTAACTCGTCATTTCTGGGAATGGATGGATGGATGGATGTCCGCAGCTTTAAGTCGTATCTCCTCCTCAACGAAGCAATATCGAGGACTAGTTCCAAAAGTTCCGAGAATGATTGTGGGCCAAAAAAATTCCCGGAATTCCTTCCTGAATTTCCCGGAAAAGCCAAAAATCCTCGAAAAAAAAATGCAGTTTTTGGCCCATATCTCGGCAACCAGACCACTTAGCGACTTGAAACATTTACCAATCGATTCCTGCCATAATTTAGAACAATATTGCCGAAGAAAGTTTTCAAAAATATCCTTTCGTTCGGTCACAAAAAAATTATTTACTACTTTTTTAAACTGAGCATCGTGTAGGCTTTTTTCTCCTTTTTTTTCGACTGATACGGGAGGCTAGCCTGTCGCGACGTGGGATCGTTCGCGTCACTGCACGCGGCAAGAGAGAGAGAGAGAGAGAGAAAGAGAGAGAGAGAGAGAGGCGAGCTACGCGTCGCTCGTTTTTTTCCACGTTTACAAACAAGAGGGCTCGTTTTAATCATAGTCAAATACTGATATAAACGTTTTAATACTGATATAAACGTTTTAATATTTGGGCACCGTTGCTGAATATATGATTTATCTCGATTTAAAATTGTTATGGATAACATAAGGAAATTGCGCTTAAATTGTCACTAGACTTTTTATTGACTTGTTTTATAAAAGCGGACTAATATCAGCTTAAATAAATCGGGAGTCATCTCCCCTAAACTTTCTCGAATATTCTTATATAAAACAACAGGGGATGGCAACTCGGGATATAGGCATGATTTTTAAATACTTAAATTTTTAAAAATAGAATAAAATCTCGTAGAAAAAAGAATTGCACACCAAGTGAACGCCATACAAAATGTGCATAATAGTGCGGAATATTATTAGTACTTTATAAATTCGCATGCGTTTTTTAGGAAATCGGAAATAGCGAAAATTACTACTTCCGGTCAACGGAAATTTCTCAAATTTCATTTATCTATCATAAAACGTACTAAAGTTTTAGGCTTTAAAAAAATTCTAAGTAGAAAAAGTTCCACTTCCGGTTATCGGACATCGCGCAAAAGTTGATACGGTCTACAAATTTGATATAATACTTATATTTGAAATGTCATCGACCTAGCTGTAACTACTCAATTTATCGAGTTTACAGACACACACACACACACATACACACTCACACAGACATACGGTCAAGATTGCAAAACTATGTTTTTCCGACTCAGAGAGGTGTAAAACGTCGTGATTTGCAAAAAAAAAATTTGTTTGCACAATTACAAGACTTTCTCTATACTTTGTATATACCAGAAAGTAAAAAAAATGACTCAACTTTGAACTCTCGCCTTTCTTTTCTCTTTAAATCAAGACAACGACCATCAACCTTAGACAGGAAAGAAGGTTGATTATAAGCGTAAAATTTTATCCCAGATGTACTCACCTGTTCCATGTACTCACCTGTACTCACCTGTTCCATGTACTCACCTGTTCCATGTACTCACCTGTACTCACCTGTTTCATGTACTCACCTGTTTCATGTACTCACCTGTACTCACCTGTACTCACCTGTACTCACCTGTTCCATGTACTCACCTGTTCCATGTACTCACCTGTTCCATGTACTCACCTGTACTCACCTGTACTCACCTGTACTCACCTGTTCCATGTACTCACCTGTTCCATGTACTCACCTGTTCCATGTACTCACCTGTACTCACCTGTTCCATGTACTCACCTGTTCCATGTACTCACCTGTTCCATGTACTCACCTGTACTCACCTGTTCCATGTACTCACCTGTTCCATGCACTCACCTGTTTCATGTACTCACCTGTACTCACCTGTACTCACCTGTACTCACCTGTTCCATGTACTCACCTGTTCCAAGCACTCACCTGTTTCATGTACTCACCTGTTTCATGTACTCACCTGTACTCACCTGTACTCACCTGTACTCACCTGTTCCATGTACTCACCTGTTCCATGTACTCACCTGTTCCATGTACTCACCTGTACTCACCTGTACTCACCTGTACTCACCTGTTCCATGTACTCACCTGTTCCATGTACTCACCTGTTCCATGTACTCACCTGTACTCACCTGTTCCATGTACTCACCTGTTCCATGTACTCACCTGTTCCATGTACTCACCTGTTCCATGTACTCACCTGTACTCACCTGTTCCATGTACTCACCTGTTCCATGCACTCACCTGTTCCATGTACTCACCTGTACTCACCTGTTCCATGTACTCACCTGTACTCACCTGTTCCATGTACTCACCTGTTTCATGTACTCAATTGTTCCATGTACTCACCTGTTCCATGTACTCACCTGTTCCATGTACTCACCTGTTCCATGTACTCACCTGTTCCATGTACTCACCTGTTCCATGTACACACCTGTTGTTCCATGTACTCACCTGTACTCACCTGTTTCTTGCACTCACCTGTTCCATGTACTCAATTGTTCCATGTACTCACCTGTTCAATGTTCTCACCTGTTCCATTTACTCACCTGTTCCATGTACTCACCTGTTCCATGTACTCACCTGTTCCATATACTCACCTGTTGTTCCATGTACTCACCTGTACTCACCTGTTCCATGTACTCACCTGTTCCATGTACTCACCTGTACTCACCTGTTTCATGCACTCACCTGTTCCATGTACTCAATTGTTCCATGTACTCACCTGTTCAATGTTCTCACCTGTTCCATTTACTCACCTGTTTCATGCACTCACCTGTTCCATGTACTCAATTGTTCCATGTACTCACCTGTTCCATGTACTCACCTGTACTCACCTGTTCCATGTACTCACCTGTACTCACCTGTTCCATGTACTCACCTGTTCCATGTACTCACCTGTTTCATGTACTCACCTGTTCCATGTACTCACCTGTACTCACCTGTTTCATGTACTCACCTGTTCCATGTACTCACCTGTTCCATGTACTCACCTGTTCCATGTACTCACCTGTTCCATGTACTCACCTGTTCCATGTACTCACCTGTTCCATGTACCCACCTGTTCCATGTACTCACCTGTTCCATGTACTCACCTGTACTCACCTGTTCCATGTACTCACTTGTACCCACCTGTTCCATGTACTCACCTGTTCCATGTACTCAATTGTTCCATGTACTCACCTGTTCCATGTACTCACCTGTTTCATGTACTCACCTGTTCCATGTACTCACCTGTTCCATGTACTCACCTGTTCCATGTACTCACGTGTTGTTCCATGTACTCACCTGTTCCATGTACTCACCTGTTCCATGTACTCACCTGTACTCACCTGTTCCATGTACTCACCTGTTTCATGTACTCACTTGTTCCATGTACTCACCTGTTCCATGTACTCACGTGTTGTTCCATGTACTCACTTGTACCCACCTGTTCGATGTACTCACCTGTTCCATGTACTCACCTGTACTCACCTGTTCCATATACTCACCTGTTCCGTGTATACACCTGTTACATGTACTCGCTTGTTCCATGTACTCACCTGTACTCACCTGTTCCATGTACTCACCTGTTCCATGTACTCACCTGTTCCATGTACTCACCTGTTCCATGTACTCACCTGTTCCATGTACTCACCTGTTCCATGTACTCACCTGTTCCATGTACTCACCTGTTCCATGTACTCACCTGTACTCACCTGTTTCATGCACTCACCTGTTTCATGTACTCACCTGTTCCATGTACTCACCTGTACTCACCTGTTCCATGTACTCACCTGTTTCATGTACTCAATTGTTCCATGTACTCACCTGTTCCATGTACTCACCTGTTCCATGTACTCACCTGTACTCACCTGTTTCATGCACTCACCTGTTTCATGTACTCACCTGTTCCATGTACTCACCTGTACTCACCTGTTCCATGTACTCACCTGTTTCATGTACTCAATTGTTCCATGTACTCACCTGTTCCATGTACTCACCTGTTCCATGTACTCACCTGTTCCATGTACTCACCTGTTCCATGTACACACCTGTTGTTCCATGTACTCACCTGTACTCACCTGTTTCATGCACTCACCTGTTCCATGTACTCAATTGTTCCATGTACTCACCTGTTCAATGTTCTCACCTGTTCCATTTACTCACCTGTTCCATGTACTCACCTGTTCCATGTACTCACCTGTTCCATATACTCACCTGTTGTTCCATGTACTCACCTGTACTCACCTGTTCCATGTACTCACCTGTTCCATGTACTCACCTGTACTCACCTGTTTCATGCACTCACCTGTTCCATGTACTCAATTGTTCCATGTACTCACCTGTTCAATGTTCTCACCTGTTCCATTTACTCACCTGTTTCATGCACTCACCTGTTCCATGTACTCAATTGTTCCATGTACTCACCTGTTCCATGTACTCACCTGTACTCACCTGTTCCATGTACTCACCTGTTCCATGTACTCACCTGTTCCATGTACTCACCTGTACTCACCTGTTCCATGTACTCACCTGTACTCACCTGTTCCATGTACTCACCTGTTTCATGTACTCACCTGTTTCATGTACTCACATGTACTCACCTGTTCCATATACTCACCTGTTCTATGTACTCACCTGCACTCACCTGTTCCATGTAATCACCTGTTCCATGTACTCACCTGTTCCATGTACTCACCTGTTTCATGTACTCACCTGTTCCATGTACTCACCTGTACTCACCTGTTCCATGTACTCACCTGTACTCACCTGTTCCATGTACTCACCTGTACTCACCTATTCCAGTCCTGCTTGCAGTCCAGACGACAGGAGACATGTACTACAGACAGCAGCCGATGTCGAGGTGAAGGTCACCAATTATTTATTTCATTAATTTAACTTTCGTCAGACCAAATTTTATTTTTGTTAATTAACGAAGTAATTTTTATTATATTCATTTACAATTTTAACAGTGAAACAATTTAATTACTATTTTAATTCTAGACCTCAGTTTTAGACTATACTGTGCATGCTTTACGTGTTAGCCGGAAGATAATTAATGAGCGATCAAAAGAATGAGAAGGGATATGTTCGCTAATAACATTTAGGCCTACATATGACATATGCATAATATATTTATTATATATTTAGTTATCCCTTCCCCGCGCATGTCTGTGTAAAGTCTGGCTTTGTCACATGTTTGTAACACGTCTGCTAAATGTTACAGCTAGCTCCGTTTGTTACACCATGTGACTATAGGTCGAGGTTTGAAACGTTGTTGATCTGTTATATAACATTAGAACACAATCTTTGTCCATCAGCTCTGGGAGCCGGCCCAACAAAATCATCCACGTGCACCATTACGACGCTGGGAGCAGTGGCGGCAGTATGATGAGTGGCAGCTACAAGAAGCATGACTCTAGCATGGGCAGCATGGGCAGCATGGGCAGCATGGGCAGCGGCAGTGGCGGCGGTCTCATCGAGTTGCTCATCCTGTCCAGTCTGCTGGGGGGTACCAATACAGCAACTGCAACTACTGGCACTGGCGGATTTCTCTTCGGTGGCAAATAGTTCCAGAATTATGTTCACGTGTATATCCAATAAATCGTTTTTACAATCTATTACAGCAGAGTTTTCTTTTTACCTTGTTAGAGACGGACAGTTCCATTAGGGTGATAGAATGTGTTGAAATTTTATGTTTGATGTTTCACAGTTCATTTACCTATATATATATATATATATATATATATATATATATATATATATATATATATATATATATATATATATATACATATATATATATATGTATATATATATATATATATATACATATATATATATATATACATATATATATATATATATATATATATATATATATATATATATATATATATGTATATATATATATATAGTGGTGAACATAAGTGTTACGTTTCTGTCTTTCAGCAAAAGTTTTGTCATGAAATAATCTGTTCCTTTTTAACAACTCCCTCAATGTCTCTCACAATGTTTTCACTTGAACCGATTTCTTTCAAACTTTTAAGACGTGTTCGTGTTTAATGACATTGCAAATATGACCAACTTTTACTTTAATTAGACATTAATTAAGAAGTTAAAATTAATGTAAAGAAAACTTTATTCAAGACGAAAAGTGGAGACAACTTAAATAATCTCCAGTGAGAATTCGATCGTCAGGTTCACACCGTAGTGCAGCTAGTCACGGACCGCTGGTTTGTTTAGAGCTGGTAGGGCCTGGCTTTATGGGATACAAATCAAGTTGTAAAGCAAATACTCGTCATTAAGAATGAATAGCTAAAAAATGGAAAATAAAACAAACATAAGAAAACTTTATAATAAAAGCAATTAACCAGCACTGAAATATTTTTTTTTTGCATTCTTTAATAAAAGCATCGGACGCTGATGAGATATCTTACATATTTTAAAGATCAATGTTTTTATGAAAGATAAAAAATAATAAGCTCAAATGTCATCAGTTATGTCATCAAAATGTCACCACCTATGTCATCAAAATGTCACCATTTAAAAACACATTTTAAAGGTGATACAAATTGTACAGAAATATCTAAAGGAAGGGAACCGTCTGCTTGTTTAAAGTCACGTGACCTTACGACGACCTTGACCTCTGCTCCAGGCAGTGATGTCGCTGGTAGCCACGGCTTATTGACCCGCTAGAAATATCTCAGGTCACTTTCTCTGGCTGTTGACTTATGTCACAAATAGATGACATCATATATAGGTGACACCACATACAGGCGATACCACATAGCCTACTTACAAAGGTTAATTAAATTAAACCAATTTAAAATGAAACTATTTTTTATTAGGTGAACCAAGGGAAGCTACTGCTGTTTTCATCATTGATTCCAATATATCCTGAGTTATCGTCCTTAGCATTTTCTTGCTCTTGGCACACGTTTTGTTGATGGGTTTAAGCAGCCAGCTAATGTGTAGGCGTAGAGTGTGTACTTGTGTGTATGTGTGTGTACGTGTATCTACATGTGTACGTATGTATACATGTGTACGGGTGTATATATATATGTGTACTGGTGTGTATATTTGTGCGTCGCCGACTTCCATAGCTTGGCCAGTGTTTGCCAAGAGTTCGATCCCTGGGTATATTTAGACCCCATGTCGGCAGTGAAAGACATTTGATCACGTGATCCACACAGCAACTACCCATCTATACATGAAATGATATGACACATGGACAGGTTCTGATTTGATCTGACCACTGACGACACGTCGACAGGTGCGCCGACACCAAAGTCGTCGCCCACACAGTGAGAGAAATCATTTCTTCCCAACAAGGCAAGACGTGGACCACACGAGACGTGGACCACACGAGACGTGGACCACACGAGACGTGGACCACACGAGACGTGGATCACACGGCAAGACGTGGACGGACAAAACTTGTGCAGTTGTTTCTGTCTCCACACCCTCACATACACGCCACATTGTAACATACACGCCATATTGTAACATACATGTCACATGGTAACATACATGTCACATTGTAACATACACGCCATATTGTAACATACATGTCACATGGTAACATACATGTCACATTGTAACATACACGCCACATTGTAACAGACATGTCACATTGTAACAGACACGCCACATTGTAACATACACGCCACATTGTAACATACACGCCACATTGTAACATACATGTCACATGGTAACATACACGCCACATTGTAACATACATGTCACATGGTAACATACACGCCACATTGTAACATACATGTCACATTGTAACATACACGCCACATTGTACCATACATGTCACATTGTAACATACACGCCACATTGTAACATACACGTCACATTGTAACAAACACGCCACATTGTAACATACACGCCACATTGTAACATACACGCCACATTGTAACATACATGTCACATTGTAACATATATGTCACATTGTAACATACACGCCACATTGTAACATACATGTCACATTGTAACATACATGTCACATTGTAACATACATGTCACATTGTAACATACACGCCACATTGTAACATACACGCCACATTGTAACATACACGCCACCTTGTAACATACATGTCACATTGTAACATACACGCCACATTGTAACATACACGCCACAATGTAACATACACGCCACATTGTAACATACATGTCACATTGTAACATACACGCCACATTGTAACATACACGCCACATTGTAACATACATGTCACATTGTAACATACACGCCACATTGTAACATACATGTCACATTGTAACATACACGCCACATTGTACCATACATGTCACATTGTAACATACACGCCACATTGTAACATACATGTCACATTGTAACATACATGCCACATTGTAACATACATGTCACATTGTAACATACACGCCACATTGTAACATACACGCCACATTGTAACATACACGCCACATTGTAACATACATGTCACATTGTAACATACACGCCACATTGTAACATACACGCCACAATGTAACATACACGCCACATTGTAACATACATGTCACATTGTAACATACACGCCACATTGTAACATACACGCCACATTGTAACATACATGTCACATTGTAACATACACGCCACATTGTAACATACATGTCACATTGTAACATACACGCCACATTGTACCATACATGTCACATTGTAACATACACGCCACATTGTAACATACACGTCACATTGTAACAAACACGCCACATTGTAACATACACGCCACATTGTAACATACACGCCACATTGTAACATACATGTCACATGGTAACATACATGTCACATTGTAACCCACATTGTAACATACATGTCACATGGTAACATACACGCCACATTGTAACATACATGTCACATGGTAACATACACGCCACATTGTAACATACATGTTACATTGTAACATACACGCCACATTGTACCATACATGTCACATTGTAACATACACGCCACATTGTAACATACACGTCACATTGTAACAAACACGCCACATTGTAACATACACGCCACATTGTAACATACACGCCACATTGTAACATACATGTCACATTGTAACATACATGTCACATTGTAACATACACGCCACATTGTAACATACATGTCACATTGTAACATACATGTCACATTGTAACATACATGTCACATTGTAACATACACGCCACATTGTAACATACACGCCACATTGTAACATACACGCCACATTGTAACATACATGTCACATTGTAACATACACGCCACATTGTAACATATACTCCACAATGTAACATACACGCCACATTGTAACATACATGTCACATTGTAACATACACGCCACATTGTAACATACATGTCACATTGTAACATACACGCCACATTGTAACATACATGTTACATTGTAACATACACGCCACATTGTACCATACATGTCACATTGTAACATACACGCCACATTGTAACATACACGTCACATTGTAACAAACACGCCACATTGTAACATACACGCCACATTGTAACATACACGCCACATTGTAACATACATGTCACATTGTAACATACATGTCACATTGTAACATACACGCCACATTGTAACATACATGTCACATTGTAACATACATGTCACATTGTAACATACATGTCACATTGTAACATACACGCCACATTGTAACATACACGCCACATTGTAACATACACGCCACATTGTAACATACATGTCACATTGTAACATACACGCCACATTGTAACATACACGCCACAATGTAACATACACGCCACATTGTAACATACATGTCACATTGTAACATACACGCCACATTGTAACATACATGTCACATTGTAACATACACGCCACATTGTAACATACACGCCACATTGTAACATACATGTCACATTGTAACATACACGCCACATTGTAACATACACGCCACATTGTAACATACACGCCACATTGTAACATACACGCCACATTGTAACATACACGCCACATTGTAACATACACGCCACATTGTAACATACACGCCACATTGTAACATACATGTCACATTGTAACATACACGCCACATTGTAACATACATGTCACATTGTAACATACACGCCACATTGTAACATACACGCCACATTGTAACATACACGCCACATTGTAACATACACGCCACATTGTAACATACACGCCACATTGTAACATACACGCCACATTGTAACATACACGCCACATTGTAACATACACGCCACATTGTAACATACACGCCACATTGTAACATACACGCCACATTGTAACATACACGCCACATTGTAACATACACGCCACATTGTAACATACACGCCACATTGTAACATACACGCCACATTGTAACATACACGCCACATTGTAACATACACGCCACATTGTAACATACACGCCACATTGTAACATACACGCCACATTGTAACATACATGTCACATTGTAACATACATAATCAAAACAACACGCTCACAAACTTGACCAGAGCATCACTTATATCAACTGTCCACACCATCACTAACCACAACACCACTGACCACACCATAACTGACCACACCATCACTGACCACAACACCACTGACCACAACACCACTGACCACAACACCACTGACTACAACAT